AAGGCAACTTTCTGTGCCTTTTTCTCTTCCCACCATTCTTGTTTATTTTACATCCATTGTGCAAATTCACTCAACCAGCTTTTGTAATATAAGGCTTATATAAATATGGAATTAGCAATTCTCATTGCTAAACAAGATAGGCCTACTGTACATCCTAACGTACCCCTGGGATGCCTACTTCCTCAATTTCCCAAAATCAACCACAGCTCATGAATCCAATGGCATTATTTTGTATAAATTTACACTTCCAGGCAGCATCACATTCCAAGTCTCATGAATGGTAATGAGCGGCTGACTTTTACAATGTACCTCCCACAAAATTCCCCAAAACCTCCTGGCTGATTCTGAGGGATATATGTGAGACTGGAGTTAAACACTCATAAAAATGGCAAAAAGTAATGCTAAATTGAGCACATGTGCAAATGACAAGTTTTTCTTAACACACAGAATCGTGTGGGCTCAAGTCCCTGAAAATTGTTTAATCACACGACATTACATTGGTCTCTTTATGACACAGATAATATCAAACTACATGCCTATTCTTAATACTGTCTCCAATTTTCATGCGCCTAATCACGAACAGGTGCCTGGGATTTGACTTTGGAATCTCGATTCCGAATCAAGAGGATTTAGGTAATTAAAAGTTACCGATACATCAATTCCAAAGCGGATGGGAGTAATAGCTTGTCAAGGTTGGGTGATCTTGTGGAAGCAAAGGATTAGTGAGAACTTGGAGGGAGGGGGGTAGGGGGGAGGTTTTAGTCACCGATGTGAGAGGGAAAAAAAGGAGAGGGTTCCTGTGCGTGGAAATAATTGTGACCTAATGCACTCCGTTTCTAAAGTGGATGACAGTATTTTTGTTAATGAGAAAAAAACATAGAGGCAAAAAACACTGTATTTATACAAAATGATTTTACAATGTACCGGTACTCTTTTGAGGTACATTTGTGTATAACCATGTACATGTCATTTCTTTTTAATTACGATGTACATGATAAATTACACTTTCAATACGTTGCTTCAATGTATCGAACGACAATTTGACGGATTGGCTGGTTGATTAATTGGTTATTGAGGGGTTGATTGAGGGATTGATTAAAAAAATGGTCGGCACTTAATACTGACGTACATTTAAAAGACTGACCGACTGACGTATGTACACATGTAAAGGGGAAAATCTGAAACACAGTTTACACTCTAGCTTCTTTTTTGAGTCACAGTAGATTGCTTCAGATACACTGTCCACCCCCTACACTCATTTTAGGCACAAGTACATGCCAAGAAGCGACAAGATCTAAACCCTGTTATTTAACTTAAAACTGCACTTGTCATCACTGCACAGCACCGTCCCATATTGCATTTCTCAGGAGAGACCAAATGCATTATCGATGGAAGGGCGTACAAACTACCCACTCAGATTTACACTTTTTTTCCTGCGGGCACCAGAGCTAATCTCACCGGCTGTTTTAAAAGCCAGCTGGAACCCCAGGACAGGTGTAATCCTAGTGCGCGTACGCAGAGACGACTTCTTGACATTTGTTTAAAAAAAAAAAAAGGGGGGGGGGGGAGAAAAGAAACACGAAAAAAGCAAAGAAAAGGAGGTGGCCCAGAACTGAGGGCAGTGGAGAGTAAATGCGGGCCCTGCCACATACACAAACACACACTGATCCTCCAACGCTAATGACGTACTGGCCAAACCACTGACAGATCAGTAAATCTCATCCAGTAATTGGACTGGGTTTCAAGTTCCTTTGGGGGGAGAAGGAGGAGGAGAGAAAGGTGCAGAGATAGACAGAGCTGGCCAAACATGCTGGAGAGCTGCACGGAAATGCGTGACTGTTACAGTGAAGTTGCGCATGGTTGCATGTTGTGAGGGCCGGCGCGGAATTAAAGATTTTACAAGATGCGTGTCTGTTTAAGATGACCTTGACTACTTTTAATTAGCGGTGTCCTGCTGTGCGGTGATGACAACCAGCTACTGACGTTATTCACGCTTTGATGTTGACAATTTGAAAACGCACACCCATCTCATCAACTGCTGCCATTTACATGCAAACACAGGAGGAAAAAAAACCATCAGTTGACATGTAGTCATGTTTATTTTCTTGTCTGCTGGAAAGTGGTTAAAACTGAGTCTTGTCTGTTTGCCCATATAGGTGCTCTCCCCATGCATTTTTGTTTCTTCTAATTATCTAGCAGTACAAAAGTTATTCCCTGTTGAACCAAAATATCCATCCTTGTTTACTTATTGAATAACTTATCAAATCACTTAATAATTCACCAATTTTTGGAGAATTAAATGCACAAAAACAAAAACCAATCGTCTTGCCTAGAAGGTACGGTAGGCCTATAACAGATGCCCAAAAAGAACAAAAAAGTACTTATACATGTGTTTTCATTAAAATACATTGTAAAACACACAGATATAAAATTCCTCAAGAGAGAAAAAAAATCTGATTTGGTGAAAAGCACTGAAATCTTCAAGCACGTGTAGTGTACATGCACATTTGTAAGCAAGGTTATTTGTCCATTTTGATGACCATCAAGTGAATTTTAATTATTTAAGGCAGAAGAGCGATTCCAGCGTCACTTGCATTTCACTTTTGGCATCCTTTTTCAATCTTAGTGGTGTACTTTTAAAAAAATAAAAAGGGAATTACTCTATTATTTTTGGTTTGGAAATACTCAATATATAAGGCATTAATTAATCAACCCTATGGAATTATGAAAATTAAATGATACTAAATATGAGCATGCACTGTTGGACAAAACTGTCACTAGCATTTCTTGAAAAGGACATGCCAAAAATTGTCTTGGTTTTAATATCAATATCCAACAAGATAAGCTTTGCAAAACATATTTTGGATGGATATGACCAGAGTGCTACTGTTTTGGCACTAGTACTTTTGTCAACAAACAATTACTGGTAGGCCAACAGGGGTTTGGTCGGTATCAAACATGGGCAAAATAATGACAACAAATGTTGTCATAAGGTTAATGTGCAATTTAGGCCAATGTGATGATACCGGAGTCTTATACAGCGCACGTATCTACATGAACCAGCAAATAGGTACTCAAAGCGCTGGAAATTATGTCTATTATTAAAGAAAGGTAATGAGAAATATGAGACTCATTATGTAGCACATTATAAGGGCTGACAAGGTGCTGCGGCGCATATTGCAGCCACTGCCAGAAACACTGGGGCAAACCCCTTCTCTTAGCGATAAGTGTTATGGGTTGTTTAACGTGCATTACACAACACACAGGACCTACGGCTTTACGTCCCATCTGAATGACGAAGCAATAATGGTAAAGTGCCTTGCTCAAGAGCACAAGCACCATGTTCCCACGGTCAGGATTTGAACCCATGTACCACGGCACACGAGTCGAACACCGTAACCATTGGGCCACAGCACCCCACAACAAGATTCAGATTCAGCACTATCGAATTAGTAAAGTTGACCTTATTGCAAGTTGACACCACTGGTGACCAGAAAGTAAAGACAAACCTCAACTTCTAGACCCGATACAGATTTTGGCCCATGGCCTATTGCTCCTTTCGATCTTTTGATACCGGTGGCCCAATTTTTGGACCGAAGCTGATGGCCTAAATGAGCCACTCCTTACAGGTATTTCCAAGCAAGTAAAAAATAATAAAATAATAAAGGATGTGAATTTGTATGGTTATGAGTGAAAGTGTCATGAAAAAATATCAGAAGCGACAAGCTCATGGCCTTGGGTGGCATCTGTAATGCATATATTTTTATGTTTCCGTCAGTTTTAATTTAGATGGACAAAACAATCGAAGAACCCACTACATGCACTGGTATATCTTTGTCCGTGTTGGGAGTAATAGGATGTTTTATTTTTAGCAGGAGAGAAATGAAAGCAAATTAGGCAAACGAGTCTATACACAAGAGAATGAGTCTATACACGGACCGTTTACACCAATTGTGTAAATGGTCTGTGGTCTACATGTATACAAGAGAAATCAGGCAAATGAGTTGATACACTGTACAGAAAAAGAAAACTGATTGGGTAAAATTGTTCTATAAAAAAAACCATTCAAATTATATGGAAGGAAAGAAAACCCACAATGCAATACTGAATAATTGGAAAGTATATATTTAGGTTCCTAAGTTGGAGATGTCTGGCATTAAAGATGTTAAAAAGTCCTAAAAATGGGGGAAAAGCCAGAATTTCTGTATTTCATAATTTGCAATAGATTTGTTTCATTGGTTTTGAATACAAAATCAACTACATGTATGATGTACCGGTACAGTACAATAAGGGGCACTAGGTCCTGAAATCCCCCAAAATTTCATGTTTTGGATTGTTTACTTAGCCTATTTCAAACATCTGGTTGAAAGGGAACCAACCTTATGTCTTACCGTTCCCAAGAAAAGAAAACAAAAAAACTGGTTGTTTACATCGTACACGACGGAGGACGACTACGTTTTTCCTGTCTTCAATGTACAGTATACATGTTGTGTGTGTCTATTATAATGTACCGGTACCTATGCAGCACCGTGCTCGCGAACAGCGGTTTCTTACACGTCCGCAAAAGGCGAACACTTTACGGATGAAATCACAACTAGCACCCAAACAGCTCGACCTTTTGGGGTCGTAAAAGTGGACCCCGAAAGTCTTTCTCGCATGCATAATGCAGGAATAACACAAAAACGCCCAGTTTTCAAAGGATGGTTGTGTGGATGTTTATATCCTACTTTTAAATGTTCTTTCTGATTAACATCATTTCGTTCAAAGTGCGTTTTGTAGCTAAATTGGGCTGTTCGAGGACGCAGTGTCCCTTTAATTTCCGATCCGCATTTAGTTCCTATCTTTGTGAAGAAACAAAACTTAGAACTAGCTGACCTGTGTCTAAAAGGTAGAGCCCCATTTGGTCCCCTCTAATCATTACACAAGAAGAAGGAGAAGGCTCTTTATCTCAAAATTTGCAAACAGTTTATATTAAACTTGAATCACATTAAAATTGGTACCTGTGTTAGAACATCCAGTTGGCCCACAAAATTCTCCAAGGTCTTGGACAGGGCGGGGGGCATCTCTTTGACCTCCAAAGGTGCGGTGGAGGATTGGTAGGCGTTCAGACCCTGCCCCTCCTCTAGGCCTCGTCTCTCTATGTCCGCCGAGGTCAGGTCCAGCCCTGAGAAGCCCTTGGGTGACCCTGACGTGCCATTGACCATTCCCTTTTGCTGTTGGATAATAATGGAGTATATTTACAGGGACAACTAGACAACATAGGCCTACCTGTACATGTATGTTAAAAATTATATCCTGAATACACCAATACTACCGGTATTTCATCATTCTCCAATATGAGTAAGTCCCCCCCCCCCAAAAAAAGTATGAGTTGCCTCGAGAAGATGAAGAAATAGACAAATGCCCATGATCTTATTTTAAGTGTACACATGGTTTTATCGTGAATCAAATAAGGCTATTAAAGATGATTCCAAACTTTTTGGAATCAATTCCGATTCCATGGATGCAGGTGTCTAAATCCATTCAGAATTGTATATAATTCTTTCCATCTACGGTACATTGTACATAATGCACGCTGGGCTATGCAGGTACCGGTACACATCTGTGAGCTGTACTTTGACTGTTGAAACAGAACGTAGTTTTCCAGCACCTCTGGAAACTAAACATCGTACAGGTCAGTAGAATGATATCTGGTAAATTGTATGTACAATGTACATGTACTAGCCCCCAAATCAGTCCATTTTTAAAGTACAACAAAATAATGTTATGTGTGTTGTCAACTGCATACAAAGTTGGAATGCTGGGAACATTTCAGTGTGGCTGTACTCCGTTCTCATTGGGAACACAGGCTTTTCCTAATTGGAATGCCAGGAATTGCTGTATGGAAATGTTGCTACAAATAAATTTGCATTAACCTTTACTTTGATTGTCATCATGTCCTGACATTTTCTCTCAGTTTCTGTGAATATTTGGAGAAAAGTCAACTGAAATCATATTTTTTTAAAAAGTTTATTGTAGTTGTCTGAATATACATTTCTGATAAAATTAGATATATACGCCTAAACATTAAACACGTACATGTGCGTCACCACCAATAAGGATGTCTAAATGTCATCACTAATTAAAAACAAAGGCTGGAAAGGAAGAAAAATCCAGCAAACGTCAGAAGGTATTAACCGAAACTGTTGCTAAGTGTCGGGAACAGATGTTGCGGATGAAGTGCCGACATGGAAGTGAGGTATTACACTCTGACCAACATCCTCCTTTCCTCAAGGAGTATTGGCGAGAGTGATAGGGACCGCGCCCACTCGGACACATCGGATCATAGAAAATCCAGCAACGGATGAAGCCCAATTAAGAATTGGGCAACGGAAGCCCAATTGAGTATTAGGTTGTGTTTGGTTTTCAGTTATTACAGTACGATACTATTCCCGGAGTCCTTTTTATAGGCACTCCTACTCGATCAACAATAATGTTCTACGGCTCCTGTACTTGTACACATGGACAAATTTCTGCACATGCTTCGGTAACATTACACTCAAGTTATTTCATGTTACAAATACATACTGCATGTACCGGTAAACATGTATGTATGGCTTCATCGCAAAACTCTGCAACAGACGACCGACAACAGTACCATTGAAGTCAGATCTCACAGCCAAAACCGTGCAACTGAAGCCCAACAACAGTATCCAAATAATAGTTTATGCAGTACCCGCTGCTATGTACATCAGATTCGAACCAGCCAGCCGATCCCGTGAGCTCGGTGGTCGAGTGGTAAGACATCTGCACTAGAAAGCAGGAGGTCGTGGGTTCGAGTCCCACCCGAGTGATTTTTTCCAACTTTCACTCGGGAGGTAACACACTGAGTATACAGTGTTCAAACGTCGGTGAAGGGCAAAACCTAATTTGATTTAGTATCCAAATACATGTATAACATGGTTTGAGGATAAAAAGTCGATATTGGAAGTCCAGGTATTGGAAGTTGATAAACTAGTTCCTGAGGTGAAGCACAGGGAACTAGCTATAGTTTGTCAATGTCCAATACTGAGGTGGGAAATATCAACTATCCACCCGAAATACACCATGTTATATTTGTTTTACTATACCTCATATCGGTACATATTCACCAAAATGTTGGCATCATATCTCTGCAAAGCATTGCAATGCATGTACCCCCATCTTTTCTTGTAGCTACCGGTAGGGCGATGTTTGCGTGTGCGCACTACCCCTGCGCTAGTTCCATGATTGCTTCATAAAACGCATGCGTAGTAGACTAGTGCATGGGTAACCCATGCGGTAGTCTACAAAGCATGCAAATTTATCCTGTGCGTGAATCAGTACCCGGCAACAGTACTGATTGAAGTCAAATCTCATATTTGATCCGCTTATTGCCCGTCTTCAGTTCCACCAATACAATGCTCACAGAGTGGTCGTTATCACCTCTCAAATCACAAGTCAAATCATTCCGGTCACAAGTAACAGGGGATGAACAAGGAGGAATGCCTTCATCACTGTTTACTGAAAATACATGTACATGTACATGTACATTTGTATGTAGCTTGAACCTTGAATTGACAAATGATTCAGACTGAATGACGACTGCTTGGGACTGAATGACTACTGACTAACTTGTAAGGGCTAGTGAGGACTGAGAATACACAGTCCATCAAAAATTACCCCACAGCAAAGTAAAGTTGTAGTACTAGTATGTATGGGTTGTTTTGGTCCTGAACACTACTTTGGGATATTGGGATGATGGGATCATGGTTTGTTCTTGAAATGCAATATCTCCCAGGCTTCAGTAGACATGAATTGAGGGATTAGGAGGCCAACTGTGTGTCAAGTACATTAGTGCAGTATTACATGTACATACATGCACTAAAAGAGTGAACAGAATAGCATCTACATGAATATGTAGTGTATTCCACTTTAATTTGGTGTCAAATACATGTATTACATTAATACCCGAACTTGAACAAATCAAAATGAGACATGGGCCACAAGGCAATCATGAGTACTCAAAGACACTTTGTGATAACATCTTGAAATCGTTGAGTGAAACATCCGCCAACTCCATGTATCAGACCCGCTGTGACAGAGCCGGCCCCTGGTGGCCCGCAATCAAGGAAATCATGCCCAAATTGACTGGTTCCTCTTCTTTATTGGATTGCTTCATCTCCCCTCGCGTACCGTTACCCGCGGCGCGTTCGATGGCTTTCTCCGGGGCAAGGCGGGTATTCCGGATCTATTTTAAGGATCAGCTGTGTGAAAGGATCACTGCTGGACTTTCTCCTCTCGTCAAATCAGATAACGGTGTTGACTCATGGGAACTGGGATAGGCTCAAAAGGACATGCTTCCATCTATTTATAAATCCCAGCCAATAAAATACTTCCCATGTCAAATACCGCTACGATTTGCAGAGCTCAAGGAGAAAAAAAATCTCAATTTGCGTTGACAGAAAAAAGAGAGAAGGCACAGTGAAGCTATGCTTTTGATCCAATTTCAACACCTGGCAGTCATTGTGTGGTCTATTTTGCAAGGTTCAATGTATTTACACATGTGCAGTGTAAGCTTGGGCAGCACAGACACTTTTGAATCAATTTCCGGTGCTTTCCAGGAGCCATGTTAACCTGCTAGATTTATTGGATCTAGGCTTGGGCCACGCATATATATTTTTGACTCTGTTTCCATTTCTGTCCAGGAATCCTGACTCTGTTCAGGAGTTAACTCAACATTTACCCAATGAAATGCATTGAGAGAATCTTGGTGTGCTCTTTAAGAAGTGTTATTGGTTTCTTAACCTCATCAAATTGATTTTGCTGCATCAGCAATCAAATCTTGGACAAACTCCTGATACTCCATTTTCTGTGAACAACGAAAAAATGTTTGGAATTGTTCAGGAATAACAGAGAGCTGAAGTCAGTATTGATTCTGATTCGGCCTCCTGAATCAGTTCTTATCTGATTCTGGTGGTGAGCTACTGGTGCCCAAGCCTTCATTTATGACTAATGTTTTATAAAGATCTAAAACCTAAAATTGACACTGGATTCAGAATATGGGTGTACATATACATGTACACCAACGTTTGTTTCAGGTGTATGTCCAGGATTTCCTTTTGTTCCTCTTCCCCTTTCCTTTGTTTGTACTTTAACTTTTTCGCAACAGGTCTCATTGGTTTTGTACACGTTTTCTAATCAAGGTCGTCCTCGATTTGGTTTCTGTCCTCGACTCATCGATGATGTGATGTTGCACGTGTGTGTCCTCGATTTACACCATAAACAAACGCATGTTAACACACTCGGGGTGCAGTGCCAGGGTTCACTTCTCACCTCTCCAAATGATTTATTGGGTAAATGCAACACAGGGTACACTTGGGTGCCATTCCCCCGTGTATCCTGTCATGTAAATCTGTTCATGGGTTTCTTTACTTTCAGTTGAGTCGAAAACTGAATGTGCACATTGAAAGCCAATAGCATACGCTTGCGAGGGGGTCCATTGCATGCAGTTGATGTGCCTTTCTTGTGCTATTACACTTGGTGGAGAAACAGGACCACCTACAGTACAAATCCTTTTAGTCCATTCACTGGTTACCATAACCCCATTCAATAGTACTAGTGACCACACTAATATACCTTTCATAAATATCTGGTTTGATTAGTGTGACGTCAGTTCAGTTTAAACCACGCCTACTGGCCATTAAGTAGCATTGGAACCATTGGAACAGGGAGCTAACGCAGCTTGAGTGTTTATCCAATGGGCGCTAGTAATCAGTGGTGCGCGCGTGTGTGATGTTTTTACTAACAAAACGGATTGTGATGAAAATGCAGACATTGGCAAACCACTTGCCGTGAACAAAATACGTACACGCATACTGAAATTTGTATCCTTGTGGAGACATTTCTTTGTTCTCGTGTAGTAAAGTTTTCGAGTTTGAAAGAGAAGTTTCAAAATGCTCTTATTTTAACCAGAATTAATTTCCTTGGCTAAAGTTTGGACTTAATATCCCTTTTCTAAAACTCTTCCATTTGCGACAGATCAACCCACCTTGGAAATTCCTAGTTTTTAAGTAAAATCCATATGTCTATTTCTTGAAAGCCTTGTGGAGATGTATTCATCTGTAGAAATTGCCCTGTGGAGACGTATACAATCTTTTGTTCCCTATTCTACACACGTCTCCAGAGGGCATGGTGTATCAGATCATTCTGTGCAGATGCGATAATGTTGATGCCTAGACACCAGGTGAACAAAATCCGTCCAATGAGGGAGTCACCAGTGCCCTTGGATAGGGTGGTGGATTCCGGAGGACGGAGTCCATAGAAGTATAACGAAAAGACAACCATTTGTAAACTCACCCTGGGCTGTGAGAACAATGCCGGACCGAGGTTGGTCACGTTTGGCGTTGGGGCACCCATGTTCTTGGGCTCACTGTGGGCATTGATGTCTGCGCCGGTACTCCGCACACTGTGCCTGTGGTGCGGGGACCGGGGATGGATGTCATGGATGTGCGGTGGAGCGGTAGTGGTCTGGGACCGGGCCCGATGGGACTGCAGGACCTCATTATAGTCTATCTGGTCAAAGTTGGTCTTCCAGACCATCACCTGAATACAAACAGACCCACATTAAGAATATGTACCTAACATTGGGGTCATTGAGACACATGAAAATATTGCAGAAACAAAAGTAAGAAACTACATTTCTAAAATGTAATTTTTTTTATTTTTTATTTCAGGGACATCTCGTTAAACATAAAACCCTCTATTCCTCCCATCCAGAATTACTAGGGTGAGAGAGCAGGCAGCACATTGTGTACATTTAATAGTCAGTATTCTTTGCTACCCACATTGCATTTTCCCTTTCTTTTGGTGTTGTGGAATATGGCATGATACATGTTGATGACTTTTTTCTTCTTCTGTTTTGATATTCTTTTCTTCCAGTTCTCACTATGTTGTTTCCAATTTGGTTGTGTTTCCTCCAGTTAATATTTCTGAATGTTAGGAAACGTTTTTATGTTGAATACTGACCAAAGTATTCCATGGATCGTGTGTGGGAAAAGGCACTCAACTTTCATTCATACGTGGACAGAAGTATGGAACACTAATTGTTATCATTCCAAATCCCCCCCCCCCCCCCCCGATTTTATGTACCCTAATGATGTTAAATGTAAGCTTTCACAATCAGGACCTCAGACCGTTGCACAGACCTGTTCATCTGCCCCTCCTGAGGCAAAATGCTCCCCTGTTCTGGAAAATGAAACAGCTGTGGCCGGGCCCTGCAAATTGAAAAACAAAACAATGAGAGAAAGAAAGCACCAAACATTACAAGGTTGTTTTTGCTATGCGGTTTGAGGTGGAAGTTTAATTTTCAGTTTCAATGAACATCTGTTTCTCATGATGTCCCTCGTGATAAGAGGTCAGTATTGAGTTATCCACGTCTTTTAGATTGGAGAAATCAAATAATTATTACACATTCCTGTAATTAAAGAAGTGCAGTGATGATCTATAAAGTAAAAACAAACAAATAAACACTTCAACAAAAACAAGAACCAAAGGGTACAACCCACGGTGGGCGGGTAACGTGTGAAGATGGCTTAGGGCACCGTCTGTGCACCCGGGCCGCACCGGTACTGGTTCCTCGAGAGTACAGCAAATGAAAACGAATGGGGCATGATCTAATATGCAAAAATATGCAAATTAGACAAATGCGCATCAGTGTTCGCAAAGCCGGTGTAGCGTGAATATCGGACTCCATGAAATGTGGACTCATCGGTAGTATTGCGCATGCGTAAGTACGAGAATATGCTATTTTTAGGATCACATACGGGAGAGCTACCCGGTACCTGTCACGTGCGAGGGATTAGCCAATAATAGGGAAAAGCAGTCCGATTTTCATACGAGTCGGATTTTCATATGATACCGGTCTTCGAATGTTAAGCTGTAATACTCGAGTTGCATGAATACAATATATAGCAGAGTTAAGTGTCCACCAACCAACCAAACCCACCAGCCAACCAACCAACATGCAGTTTGAGCCTACGGCGTGTTTCACATCCGCCTTGGGGAAAAAAGAAAAACAAAAGTGTATGTGATGTAGTGCACATATTTGTTTGTTTGTTTGTTTGTTTTAACCAGTTCTTACAGCAGAGCTTTAAACATAGGACCCGGAAGTTGCCAAAAATGAGGGAGCAGATGTATATGAGACTTACAACAGTGTCTTTCTATTTTTAATAGCACTCGCTTATGGAGCAAGGTCCACTTCATGGAGCCCCTAAGCAGGGAATTATTGCTACACAAATTTATGAGCCATGAGAATCGGTCATGCAAACTACACATCACATGGTAATTTGACAAGTAAACTGTACTGGCTCAGCAAAAGCTTCTACGAATTACAACATTTCTGTCGTCAACAACTCCATGGCATTGCTCCTGTCCTGGTTGTACATGTACCATGTACATGTACACATGGGTTATGCAACAAGGAAAAACAAGGGATTAGGAACAAAATGACCTTATTTATTTGGACTTGTATGTCTGTTGGGACAAACAATCAGAGTGAAAAATACAGGGGGACCTTGGATGATCCTAACAAGGAGTTAGTTAAGTTTACATCAGAATACTTTCGTTATCCTTCAAAGGCCAGGCCTCTAGGGTGCTGCTTAGTGCTTAATGCCAGGGTTTAAAGACGGCACACTGTAACCTCACAATGGACTGTAAAGAGCCAGTCTTGCTGGGGGCTGTTGTGTCACAAGCTTCACCCACACATTATGATGCAAGTAACTGCCAATATAACCGCAAACTCCCTCTTGCCAATATTACTGTGTCTCTTATTTTTCATTTTCAGTTATACTACCTACAGCTTTGCACATGGTGCCAAAGATCTTGTGCTCTGCTCAAGTAAGTAATTCGCTCATTGCCTCTTGTGATTTAGCTTAAATGTACAATGAAATCACAGACCCCACTTCTTGGAATAAAAACTTGACAGACAGTGAAGTATGAAGAATCCATTACCTAAATTTTGCAAGGGCAATGCGTGGGCATGGCCTTTTAGTATGGAAACTTTTTTTTTTCTTCTGTGGTGAGCCAATATGGCTCATGGGGATTAACACCGAATATTTACTAAACTTTGGCTCTTACACTTATTTGCAGTGAGCTACATATAGATTCTTTGCCAGGGGTCTCGGTAACTGGGGTAGGGGGATTGACTGCCTATTTCTGTGCTTAACGTGTGGGTGAGTGTTTTTTATCAGTAGGGAGGTTTCGCAAGCGAACGGATACGCTTACACTTACGTTTAGCTATCCGTATCCGTTTTTTACTTACGTGTAGCGAGCGAGATATGCGTGTCGTCTGCACGTATGACGTCATACGCCACTCACTATCCGCTAAACGTACAGACGACACGCATATCTCGCTCGCTACACGTAAGTAAAAAACGGTTACGGATAGCTAAACGTAAGTGTAAGCGTATCCGTTCGCTTGCGAAACCTCCCTAGTAACTCTGACGATGCGCTTTACTGCCAAAACCATGAAATGCCTGCTCCATGTGCGTATGCACTAATCTGTCAGAGCTATTTCCCCACGTACATGTAACACCCCCAGTTCCTCACATATAAACGGTATCATGTACATGTGCCATGCATTCAGTGTGAAATGAGCTGTGTGAACAGTCAAGCATAAGGCTGAATTTTGGCATTTGAAATTTAATACTTGAAAACCACCTTGAAATGTAACTCCCAACTAATTTCTCTGGTTACTCTATACCCTCAAGCATCTTCAACAGTCAGCATACAGGCAATTGGAATTTTGACCAGTATCTATGTGTATGGGTACTTGTTCTACATAACCCCCGAGGACAGACACACAAAGGGAGAACAACCAATCCATTCAGTCCTCAGGAGTTGGGTCTCTTGTTCAAAATGGTCCTCTGTAGTAGGTTTGTGTGCTTAGTCTATGGGAGAGGGTTATATTACAGGGACAAAGGAAAACACAAAGCATTGTCCTCTGGAGTATAGTAAAACAAGAGAGGGTGCACTGACTTGGTTACTATGTGTCGTTTCTCCCCATCTCAATTCCCGTCAATGGTAAGAATGACAAGTAACTGTAACGGACAACACTTCAGTGCAATATTTTTGGGCTCCAAAGCACTGGGGCATTTATTTAACCCAAACTCCCTACTGTCTTTTACTAAGTTCTGAACCAAAACCCACCACTTACACTGCTTCCAATGCATGCTTTGCTTTAGGCCTCCAGGCCAAAGTCCATCATACTCCATCACTATTTAGTCAAACCAGGCCTGCGGGACCAAGTCCCCCAAAATCCAACAAAAATGGGCAAATGGATTTTGATGGAGTTTGGGAGGTAAGGGTTAATGCAAATCATCCAACTTCAGTTGAAACATGGATCTTGGGTACTGCAAACCGTACACACATTGGGCTAACTTTTGATATAAGTTAGCAAAAGGTCATGTACAAGAACCCTCTCAACAAGGTAAAATAGAGAGATGAGGCAAACACCACCCCTTTTGAGGCATTCTGGCACGATGAGACAGAATTGGGCAGAGGTCGAAATGAGGGTTTGCAGAAGTCAGGTCAGGAAAGGAAAGAGAATAAAATGCTCCTTACAAATCTGTTTGTTGCACTTCAATCAGATATTCTGTTGAGAAGTTATGGCCGTTTGAAGTTCACATTTATCGACACATCAACACAATAAGATACTGAGAAAATGGCCTTTAAAGTCTCAAGTTTTATAGTCTTGAAAATGAAAGATGCCAATTGTTTTCCCATTAAAAAAACCTTTAATTCCCTGATTTTTATACTATTTCTTCAAAATATGCAAAGTACACGTCAAAGATTACAAATATCAATAAATCTGAAAATCGAAACAAAAAAAATCACCCCCATTCAGTTTCTTGCATTTTGCTACGCTTGCCAGGCCAGAACACCTCACATAGGGGAGAAATTTAGGGATTTGTGCCCATTCAAATAAAAAGTACATGTATGTAGCTCTGCGCTCTTAGCACTATAGATGCGCGAAGGTGTTTTTGAGGTCACTGTTGATTATTCCCATGACCTTAACAATAGTACCACAAAAGTTAGTCTTTGTTTCACTATATCCCACAAGTGAAACCTTTCACAAAAACCTTGTTAAAAAACCCAGACATTGCCAGGCATTGCGGTCACATAGATACATTCTATACAATGTCATGCACACATTGACCCAAGCACACCAACCATACAAAAATCTGTCAGATGAAAGCTCAAGAAGTTAAAGGTAGAGTCCATCATTTGCAGCCATCCGAAAAGTAACTGGCGTAATTATTGTTGAAAAACTAACTTGGTTGAAAGATAGTAAGGAGACTAAACTCCCTGTGAAATTATTCTTTCTGGGAAGCTGTCATTTTGAAGTAATCAACGAAAGAAGGCATTTCCAACGGTGATTCTTAAGAAGCACCGTAGGAAAATTTAAATTAGTAGTTCATTTTGTTATTCAGCGCAGCGCGCACAAGTATTCGAACGACGCACACGCGCGCGCGGTTGTTATAATTCGTCGGATCAGTGCGCGACGTCGCGTATAGTTGCAATTCAAAACAATTCAAAAACATGATTCAGCAACTTTTGATTTGAAATTGAGATCTTAGAATGCTGTTTTTCTCAGAATGTACAGCTGAAGCTTAGCTGAAACTTCATCAGGTTAGTTGCTCAGTATCCTTCATTAGATTTTAAACTCTTTTATTGCTTCAAACGAACAAAATGCACAAATTACAAATGATGGACTCTACCTTTAAAGCTCACCAGTACACTAGGGTAGGGCAGTGGGTCAAAGTGAATGACTAGGCCAAAGAGCGCCCTCTATAGTCTGTGCCTGTCATCCAGAGTTTCTTACCTGATGGCCATGTAAGGTATAGAACAGCCTGCCTTCCAGCAAGTCCAAGATCTTTAAGGTGGAATCGTTGGAGGCTGTGATGAGGTAGTTGCCGCTTGGATGGAAGGATAAGCTGTTTACTGCTGCTGTATGAGCTGAAGACAGAAAGCCATATAAAGCATTTAGGCCAACAAAAAAATAGTTCTGCTTCCGATTACATGGCATTTGAAAATAGAGTAGGTAGGTAGGGATTTGTTTTTTTTGGGCAATTTTGTGTGTGTACGATCATATGGAGGCGTCTGCGTAAAATCAAGGGTAAAATGTAAAAATTGATGGTTTTGGGTGTTTTTTTCCTTCTAATTTTTCCCATAAAAACAATTAGGGTAGGGGCTGTCAGAATAGGGTAGGTAGGGAAACCCGAAGCAGAATTATTTTTTTTGGCCTTAACACTGCAATGGATGGCACCAGCTTACAGTGAGGAAAACTATGCCCTCAGCTGTCCAATGGCAAACTTAACTAACATTAATCTTCTCCCGGTCATTTTTTTGTTATGAAGTTTCCCAAATCCTCCAACACAAACCAATGTGTGGGCAACCCGTGGTACTGGTATCTTCCCAAAACTAGAGGAAAATCTGAAGCCCTTACTGAGGTGGAACCATGAAAATCACACAGTGTTATAAGTCCACAGATGCATTGAGTGCAAGCGTCTCAACTGCATGCGAGTATAAGTCTACAGAGGTCTGTGGTTCCACCTCAGTAATGGCTAGGAATGTCGTCTGGTTCAGTCCAGTCACAAGTAACAGTGGATGAACAGTTAACAGGGGAATGCCTTTGTCAAAGCTCATTTGAATAGCTTGGGAGTTGAATTGGGACTGGAAGATATGTGATGGACTTGCAGGGACTCGACTACATCTCTGGTAATGGCCGTTTGCCAAATTGGTCTATGGGCTTTGTGCGCCAACAAAAGAGGGCGCCCTTTTACCTAGCAACGACGTCCCAATGGGCGGGGCATTTAGCTTGTTGACGCGCACCGTTCCTTGTGTGTGACGCACGTACACCAGGGGATTTGTACTATGGGGATTTGATACGGCCGCGTCAAAATTGCAGTCAGGCAAAATGGCGTCGGTCAGTCACCCCTAACTCTACTTTCTTTGCCGGTGAGATGGTACTTGTGAACGGAGTGGATACCGGTGGATTTGTGTTTTACCTTGATAGTGCTGCAAGAGCTTGTTCATTCTGATGTCCCATACTTTAACAGTGCTGTCTGTCCCTGCAGCTGCTATACACGTCCCGCTGGGATGGAATGCTACATTGTGAACAAAGCTGAGGAGCAGAACAAAATAACAAGAAGATCAAGTACACATTCCTCAGTGATGGTAGGGTTGCAAAAAATCCAAGTTACATTGCGAAAGTTTTAATAAAAAAAACTGTCGTGTGTATTTGAACTATCAGTCATCCATTAGTTAAAGGTCATCCGTTAGTTAAAGGGAAAATACAACATTTGCAAACATCAAAAAATAAAACTACCAAATCATTTTGAAATACCTTGCTGGACTGTTAGTGAATGACAGTGTAAAGCATCCTGTAAAATCATGGCACCTGGTATACTGTCATTTTCAAGAAAAGTGGTATTTTTGTATCAATTTCCAACGCTGATCGGCCGATCAGCATTGGAAAAAACTGGCTTTTTTTTCAAATACTGGCCCCAATTGACCATCGCACTTGTTTGCAATCGATTACAAACCTATGAACGGGTACGAGCCAGCTAGACTGGTTCCCTGACCTTACAATTCCCCAATGTATGTAAACTGCTCTGTTTCTTCTTATATGGAGTCGGGGAACCAGACTACAGGAAAATGATTGTTTTTCTTGGTTTTTATAGCATTTTCTAACCCAAAACCTCTAAAAAGTCAGTGTAACTATATTTGCTACATATTTCCAACCCCCCAATTCCATCCATTTCTGAAAATTACAGCAAAAGCAAATGATGTATATTCCCTTTAAAGGTATAGTCCATCATTTGTAATTCGTGCATTTAAGTATGAAGGAAGCCTAGTATTTGAGACATATTTATGGGGCTATTTTACGATGAGAATGATTATAGCAGTTTTACCCTCCATGCTCAAAGAAGGTGTGGATGCAGTCTTTACTCGTCCGGTCCCATATCTTGACCGTCTTGTCGTCGCTGCCGGACACAATGAGCCTGCCGTCAGGGGACCACTTGGCACAGCGCACCCAGTTCATGTGCTGACTGAGGGAGAACTGGAACCGTTGGCGGTGCACTGTCCATACCTGAAAGAGCAAATGAAGTGCTTAGAATTACGAAACAAGAGGCAAACAAGTCAGGTGTGTTTACAAACACAAATGCCCCGCAACCGTGACTGTTCCCATGACATAACACCACTCTTTTAACATCAACTTACATGTACCTTGGTCACATGGAACATTCATTGACAGCATTAGTGTCTTCTGTAGGTTTTATATGAATTAATCCCTAATCCCTATAATCTCAGAATAAATACAAGATTTCTATTGTTTTAGCCACTGTGAACTTGACCCTTGACCTTTTGGCCCCAAATTCAATAGGCTTCTTAGGATTACCAAGAACAATCCACAAACCAAATTTGAAGTTCATATGTTAAGTATTTCTCAAGTTATCGAACTGACAAAATTTCTATTGTTTTAGCCACTGTGAACTTGACACTTGACCTTTTGACCCCAAATGCAATAGGCTTCTTAGGATTGCCAAGAACAATCCACAAACCAAATTTGAAGTTCACATGTAAAGTATTTCTCAAGTTATTGCGCTGACAAGATTTCTATTGTTTTAGCCACTGTGAACTTGACCTTTGGCCTTTTGGCCCCAAATGCAAAAGGCTTCTTAGGATTGCCAAAAACAATCCACAAACCAAATTTGAAGTTCACATGTAAAGTATTTCTCAAGTTATCGCGCTGACAAGATTTCTATTGTTTTAGCCACTGTGAACTTGACCTTTGGCCTTTTGGCCCCAAATGCGAAAGGCTTCTTAGGATTGCCAAGAACAATCCACAAACCAAATTTGAAGTTCACATGTAAAGTATTTCTCAAGTTATCGCGCTGACAAGATTTCTATTGTTTTAGCCACTGTGAACTTGACCTTTGGCCTTTTGGCCCCAAATGCGAAAGGCTTCTTAGGATTACCAAGAACAATCCACAAACCAAATTTGAAGTTCATATGTTAAGTATTTCTCAAGTTATCGCGCTGACAAGATTTGTCCGGACACACACACCCACACACCCACCCACCCACACACACACCCACACACCCACCCACCCACCCACCCACCCACCCACCCACCCACCCACCCACCCACCCACGGAAGGACAAGGCGGAAACAGTATGCCCCTTCGGCTTCGCCGCGGGGCATAAAAATGTGGAGATGACTTATTATTAGCTATCTGTAAAGAACCGTGTGTTTGGAACAAAAGTACGGCTGCAATTGCAAAATAAAGACTCTTATGCGATGTTACAATGTACTACATTTGTACATGTATGTAGCTAGGCTACTAGGAAAAATCTCCTTATGTAAGTCAGGCATGCAACTGAGAAGTCGTACAAAAAAGAGGAAATTCAATTTAAAAAAAAAGAGGAAATCAGCTGATCCGAGGAAAAGTTGCATGCCTGGTAAGTAGATGGCATTTCCCAGTTCAGCCTGTCTTTCAACTAAAGATAGGAATCACTGTTTACTTTACTAAACATGTAGGGAAACATTCATGCATCATTAAAATATTTGACTGATTAGCCAACAATTTATAAAGGCTGCTTGCCACAGTATTCAACACACCGAGCACAATAAAAAGATATTTTCTAGTAGTTGAAAAAAGTTTAAATTGAACTTCCTTGAATGTGAACAAATACCTGTATCGAGGTGCTTTTAAATCAAATAAGTTTACACACGCCTTTGATTTTCTATTTAATGAAACTGGAGCGAATATGTATACATGTACATGTACATACATTGTCCTACTTTCAAGTTTGTTCAAATGTTTTGGAAAATTAGTGACTTCTGCCTGTGATCTTAAGTGTAAATTGCTATATCCACGCAGTAAGAACTTTGTTCAGCTGCTTAATGATGAGAAAGAAGTCTGGAGTACCTTGACTGTTTTGTCGTCCGACGATGTAAGCAGGTACTGTCCATCACTTGAAAACTCAACGCTCCGGACTGTCGCTGTGTGGGCCTTGAATACAGTGGACTCTCCCTTGCTGTAGAAACAAAGGATTTAAATATCGCAATAATAAATCATACTTATATGATTAAAGTGAACGATTAAAGTGATTAGAGTGATTAAAGTTGGGTGCCAGCAGACTGGTTTAAATAGTTAGAAATAACCAGTGTCGGAGTCTAGGGCCCGACTCCATAGCTCTTTACGGTCATGCGACAGGTAAAAGGGTTAATTACAAGCCTTACATTACAAGACTTTGTACGGTGTTTTCCGTTTTAAATAAGCGAATAAGTAATCATTTTTAGTAAGTAAATAATGAGGAAATCATGGCTTGTGTTCATGTGTACGTCCCTTATCTGAGAATAAGCCATCGCTGACATGATGATTCGCGATGTTACGCCAACGCCCATTCTGCTTGAAATTAACACGCGAGCATCGTGCCCCCGTCTCCTTGCGCGTTCATGCGCCTTCAATGAGCATTCAATTATCCGTGACCAGTGTTGTAGGTCTCGAGACCGGTCTTGGTCTCGAGACCGGTCTCGAGACCATTTTTTGCTGGTCTCGGTCTCGGTCTCGGAAGCTGTGGTCTCGGTCTTGGTCTCGGTCCCCTTTGGTCTCGATATTTTGGCTGGTCTCGGGTCGAGACCGGCAATATGTAGCTTTTACAGCTCGATCGATTACTTTGTGTTCACTTCGTTCAGTACCGTTGTTAGTTAAAACATTTGCTAGCCCGTAGATCGATCAAGCTTGTTATATATCGTGGTCGGTTTGCCGGACTCGACTGCACGTTGGAAAGTCCCCAAAGTACATGTAAAGCTGCAGCAGTATACCAGTCACTGAACGATTTGGAGCAAGTTCGGCATTTATCTGTTGAGTCGGACACATAAAGCAAAGTATGAACTTGTAACAATTTATGCAATAAGGGTCAACCATTTTCGGGGATTGTGTAGTTTAGTCCACCCCTGTGGGCGTAATCACTTGCATTTTGTATTCTAATAATAAATGAGGTGCTTCAAATTAGTTATATTTTCGACCCCACACAATGTTCTCTTTAATTTGGGACAGTATTTTGAAGAAAAAGTAAATTTTTCTACCTGATTTTCCAGCATTGAACTCACACACTCTTACCAGTTACCACTCACTGTTGCCATGAGAGTGTATGATGAGACCCCATTTTCTGGCTGCTCATTTTGAAGTACCCCATTATTCCTCAAAAATTAAAATCCCGTTCAGAAAAAAAAAAAAATCCATATCTGGCACATTCTGGCTACCACCTCGCAACTTGTGGGTCTACATGTACAAGTCCACATTCTATGACAGAAATTTAAAAATTAATTCAACATTTTCTAGCTCCCATTTTTTAAAATCAAGTACACAAGTCTTGTTAGAAGTTACATGTAAGTCCTATATTTATTTTAGGAAAAAAGAGGCACAATGTAAAATTAAAATTGCATCTTTAAATATCCGTTAGAAGTCATAGCTGAAACCAAGGGGTGACTGTGGAGTTTAGGATCCGAGTTCCTATAACAGATGAAACATCTACCTTTAACTTTTTACTTTTGTCACGATTGGGTGCAGACAACATGTCAAAGCCCATATTTCTTAAGTGTAACTACTTTTTGCTCAAGTAAGGTGTCATGTATCAATTTGTCAACACTGCCACTGGTCAACATTTTGGTCTGTATTCTTTGTGAATAGAAGGGTTACATTTTTCAACTATAATAACGTGTCTTGTTTTTTTTATTTCGACTATTGTTATTTATTATCAGCGGTCTCGGTCTCGGTCTCGGTCTCGGACCACATTGGTCTCGGTCTCGGTCCGCCTTGAAGGGGCTGGTCTCGGTCTCGGTCTCGGTCTCGAATCTTCAGGTCTCGGTCTTGGTCTCGGTCTCGGACTATCCGGTCTCGACTACAACACTGTCCGTGACCCATATCATTGTGCGTTTGTGCAGTTGATATACCAAACTGGCTTATTCTGTGCTGCTATTGACTGTTGGTGAAAATATCTGCACTAGAAAATAAGCACACAATTGTGATGGTTCGAACAGAATACTGTGGTACGCAGAGCCATGCTATTGGGGCCACTCCTTTGTTTAATCCAAAATGGTAGTGATATATAATGTGTATCAAGCTGAAGTACGAAAGCTGTGTTAACTGAGTGCAATGTGAGAGCACTTTACCAATTCTTGTACAAAGCAACTGCTTGGTTATTATGAACAGCTCACATAATTACTATGTGTAGCCAATAATGGAAGCACACCACTCTGATTGATTTTTATTTATATTTTTATTATTTTGGTTGGATTGCAAACAGAATGAAGAAACCATTTAAAGGTACAACAAAAAAAAGTTGAAAACTTACACACTGGGTATCCATAACCGGACTGTTTTATCTCTTGAAGCGGAGGCTACCAAGTGACCAGAGGGAGAGAAGTTCACTGACAGAACAGCATCCTGCATAAACAAGGTCAAAGTACAAAGTGCGGTTGAAAGACAACTTTGCTGAAGGAAAGTTTTATACCTCACAGGAGTTGGAAATCGCTACATTGGGTTCTGCCCTCAACTGATGTTCTGAAACACCAATTGGTACATAGTTCTATCACAGGACTTTCAAGACACAAAACAAACAAACAAACAAAATGAGACAAACAATCGCGGTAATGCACTGTTACCTTGTGACCAACGAATCTGTAGGCCCTCATCTGGGGCTTGAAATTCCAGACCATCAAACAGGAGTCCATCGATCCCGATGCTGTTGAAGGTAAAGTTGATATTTTGATAAAGAATTGTCAGCATGAATAGAAATTGTACCAGTAAACCTCAACGTTTATATCAAAACAATAGATTTAGCTAGGACATGATTTAACCACCTCTGGAACTCCGCACTGGTGCCCTACTGACTGAGCCATTCAGCCTTAATATGCAACATTGTTGCATACACAATTGTATTTTGGGAAAACTCAAGCTATTTTGTACTCTATTGCTCAATCTTTTAGATTAAGGTAAAAGCAAGTTCAGTTCTACACAAACTACAAATTGAACCTACCCAACTGCTTCATATTTGGGTTGAAGTCTACGCTGGTGACTGTATCTCGGTGGCCCTTGAAGTGCCTTTCCAAAGTTGGATCCTCCTGAGATGGCAGGGGGAAAAAATGACACTATGAATAAGGATTGTTCAACAGTAATAACTTTGTTGTAAAACACTTTATCTTCAAGCAAACTTGAATCGTTGATCCTGATTGGTCGATCGACGGCAACAACAAGCCACCTCAGCTTTAAATCACTCCTACAGGTCCATAAATCTCTCTTCTTTCATAAAATGGCAACAAATTGGCAAAAATATGCCTCAATTTTTCGAGAAAGGTGACAGATTCAGAGCATGATTAACAGGACAACTGTCGTGTGCGCGCCATTTTTAGACGAAAGCTGCATTTTCCATGGGTCACTGATTTTGATTAATACTGCCCTCTCTTGTCTTCTTACATGATAAATACAGGGTGAGTCAGAAAAAGCGGAACCCAAACCCCAAAAATTGTATTTCATATTTTAAAAAATATGTAGCACCAAAAAAATAATGACTGAACAGCCAATTAAACAAGCTACTTTTAGATGAAAAAAGTACTGAAATTGCTCCATCCGTTCAAAGAATATCACCATTTAAACACAATGACCCTAAAACCTGTCTCGTCCTAAAATGTGATTTCAAGAATCGTCGTCACAATTGTCTACAAACATCACCAGCGATAAAGCCTCAGTTTAAGTTGAAGATAATCAACAAAGTCCTTTTGAAGGCCCGTCTATTAAAAAAAAGGGATTTTATAAATCATATTGTTTTAGGGTTGTTAATAAAGATATTATGTACTACAGTTGTTGACAGTTGTTTAAACAAGTATTCTGTGTCATTTTCCTTGTTGTTGCAAACAGTCAAAAAACACAATAATTTTGCTGTTTTAGGGTCATTGTATTGCATTTAAATGGTGATATTCTTTGAACGGATTGATCAATTTCAGTAATTTTTTTTTATCTAAAAGTAACTAATGAAATTGGCTTTCCGATCATTATTATTTTTGGTGCTACATATTTTTTTAAATATGAAATAAATTTTGGGGGGCTTGGGTTCCGCTTTTTTTGACTCACCCTGTACTGCTATCTATTGACATGATTGACTAGATAGGATATGATAGCCTCCTGAGGCTATTTGTTTCATTTTAAACGGTCAAGAAATAAGGATTTGAGTTATTATTTTTTGACCAAATAATTATTAAAACGAAGTGGCTATCGTTACGGCAGCCGTTGTTTAGCGCCCTCTACAATACTCTTTTGATACGCACGCAGGTATATAATTATTTGTTTCCCCACGTTTTAGCGAGCAGTGCAACAGCTCAGTCGATAGAGGGTAGGATTTTGCACCGCGAGATTGCGGGTTCGCATCTCAGTTTTGCACTCAAATTTTTTTCCTTTTCTAACCCGAGGCTTTGGAGGATTTTTTTTTAAAGGGAAATAAAGTTCGAATTTCATAACGTTCAAATTCACTTTTTTCTTCTAATTTTCTTCTCATGTTTTTATAAAAGTTGCCTACTACCGTAAGGATAGAAAATGGGAAATGCGTTACGGCTGCCGTAATGATAGCCACTGCGTTATTAAAAGGTGTCACTTATTGATGAATTTAGACATACAGAACATGGAAAGCATGCCTTTTAATTTAAGTTACAATTTTGTTTATTTTAATTTTAAAAAAATGGAGTTTTTGTGTCATAACTAGAAATAGAATAGAATTAATTAAAAAGGCATGGGCCTAAAAAGAAGGTGAAGAAGTACTTTTTGGAATGATAAAAACACTCTTCTCTTTCCTTCCCCCATGTTTTAACAAGAACTAAAACTTAATACTAGCATGACATGTAGGCCTAAATGATGTAGGTATAATTTAGGCAGTGCATATTTTGCCGGAGACGGCAAACCTTTAGTAAACGTTACTAGTTTGCCGGATATGCACTGAACATGCGCAGTTACTGTTTTTTTGTACTTAAACATTTTCCGGTGACAAATTTTAGTCTGGCTCCATGCCAAAATTATCGTTGTAACCTCGTATTCACAAGATGGGATTCAGACCATTTTATAATTTCGGACTATATTTCCCTTTTAAAAAAAATCCTCCAGAGCCACAAATCTGAAACAGAAAATGTAATACCCCTACTCTGCAAAAAAATGTTTGAGACAAGTTAAAATAATAAAAGAAGAATATTCTTATTTATTTGGGACGAGAAAAAAAAACTTTAAAAATGTGATGCGGTCGGAATCGAACCCGAGTCATCCCGCTTACTAAAGCCTTTGCTTAACCACTACACCAAACGTGCTACACAACTTTTGGTGGGAATTTAATACATCTTATAATTCAGCCCTATCTTAAAGAGTACAGCGCCCTCTGTTGATATGGATTGCCGCCGGCAAACCTTTAGTAAACGTTAGTTTGCCGTCATTACCTCCGGCAAAATATCCACTATCTATAATTTAAGTCAAAACTAGTAAAAGAGGGCGCCCGTCATCACTGATTCCCTGAGCTGATTGAGTAGCCTAATGCTGATCCATGACCATACGTCGCGGGTAACGGAGCAATTTACTGACAAAATCCAAAATACTTACTAATACACTCGCCATAATTGTTGATTCTTCCGCAGCCCTGTTGAAGTATGAAACGCACGTTGGAACGCCGATCGCAAACGAAATCAATGTCGTGTTGTTTTCCTTTTTCTGCAGTGCATGATGTTATATGGACGAATCTTTTTCAAACGTACGTTCGCTCGCTACGGTACTGTCTTGTCTCCAGACCCAACCTCATACGCTAATCAAGAAATAGACACCCGCGCAACAGACTAAAGCTAGTATTCATTTTGCGCGTGCGCACAGTAGTTACATTTGTAACAAGTACATCAAACTATTTTGTCGGGTTCCTTAATTGGGACTTTTTTCAATGTCAAGAGGTAATTTTTTTTAATGTTGTGTGTGTGAAAACCCCCAAATGACTTCGGAATAAACACTGTGTAAATTACTTCAAGGGAAGTATGAATTATTTTTGGTGAAGCTTTTGGTACCAACTACTTGCTGAAAAAAATAATGAAAGTGACGTTTCAAAGATGTCTGCGCCCATCGGGGCATGTCACGTCGGGTGTCGCGCGCGCCTGCGCCTGTTGACCACAAATCCTCCTGCTGTCCTGTCATGCCTGTACTAGTTGTTGTTGACAAAGTCCACATTATCAGTTATTAACATGTCAGGGTTTCAGCGAGTAGTAAGTAAAGACACGGCGGAGAAATTCTACTTGAAAGTAGCCTTGTAAGTAGACTGCATTGTTTGTAGCCCCACTGGCACGCATTATCGGACCATTTTTTTACTGTGCGGATTTAATTTAGAAAGGGTAGGCAATTTTACGATTGTTTCTAGATTGTCATTTTTAATTTGACGATTTCATTTTCTTCTTGTCTAATATTTCATTCTATTGTCACATTGCTCTTTGGATTTCAAGCGATAAAAACGGGGAAAAAACGAAAACTTTACCCACAAAAAAAAAACAAGTTCGTCATGTGCGTTGACGATAATCCTTAGCATGCTCAGTTGTAGTCCGAAAATTTGGGACTCTCAATACTGTGTATGAGAGTCCCAAAACTTAAGGTATCCATATCGTGCAAAACTTTGTGCTGCATGATAAAACCAGTGTGAATCAAATTTGCAAGCTTCTTACTCACTACAGTTTCTTCAATAATCCCCGAAACTTCTGCCTAGCAAAGTTGCTGTTGTGAGCATTGCATCACCAACATTTCAGCTTTTAATTCTAATTTTGCAGAGAGTTATCGAAATCCATACGTGAGACATCACATTGATGTGTACTGCAATGCATTGTGCAAAAAGACTCCTCAGCTATAACATTTTCATCGTGTAGATAAAACAGCGCCCTCTTGTTGATCTGAGTGAATGCAAAATGTTTCATTTTTTAGCAGAGGGCGCTATGTTCATTTGGCCATTGATTAAAAAACAAGTAAGCTGCAAGGCTCTTCCTACACCTACCCAGAATACATTGGGAATCACACACCCATTTCCAGAGCATGGAGATTGACGTGGGTGGTTTTTGAACTGCCAAAACCTTGCCTTAAAATTGGATTTAAGGTCTCAAATTTTGCAGGTGACATGCTTGCAACTATAGTATTTTGATGTATGTGTTGTGTGGGCATTAATTAGCCAAATGGTGAGTGAAAAAACGTCAGTAGTAATTTTGCACGTTTTTATGCACTCACGGTCCCAGTCTGGCTCAGTTGGCATTACTTAGTAACAAATACTAATTAATTTTGCTTCAAATTGCAGACTTAAGATTTCTGTAAAAGATGAATACATATGTACATGTATACCCAAACAGTTTTCTATACTGGTTTACAAAATGTTTACATTAACAAATGTACATGCACGCATGATGTACTTCCAATAACACGAGACACTTATCAGCTTGCTTTGTTGACCCCTTGGCCTAAGGCTAATCCTGTGGTGAGTCATTCATCACCTCTCAAGGTTTCTTATAAACAGCTGAGCTGACCCTCAGGGCTAAGACAATAGTCACTACATGTAGTCTACAGTGTGCTCAAGCTTTAAAGGGGTTCTCATCTCCACAGTTTTCTTGGTCATTTTTTGAAACCCAAAGTAAAACAAAATGAACACTTTCAGATGATTTTGTTTGATTATTTCTTAATTAAGAACTAATTAATATGCTAATTCATTGACAAAAATTACTTAGTTTTACTAAGGCTTCCATAAAGTTGTATTTCAATCCCTTCTAGTTCTACACAATTGTGGGCAATTTGTATGAAGCAAGATGAAAAATTGTCAATATTTCTTCATTACGCTAATTAACACCTTAATTAATATGCTAATTAATTTCAAAATTTTCACATTAAGTGTACTTTGAATTAGTTTATTTCATTAGCTAACCCTTCTTTTACTTCTTAAACACTTAAGCATTCATAACATTTTACAAAAGTGCATATTTGGTATATTGGGAGGGAGTGTGCCATGTTCTCGTTAAGTCTTAAGTTATATTTTAAAAATAATCAATTAATTTGACATCACTGGCAGATAGTCCCAAGATTGATAGGGTGAAAGAGTTGGCTGGTTTATACAAATGTTTCAAAAATGAAGGAAATCAACACAATACTTTTATGGATACACATTTTTGAAAATGGTCCATTGTTATGTCATGTTATATAACTCCCAAGCGGCCCAGGATCCAGAACCTTGAGTTATGCAAGGTTACGTCACTGATTTCTGGCTGACTTCACAATTTTGTAACTCGACTTGGAGATTCTTCTGGGGTTTGGAACTCCTGTATCGAAAACAATGCATTTATGTGAACGGATTTCCACAATTGTAATTCTCAGTTCAACTCAGTTTGCAAATAACGACTTCTGCAAAAACGATTAAGGTGATTTATGGCACTTTTGGTTGCTAGGCAACACAAATTGTCATCCAGACAGTCACCTTTAGTGACTGGAACTCTTGAACCCCTGGGCCGATTTTGTTCAAACAAAAACCAGATGGTTGCACTCAGTCAGCTCTCTGTTTTCAACCGCAGTGCAATGCCCTGGCTGGTAGTTGAATGTTTGGCTGGGTATCCCTAGTGTTAATGACGATGTAGCCCCATAAATGTGGCCTATTTACTGGACGGGTGTCGGACGCTTCGCCCCATTTCCACGTCGCCCCATGTCACTTCGCCCCTTACCACTTCGCCCCATCCCCACTTCGCCCCATCCCCACATCGCCCCATCTCCGCTTCGCCCCATCCCCACTTCGCCCCATCCCCGCTTCGCCCCATCCCCACTTCGCCCCATCCCCACTTCGCCCCATGTAGTATGAAAAAGGTGAAGGCTAGGGGTGCAGACCAAATAAACTGCCAAAGACCCCCGATAATAAATGCTCCCAATTCTAGAAACTAGCTTAGGAAAAATACAAACTCTCTGATGAGGTGCTCGAGACACAGATGAGAGAAATGATGGCTCTATCCCATTCAGAGACGCCTCTCCTATTGGCTTGTGAATAAAAAATGTGCGTAAGAACAACACATTGAGTTATTCGATGGTGTGACATTGTGTGGTTTATGTTCTTCAATATTATTATTGAGACACATGAAAGGGGTCTCAAAAATTGGGTAGAAATAAGGAGGAGAAATCAATGGAAGTTTTGAGCGTAGCCAAGTTTACCCAGGCAGTGGGGTGGGTTAGGTTTTACCTGAGGGCAATAGCAGAATGCATATTCGTCCCTTCTGGGACTCGTCAGCCGCTGGATTCAAAAGAATCCGTAGGTATGGGTCAGTGAGTTAAAAGGAACTCACTGCCTTGAGGAAAATGTTCCGTCAAAATTTGTCTGATATGTGACACTTACAACTTCATTTAGATGAGATTGGTTCCTCCAAGAGTGAAATTAGGATGTCAAAGGTATTGTCGTTCTCAGATAAGTGGGAGACGGGTTGGTATAGCCGGGTTGGGAACAAAGTTGGATCTTTTACTTCAAGCTTTTTTCTCGGTAGGGGAGAGCCTAGCTTGAGAGGTTGGTTATGAATTGTTCATTTGGTGATGGGCTAATTCTTTCCGTTGGTTAGCAATTAGTGAATCTGTTGAAATTGTTTTTTTAAGCCAATAAAATAGATGAGATTTTTTTTTACATGTAACGGCTGGGGCGAAGTGGGGATGGGGCGAAGTGGGAATGGGGCGAAGTGGGAATGGGGCGAAGTGGGGATGGGGCGATGTGGGAATGGGGCGAAGTGGGGATGGGGCGATGTGGGAATGGGGCGAAGTGGTTAGGGGCGAAGTGACATGGGGCGACGTTGAAATGGGGCGAAGTGTCCGACATTCTACTGGACTGCCTCCGTAAACATAGGCCACACATCCACATGTACAAAAACGTGTCGACTTTGCCAAGTTTTGATTTTCACATTTAGGCTTACTTTGTAGGTTTTTTTTGCTTTAGAAGCATTCTCACCCTCTATATAGGCTAATCAGAAAGTGCTGCCTTTTTCAGATGTCTAATTTTTGTGAAATTTCATGTTGAAATTTTGATACGCAAATGTGTGCAAATGTATCTGGAAATTTCACGAAAAATGGACATCTGAAAAAGGCAGCACTTTCTGATTAGCCTATATAGAGGGTGAGAATGCTTCTAAAGCAAAAAAACCCTACAAAGTAAGCCTAAATGTGAAAATCAAAATTTGGCAAAGTCGACACGATTTTGTACATGTGGATGTGTGGCCTATGTTTACGGAGGCAGTCCAGTAAATAGGCCACATTTATGGGGCTAGACGAGGCCTAGACCCGTGAACGTGGCCAATTTACTCCTCCGTAAATATAGGCCACGCTTCCACCATGTACAAAAACATGTCGAACTTTGTCAAATTTTGATTTTCACATTTAGGTTAAGGTTGTAGTTTATTTTTGCTTTAGAAGCATACTCACCCTCTTTATATTATAATCAGAAAGTGCTGCCTTTTTCAGCATGTTCAGATGTCTAATTTTCGTGAAATTGTTTGTGATGTTGATACACAAACATGTGCAAAGGAATCTGGAAATTTGTCAGTGTTTGTACTTTATCTTTCCTTTAGAACTAATAAGCATACTCACCCTTTTTATAGGCTAATCAGAAAGTGTGGCCTTTATTTACGGAGGTAGTAAATTGGCCACATTCATGGGGCTAAGACATGACAGATGCCACACAAGTGGGGCTAACTGCATTGACGATCATGACGATGTGGAAAGAAAGAACGTAGAAGACGTAGGCTCGTTGGACACATGTTGGATGGACAACGTCTTAGTCCGAGTAACTAGGACTCTACGAATCACCTTTTTCAAACATTTGGACATGGTCGGGTGAGAGTAGAGTCCTAGGTACGTAGCTAGGTAGCATCATCAAATTTTAAAGTTGATTTGATAGTTGTACTGTAGAATTTACTTTATCTTAAAGAGCTTTCAAGATGCAATTAAACAAATGGTCTCCTAACTTCATGGCAGTTCTGACATTATTGCAGTTTCAAAGTTGTTTTTTTTTACCTTAAAATGATGCTCGATTTGGCTGAAATAAATGTGACCTCGTCAGTTGATTATGTGTACAAATTATGGGAAATTTACACACAAATAACGGCATCGCCGTTTTTTTGGGAATCCACAACTTTTTTTGGCAATGTGATTTTATAACAAACCAAAATTTCTAAGGTCAACTACACCCTGCAATTCTCTTTTATTGATGTTTGGAGCTCAGCGAAAGTATCTCTGTATGTGATACTCCATGTCAAACCTTTTCAAAAAAGGTGGTCACAAAAATTTAGGTCATTTTGGGCATGAAAATGGCGCCACCAATGTCCGTGGCGGTGGTTCAACAGTAACCTAACATAGCCGTATTGCGTTACTAATTTTTTTTGACCATTTTCGCTCGTACCCTGTTAAAAAAGGCGATTTGTAGTGTCCTAGTTTCTTGGATAATACGACTGATGCCCAGGGTACTATTAATTCAACTACTATGGCAAAAAACACAATTCTGAACCATTTTGTTCATATTTTTACCTGATGGTGGAAGCTGAATTTTCGTTTACATATTCCTAGTGTCCAGAATTATGCATGCGCTGGGTTTAGAAAAGGCAATGTATGTCCGCGGGCGGCGTGTTTACAGAAAAATAAATCGCAATTCCACGCTTTCGTTTTCAGTACGAACTTCCCATGTGAAGACTCACACGTGCATGCCGACTCACACGTGCGTGCTGTATGTGGCCGCATGCGGGGTGTGTTTGTATGCAAGCGCGGGTCTTCACAAGTCTTCACACGGGAGTTCATAGTGATAACGCTTTCAACGTAAGCATGGAAGTGCGGTTTATTTTTTGGGAAACACGCCACCCGCAGATATATTTGCCTTTTCTAAACCCAGCGTATGCATAATTCTGGACACAAGGAATATATAAACGAAATTTTAGCTTACTCCATCAGGTATAAATATGAAAAAAATGTTTTAGATTTCTTTTTCACTTTGGCAGCACATATTCATACCTTGTAACACTGGACTCTGTTGCGTGTACACATTGGATATTTGTAGCATGCTTTCTGGTTGTCGTTGTTGTCCTTTTCTTTCATAAATCGAAGCTCTGCCTTCTTTCTACAAAATTAAACCTGCTGGTATTCAAGAAGGTGTCATCACCAGCTGTCCAGATGTGTTACGAAATATCAGAATATCACTTTTAAGTGTCATTTAGTCAGCTGTTTTGGAGAGTCTGAACCTTATATAGGAACAGGGTCCTAAAGATAATGACCACCGAATGTCAGAGAATCGGTTGGCACATGCCCAATGACAAAAAAATAGAGGGGTCCTAAACATTACTGATACTGCTAACCTTGAACTGGTCCATTTTCTTCCACTCTAGTTGGCCGGTGTGGACTGTGGAAATTCTCCCCTCTCTCTCTCCCCCCCCCCCCCCCCCCCCCCATGAGGATATTCTGCCCCCCGGGTCATGCTTCTTTTTGCCTTTTTTATCTTCCAGGGAATTTGAGAACCCAGATACTCGCATTGACAGCGTGCAATTCAGGGCTCTTGTGTCCAAGGCTCTGCATCAACTGTATGGTGAGACTGGTGCCTCCATCCCAGTTGACATTCTACGATTCCAGGATGATACAATGGAAGCTATACTCAGGGTATCAGGCAGGTAAAATTGTACAGACCTTTTTATAAAACAAGACAAGGCAAAAATCTAGTAAAGCTGGGGGAAGGGCAGTATCATAAGTCCGACGCCTCATAGGTCTGACGTCTCATAAGTGCGAAATTTCGGACTTATGAGGTGTCAGACCTGTTGGACGCCTCAAAGTCTGACGTCGGAAAAACGAAGTGTGCGAGGCGTCGGACATATGGGGCATCAGACATATGAGGCGTTCGACCTATGAGGCGTCAAACTTACGAGCAGACCCCAAGGCTGGTACCAGACTGATTTGGTCAAAGGAATAGGAAGTCATGAGAGTTTGATTTTCAGGACAATGTGAGGCTTGAGCATGTCTAACTCACAAGTTGCAGTGAGTGAGTCGGTCAATCAGCCAGTGAGATACATGTAGGTAGAAAGACGACTGTAGGCTGTCTGCTGGTACCAATGATATTGCCTCTGGACTTATGTACATGTACTTGAAGAAACCCACTGAATCTTGGACAACATTTAAACACTGTTTTGAGGTTGGTCACGCAGTAACTGTAGTGATGTAATCTACAACTTTTTCCAGGGCTGCATCATTTTAATAATAGCATTGCCCACACCCCTATTACTGTATTTTTTAATGGTTCCTTATGGTCCAGATACATAACGTGTGAAGTTTGTGCAAGCAATTTCAGCTGAATATGCACAAACTTATTACATCTTGCAAGCATGAGTATACAGGATGGAAAGGTGCTGGTTTCCATACGTAACAGTATATATGTTTTGCATTTCAACTGTAGATGGCAATGTTATGCACCAAGCGCATTGCAATTTACATCAAGAACAGACTGCACTCACTGCAGTCTACCGTAGGTGCCAAAAATGTTACCGGAGTCAGAGGTGATGCAGAAAAGAATCCCATTTAACGATGGACTCCATTATTAATAAGTTACGTTAAGTGGTGATAACTTGAGATTCCCACCGAAGACATTCCAGTATCAACATGATGATGTGTACATTGCACCTTTAGGTAAACTGTAATCACCGTATTCCTTTTGTTCTTCAGATCACTGGTGAAAGTATGGAGTGCCTTGACTCTTCTGGGTGAATATGCACAAGAGGAATGTGCAATCAGAGTAACGCAGGTTGGTACCTATGCCAAAAAGTTCAAGGTACTTTGGTTGGAAAAAACGTCACCATCCATATACGAATGCATAAAACAGACATATTTGTGTGTGTTTTTTCTTGCAAGTCTATTTGGTCCTACTACAGCATAGAGTACATAACTACAGTAAATTTGTAATTTTTTACACAAGTTTTGTTGTCTCCAGGAAAGACTTGTAGTCTATAACCTTGTGACAAAAAGGAATAACACCAGTGGTCTCTGAATTGGACCTGATTTTAAACCCCCTTTTTATTCAAACGTACTTCAAACTGACAACTTTTTATTCAAACTTCATCAGGTTTGTGAACCTGCAAAGAATTTATTGTTGCCCCCCCCCCCCCATAAAAAGGTTGCAAGTGAAGCAGTGCGCAGTTCTTTGAGAGAGGCCCCACAAATATGGGACTTCCACTGTTTTCACATGCAACACACTAGGAATTCCAGGTTTTTCCAAACTAGGATATTTGATTTACCGGTACATCACCCCGACGCAAAATTCCATCTTATGAAAATAGGACCATATATATACAATGTGTATGCAGTTTCATATTCAAGAACCTTTGGAACATGAGGCAGTCATGGCACATTCCCATTGGGAGCAGAAAAATTACTCCCTAATAAACCTTGTGCGTTAAGGCAAAGTTAGGGGACAAGGGTTTTGTATTGCTAGGATAGGTGAAAGAAAGTCAACATTTTGTGCATTCATTGTGAATAAATTAGTAACAAAATAAACCATCCGAGAAGCATTACCCGCAACGCATAATTTACGTCTATTAGGCAAAAAAAAAAATATTCGGTCTCTGGTCAGACCAAAGTTCCGGAATTGACGCGGGGACGCGGCTTTTTTTTTCTTCAAGCTTGGATGTACAGACAAGGTGGGGTACTATTTTGCTTTTTGGGTGTCCTCATGTACATTGGTGTCCTACATAATTTGCCTTGGTGCTCTCAATCATTTGCCTTGGTGCAATTTCCCATTCCTTGGTGCTCTTTGGTAAAAAAAAATGAGTAGGGGCAGCAATAGAGGGCGCTGTTGGAGCTACCGCGGAACATTTTGGGGAAAAAAAGGTTGACGCGCATGATTAAAATCGACGCGCGCGCTGACCAGAGACCGAATACTTTTTTTTGGCCTTGTACAGACAACCAAGTGAGGATGATAATACGTGTAGTTTGACAGGTCACAGTTTAGCTCCTGCCAAGAGAAAGTAGCAATGCATGTATATTTTTCATCCATGCAGGTCTCACCCCATCTTCTTGCCTTGGCAGTTGACAGCCGGCACTTCTTCCAAAATTTGCCAAGCTGAACTTTCCATGAACAGGTACTTCATTTGTGAACTTAAAAAAAAAAGAAAAGGGACATGCACAAGTAGTAATATTCAGACGTGGAGCCCAGTCTTTACTAGCTATCCTTTTTCAAGTAATCAAATGACGAGCTATTCACTGAACTTTACAAGGCATTCCTGTGTCTAGTTTTACAAATAATGAATGTTTACGAGTGCAGTGGTAAGAATGATTTCATGACATTATGAAAATTATTCTTTCCATTGCACGAATGAAATTATTCTTTCCATTGTACGAATGTGAAACATTCATTATTTGTTTTATACAACACCCGAGTATATCCTCTTCATCTGATAGGTCATATCCAGCCACCAATTGTGTTACCGTGTGATAGAACTTACATTTTTGCAGTGCAGCTAGGCCATGCATTGGGACAAATAATTCATTGACAAGTGATCCATGACCAATGAATCAGATGACGGGAATTTATTCAGTGTTCGACTATTGACTTGTTATCGACTATTGACTTGACTACAACTGTATTATAACTGACCACAAGTGTTTTTGGAGCTTGCTAGAATTTAATTAACTGAAATCTGTAGTTAAATTGTGAGCTTTTTGAGCTGAAATCTTACAGGTTGCATATGTTCCTAGATACGACTACAGTATATTGTTTTTCGCTGTTAAGTTCATAATGCCCCATATATCGGTAAAATAATTGTCAAGTTTGACATTAAGCATATTTTTACATTGATTGATTAAAAAGTGCGTTTCAAATGGAAAATGCAGGCATGATTGAAAGAAAAAAGGAAATTGTGGCTGGGGGTTTAAGTCTATAAAAAATCAAATGACAAGTACGATTTGTTTACAAGACTCATTTATTATTGTAAAAATAAAGGCAGCATCAACATGTAACATCTGTAACAATATAAACTGAAGTCTGTTCTCTTGATTTTTTGTCCATGTTTGGAATACCAGATAAAATACTGGTGCCCATCAAATTAATTTTTTTTTCTCAAAAATTGTCTTTACAACATGTTCATGATCAGTAGTATTATTGGAGACAGTGTACACTGCTTAGACGTTTACTCACATTTTTTTAAATGATTTATCAATTGTAAAGCGGTTCTTATAAATCACAGCTTGGAACTTCTAGTTTGGTTGACAGGCAGTAATTAAAACATTTAGGTGTCATTTAAAAAAGAGTAATACATCATATGCAGTCCTCCAGAAACACATCAAAACCAACGGCACATACATACGTGTATGCATGTACATGTTAACTAAATTTGAAAAATCATGTCATCAGTACATTGTACTCTTAAAGACAATACAGCCATGGGTATGAAAATACACATGCAGATGCCTTGCAGTTTCATTTTTTAATAGTACGATAAGAATTTATTTTAATAAATGATTCAAGTAGTTTAGATTCAATTCCCACCCGATCACATCATCAGTACATTGTACTCTTAAAGACAATACAGCCATGGGTATGAAAATACACATGCAGATGCCTTGCAGTTTCATTTTTTAATAGTACGATAAGAACTTATTTTAATAAATGATTCAAGTAGTTTAGATTCAATTCCCACCCGAGTAAGTTAAGCTCTCAGATAGCTCTGAATATATGGTGCTTATATAAAATTGCATCAGTGAGGGCAGAATTGACCTATCGCGGTAGAATCGCGTAAAAATCGAGTCAACGCAGCTTGTGAAATATCGTCCAATGACATGATATACAAAATGGACGCGGAACGCCCAACATCTGAGACAATAAAAGTCAGCGTACAAAAATTACATAGGGTTGTCCAAGGGGCATATCCAACTCGCAAACGGCGATAGGTCAATTCCCGTCCATCAAAATAAGACCTGCACACATGTATGATCTTGTAATGACTCTGTAAGACTGCCCAAAAGTTACTTGAAAGAATTATAAATCCTTGAAAAATTGTTCTTAAAAATGAAAGATTTTCAGAAATGATCTCCACTTGCCATGTTTGCAGTTGTGCAAGTAAACAAACAACATCCTTGTTCAACACATACCCCTAACACCCACTTCTTGATCTGTAAAAAAATATCATCCTGTGTTAAACAATGTTAAATATAACACAGATACTCTGCAAATTCATCACTTTGCCTTATTCAAAATGTGCAACTTACGGTCGATAAATTGTGTCTGGTTTGAAAATACCCTTTATATAACCTTACGACTAATGTTATGTATTTTAACTGGATAAGATGAAATAACAGAATTGTCATTTGAGTACTAAATCAAAAAGCATCAAAGGAATGAAAGCTTTTTTGTTTAATTCGCATACAGTAGGCCTATTCTTGCAAATGCACTCTGTGAATGAACTTTTCCATTTTGAAACAACCTTCATGTACCACATAAAACAACGAAAGAAATTTAGATGATATGTTTAAAATTATCATAAAAGTAAGTCCTTTCTAATGAGCCATCTGTATGTATGAAAGAAAAAGACACATATTCTGCATTACAGGAATGTGTTGTACATGTATGCATTGTCATAACTTCAGGTACATAATTAACCTCGGGTTCAGATTCAGGAATATGTTGATAAAGTGTACAAACCATGGCTCTAAATGTTGTCTGGCAATGCATTAATTTATATATTCCCAAAATGTACAAATATTCACGTTTTGCTCAGAGCACTCATGCCACTCAAAGTGGCACAATTTAAAGGTTTACAATGAAAAACTTGATATGGCCTGCTCACAATTTCAGTTTCTAAAGAGTGGAAAATATACAAGTACACATTTAAGTATATGTAAGTACAAGTTAGTTTGTACATGAACATGAATAATACCAAAAAAAAAATTGATTCCATGTACAAAATAATGCAGCACCATATTGTAAACCATTTAATTTAATTTAACAATTGAACACCTTGACAAATGTAGTTAAAACTGTCAAGTGTCTTGGTCCTTAAGGAATAAATCTTGAGATCTACATGTATGCAGAAACATGTTTGATTTTGGGTAATTTAAGTACATGTATTCTATAGTCAAGAAGCATACTACGTGTACATACCAAGTACAGAAGTGAGCAACAAATGATAGCATATCATGCTTTTGTCTGCACAGTATGCCTAATTCTTCAGTTTACATTTATGGCAGAGCCGTAAAGATGCCGTAATGCTGGTATCTGTGCAATTTTCAAGTTTCCGTGTGTTGCTCTTCTGGCAATATAAAAATTATTCACTTTAGAATGAGACAACTGAAAACGTGACAATTATTAGTTCTTTGAACTTTTTACAGTCCTGTCGCCCAAGTACATGTAGAATTGGAAATGTGGGGACAAAGAACCAGTCCATTCGCATGGGAGATTCATTAGTGTGCAATAGCAACAACCCCAAATGAAAACTTTTTAGAGGCACATAGACGCCCAAAGTAGGGGGATACCACAAAAAGAATCCCGACACAAGAAAGGGCTTGAAGGGGGAAAGACGGTACCATTCAATGATCCCATCATGCAGTACACATGTGATATGTAGAAATACATGCGTTCTCTCTTTTAAAATGTTGTTGCTTATTTACAACTGTGCAGTATACGTACATGTACTGAATATGTTTCTGATACTAATGCATGAACACGTATATGGGGAAACATTTCCCTTGTTTAATTGTTGGCATTACTCAGTCTCCGGAAGTACTTGAATAGCACGGCCACAACGATGACAGATCTTCGTTGGTGGCTTGACTAACCTGGACACAGTAACTGTACTTTTACAGTGATTGCACTGGTACTTCTTCCTCTGCAACACACTGTAAGCTTCAACACCATGCTCAATATTGAATCCAATGTAGAACTCGACTTCTGCATTGAGGTAGTTCCTGCCATATAGTTTGTACTGTTTTGGTACAAACACCGCCTGAAGTGAACCATTGTGATGACCTGCGCTCAAACCACCAGTTGTGATGCCAATGTGTCCATGAAGAGGCATCTTACAGTCCCGTATCACCCCTGTGCAGACCTGCAGTTTCACGTGTGCGCTTTCATCTTGCCAGAAACGTTTTTCTGAGTCCCAGTCACCCAGAGAACTTCTGTGTACCAACCGTCGGATACTGTGGTCCTCTTTATTGGCTCCTAACCACTCCCAGGCATATTTTCTGTGGAGACGATGGATTTTAGAGTGTGCTCTCTTGAGTTGTTCTCTGAGACGGTTTGACTCGGCCAAGTACTTCTTTTCTTGGGTTAGCAGAGCGAGCGTTGTGTTGAGAACAAACAGGTAGTACAGTGCTGTGTCAGAGGAGGGCGAAACCGCCCGACACTTTTCAACTTGTGGAAGTACTTTTCCTGCAATGGAATAGATGTCAGGTTGCAGGCGTATAGCAAGCATCCAATCTTTCAGATCAGTACTTATGTCTGTATGGATACTTCGCATATAGGCATCATGGAAGAGTCCCTCATAGAGCTGGATAATTGTCTTCATATCTTCAACTGTTAAACAACGGAGGACTTGGGAGGGAGTCCTGCGAGTTGATGCTTTCAGCTGTCTCTTATGTTTCAACTTATAGACAGCAATTTTGCTTCTGTTACTATCCACTCCTTCCTTACCTTGCCAAAACTTCAAAGCAGTCTCTGGGTCGTGAAAAATGGCGTAGAACCAGTTCAGACAACTGTCCAGCTCTTCTGTTTCTGCCTGACCTGTTGGTGACATCAAATCTTGGTACTCTCTGAGGAGATTTTCAACACAGCCAAAGCAGCTCTCGACAAAATCTCTAAGTTCACTTTCGCTGTGCTCAGCAGACAAGAAGCCATAGTATCCACCCTGTTTGTAGCATTTCTCCACAAAATCTGCAACGTGCAGTCGCATCTTTATCTCTCCAATGAAACCATAACTAGCATCCATTCCTTTGCTCCGAAATTGTCTACAGTTAGTGAAGTGGTCAACTGCAGTACGAGCATGTCTGATCACCTTCACCAGGATGTCACTTGTTTCATCCAGCATACATTTGTACTTTTTGCCGTCTCCAAGTTTCCCACCACCAATGTGTTTTTTTATTTGCTCATGGGAAAGATTGCCTAAGTTGTGGTATATTGTGCATAGGGTACTGTCATCTTTGGAGCCACCGTCACTTGCTTTTTCACCAGACATCCTGTCATATTTTTCCTGGTTGGCCTTTCTTTCTCTGTTACGAAGATCTTTAGCCTTTACGAGATACTTTTTGGCAAGGTCCAAGTCCTGTGTAATCAAAAGATGCGCTCTTCCCAAGTGCAAGATGCATGTTGGATCTTCGGGGAAGCATGATGCAAGATGTTCCATGAGCTCCAGCTGGTCCGAGGAGGATTTGGAGCAAGGTATGTCACACAGAAGTCTGGAAAGACGGTCACGCTTATGGTACTCATCCTGCCCAGTATCTCTGTAATCCCGGTGGATGAAGATACCACGCACAATGCGCATGATCGAGGAAGAAGGGTCAATCTTTAATTTCTGTTGCTTCTCACTAGCATATGTCAAGAAGTCTTTGGCAAACTTCTTCAGGTTCCTGCATGCTTCTATGCTGAGGCGGAGATATTTGTTGCCTTTCCGCCTGCCATACAGTATCTGCTCTAGGATTTCCTGGGCAACTGCATGGTGTGTTATCCTCCAGGTGCAGTTCCTGACATCTTCCAGAACAAACTGCTTTCCACTGTGTGTCAAGACATCATCAGCCTTTACAACTTCAGATTCCTTCTTATCAAACAGGATGGAGAAGAATTGGCAGGGAATGCTCTTGTGTCCATAGTAAAATGCAAGTGCCAAGTAACCCACTGCTCTCTGCCAACTGGCCAAACATTCCAAACTTTGACTGTTCAGATTCAAGTACCCTGATACATAAGATCTTAGTCCAACGTATGCGGTGTCATATACTGTCAAGCCAAATTCATACACATAGTGTGGGGTTACTTGTTCTTCCACATCTTGTACCATATATTCCAACCTCTTTTTTGTATCTCCACTACACTTGTTTGAAAAGACAAGGCTGAAACGCCTAGCCTCATTCTTATCAACTTCACCCTTGAGCCAAAACTTATCTCCTTGGCTAGTCTTGTTTCTAATTTCCACTCTGTATCTTTGTACGTTCAGGATGATGATATGGATATTCTGACTCATCTCAAACAGCTCTTTCACCAGTCTCGATTCTTGACCATCAACAAGAAGAAGAATGGGCAGATGGGTGCATTGATACAGCATTTCTAACCTTTGATATATTGCACTGGGGTCAATGACATCAGAAATTGCACATGCACATGGGAAGTCATCATGGAGATCCCACAGTGTCCGGCGAGCCAACGTTGTCCCACCTGCACCCGGTTCATGGAAGAGAGTAACAATGCCAGAAAGGCCTTTGTAAAGCCGTTTCTGAAGGGAAGCAGAGAGTTTGGATGCAACAGAGCGCTTGGCATCATAGACACCGTGTTCTATTTCTTGCCAGGTGAGATTTCCACCCTTCAAAAAAGCCTCTCCGTAATTGGACCCGTCTTCTGTTGAGAATTCCCCCTTGAAGAGTATGTCAAGTTCTTGGTGAAGCCATTCGGAGTCACGGCTTTTAAGGATGGTATTACCTGGCAGTTCATGGCTTCTGACTGAAGGCTTCCGACAACAAGGGAGCATGCTCATTTCAAAGCATAGTCGTTCAAGTGGTATCTCGATTACCTTTGATATTTCTAACTGCATGCACAGTTCTTTGACCACACCTTGACTGTCCTCATCATCCGGAGTCTGCTGCATGCAAATGACATATTTTATGCCACTCGGACACTCATCAATCTTTCCCAAGGCTTTGTGCAGATGCCTGAGGCAATCCTTGCTGCCATACCACAGAACGACCACAGTCAGTGGCTTCTTTTCACAAAACCTGTTGATCTGGTCGCGATGTGCATCAAGCGATGCTCCTACAAGTTTACCCCACTCCTTGACTTTTCCCAAGACAAGACTCTCTTCAATACTCCTCAAGCCTCGCACGAAGAGCCATTCCCTGAAGGAGTTCGATTGAGATGTTTGTAGAGGATCTTTCCATGTTGTTATGCTTATCTGGTCCTGAATAGTTGCCTCACACTTTGACAACAAGCCACTCTCTCTGCTATCTGGATCAAAATCCCAAATTTTAATCCAGGGGAAATTGCCCAAGGTACTTAATTCAGATGTTTCACTTGGACATCGACTTACCAGTAAGCAGTAGCTTCGTCTTTGATGGTTTTCAACATCCATTAGATGAATGAATTCTTCCCAGTTGCTATCCATTGCATCTCTTGGTGTGCCACTGGAGTTCCTCTTATTAAACCATCTGTATATTGGACCTTGATCTTTACGAGTTGCACAAGCAAATGTATTGCCGTCTCTGAACAAAATGTCATTCTGAGACCATTCCCCATTGATGCATGTATCTTTAGCATAACAAACATCTCCGTAGCCCTTACCATTTGCAATGCGCACAACACCATAGATTTTATCAGAGTACCCAGCCTCAGAGTAACAAAATTGTGGCTTGTATGAAAAGCTTTGGTTCATGAACTTCTCCTGGTAGTCTTCATTTATTCTGCCAACCTGTTTCAGACCTTGCAAATCATGTGGAGGCGAGGAATAAGCTTTTACACCTACAACAATGTATGCATCATCCTTACCTTTTCTTGGAGTATTCCACAAGGCCACAACATCCTTCGTGAACACCCTTGAACCTTCTTCTCCCACATACTCGTCCTCAGTTCTGAATATGAGATGGCTTCCCTTACACTTTTCCATTAAAGGCCTTAGCTCATCGGCTTCTACTCTTGGGCAATATTTTCTGTCAGGGGTCTTACACAAACTCTTAGTTGAGTCACCTCTGTTATTCGGGGCCCGAGGACTTCTTTTGGGTAGTTGCCAAGGTATTTCCTCTTGATATACAAAGCCTGACGGGGAGGAGCAAGTTGATGAAGGTTCAGATGCCGTCTGATAAGTCTCTATTTCACTTTCAATGTCACTACCAGCATCACTCACATCTGTACTAGGTACTATTTTCCCACCCCCTGTATGAATCTGAACTACATACTTTTTTCCTTCCTGCTGAATGAGTTTCAGACATTTCGTCTTATCTTTAACAAAAGGCTCAATCCCTCCTACAACAAGCTCTCTAAATAACAACTTTTTACCAAACTTCATGTGGAAACGGTCCCTCAGTTCTTGAAGCTCCATTCTGTATTTGAGGTCTGACTGATTGGGATTGATGATGGAGGTCAGCATGGCCTCTGCTATTGTCGCATGATCTGATGTCCTTCCCTCTTCTGCAAAAAGTAAGAAAGATGCTAGTAGCTCTCCTAGTCACTCTTTTGCACTTCAAACCCCTAAATATTTTACCTTCTTTTTTTTACAGGTTCGCAATAGCACCCACACTTTAAATTGTTTTGAGGTAATCTTCTGTTGGTTACGGAAGCTTGAATTGCCTTCCACGATACCGCGTTACCGTGATAATTTATCACAGAAATCCGGAATTCAAAGATAAATCCTTCCTTGATACTGCATTACTGTGATAATTTATCGCAGAAATCCGGAATTCAAAGATAAATCCTTCCTCGATACCACGTTACCGTGATATTTTATCACAGAAATCCAGAATTCAAAGATACGTATTCCTCGATACCGCGTCACCGTGATAATTTATCACAGAAATCCTGAATTCAGAGATAATTCCTTCCTCGATACCGCGTTACCGCGATAACTTATCACAGAAATCCGGAATTCAAAGATAATCCCTTCCTCTATACCGCGTTACCGTGATAATTTATCACAGAAATCCTGAATTCAAAGATAATTCCTTCCGCGATACCGCGTTACTGCGATAATTTATCACAGAAATCCGGAATTCAAAGATAATTCCTTCCTTGATACCGCGTTACCGCGATAATCATCACAGAAATCCGGAATTCAAAGATAATTCCTTCCTCGTTACCGATTTGTCTTTGAATTCTGGATTTCTGTGATAAATTATCACAGTAACGCGGTATCGAGGAAGGATTTATCTTTGAATTCCGGATTTCTGTGATAAAATATCACGGTAACGCAGTATCGAGGAAGGATTTATCTTTGAATTCCGGATTTCTGTGATAAATTATCACAGTTACGCGGTATCGAGGAAGGATTTATCTTTGAATTCCGGATTTCTGTGATAAATTATCACGGTAACGCGGTATCGCGGAAGGCAATTCAAGCTTCCGTAGTCACTGGTAGTTGGTGGAGTATGAATAGCACTTCATATCCCGCTGGTTGAGCTCAGGGAGAGCATGTGGATTCTGTCATGCCTCACTGTTCACCACTGTGCATTGTTTGTGCAATTTCTCTCTGTGACACACTTACTTTAAGACTTCATACATGTCATAAACTGTCTCAACCTGAAGGGTACCTGGTATTAAAGGGTTTTACATACTCATCTGAACACTGACCTCCCACGAGGAGAGTAGAATTTACAGATGATATATTGTGGAAATGTACATGCATTGCATGTTCATAAACATTGTTTGAATCATACTACACCTGTGTATTGTGAATGTACAATAGTATGATTTGTGACTAAATCTCAACATGCGTTATAGGCTATCAGCTTCAGTCCAACAATTGGGCCACCGGTATCAAATGATTGAAAGAAGCAATGCTCATTTTTTGCAAGTTATACACATCTAGAGTTAGAAAATGTGTGATAGCTTTGCCATGTTAGCGGGGACAGGTTTTTTGGTGTCATATCACTTTTAAATGTTTTTTTTCTTTCGAAACGGCCGCCAGTATGCTTGTTACCGGATTACATGTATATGTGGTAACACGCATGTTTTGGCCGCCATTTGTTTTTTTTTTAAAGTAATATCACCCAATAAGCTGCCACCACTGCAGTGCTACCCCCGGTATTATTTTCCAACGACAGGGGTGCATACATGTACCGAATACCTTGCCAAAAATCACAATGAGCATTATTCCCCTCATTTGATGCCAACCAAACCCCCAGCTGATGGCCTACATGTATGTATGATGTAATGTCTCAGACTTGACAAGTATAGCAGCTAAACTCTTAAATGCAGTGTTAATAACAAGTTTCGCTCTGTGCTTTTCATTTTTGAGTAAACAATGTTTATTAACGCATTCATGATCTGGCGACATGTATGGCTGTGCATTTTTTTTATATAATGTAATATTTGATTTTTGTAGCTTTAACACAATCAAATGATTTGAAATGCATTAACAAGATTTAACATGCGCCCAACCCTATGGCCGCGCCAATCAAGATTTGCATGTGCTTGCATTTGTCAAAAAATCACAAATCTCATTAAAATATTATTAAGAACAGAAAGGTGTTACCTGTACAAATGTACATGTATATGGCTGATATTGGACTGATTTAGAAAGAAGAAATATGAGCCAATTTTCTTCATGGATGTTCTCAAATCATGTGCAGAAGCGGCTTTCAACAAAATTGCTGCATTCGATAACCATTCCATTTATAGAATTAATAGCACCTTGTGGATGTTTCTCATCTCCACAAGACCGCTCACCTTTTTCTAACAATGCACATGTATTTGCATAAAGGGTCATGTGTCAAATCACCGCGTGGATCAAACCTCATCCCTTTTAAATTTGTTCAATTTTGTTGTAGGCCTATAAGGTAATTGAGGCAGAAAAAGCTGAATTTTAAGTTATAGCACCATCGGGCTAATACTTTTTACGCAACCACTTCCATTTTTTTTGCAGTTCAAAATGGATATGGCTGCCAATATTCAAATGAGCATCCATAACCTGTTGGCTTATATTGTTTAACTCTTTCGCTACGGAATTTAATTTCCCGATTTTTTTCACGTTTGTACGTAATAAATCGCTGGAAATTCTGCCGTGTGTCGATGTGGACACCGCCATCTTTAAATGTCCCTCTGTAAACAAACTGCTCAAAATAGCCTGCAGCAGACCCCAGCGAGACGGAGAGCCATTGACAGCGGCTCAAACTAGGGTCAGAGGTTATACGATACAAATTATGTAAATAAGGCACACGTCAGGGGATACCCCTTTTTGTTCACAGCGATGTCTCCGAGCTGCTGCCAGCGGCTTGCCGTAGCAAAAGAGTTAATGTATTGGTGTATTTTGAAAGGTAACAACATCATAAGGAATCCAAAGTTACCATTATTTGTGATGTTGGAGCAATGTGTACAATATACAATTTTTTGTGTGCTGCTGTCAGCGGCTTGCCGTAGTGAAAGAGTTAATGTATTGGTGTATTTTGAAAGGTAACAACATCATAAGGAATCCAAAGTTACCATTATTTGTGATGTTGGAGCAATGTGAAGTATGGCGAATTTTCGATGCGTACTTTGACCCTGAATTTAACCTTGTGGATCATGTGACATCCAATTGTACCCTAAAAGGTTTTCTACAAAATATCAAAAAATAGATTGTTTAAAAAATGTGATATTCCTATGTCATGTACACACGTACATGTACAATGTACTATAATATGTTAAATTACAACAAGTCCAAAACCGTTCAGTTTCAGTTTTAGTTTCATCAACATTTATTTCCAATTTCAACAATCAATAAGAAAAATTAAAAAAGAAGAATTTGAACCATATGTACATTGTATCTTGGAAATCAAAGCGAGGCAAATAATGCAACCAAGAATGGATGCATAACTGCTGTGTACAGTATAAGTGTACATGTACTCTAATTCTAGTTAAAGCAGAATAATATAGAGATTTAAAATGTATGAAAAATTTTGTCCAAACATGCCGTACCCATTCAACGTCTAGGTACATGTATGTGTTTATTTGCTGTAAAGTTTGTTTTAAAATCACAAGCTGAAGTTAAGTGTTACACAGTAATTATGTAAAACTGCAGTTTTACATGTACATACATGTATATGTCAAGAACAGTTTGTTTTCTTTATTCTATGTAGGCCATCAGCATGGAGGTTTGGTCGGTATCAAATCAGGGCATCAATGATTATAGTGCTCATGCCCAAGGTATACCGCCCCTAGAATGGTAACAAGCATTTTGATGGCCATTTTGAGAAAAAGGGTGGTAACACCCAAAAAGCTGCCACCACTGCAATGCTATCACATATTTTCCAACTGTGGAGGTGTATACCTTGCCAAAAGTCGCTATGACGATTATTCCCCTCATTTGATACCGGTGGCCAAAATTTTGGAGCGAGGCTGATGGCCTAATGTGGGATATGAGAAATAATGGGTACAAAAGTGGAATATTTTGGCAATGGGTGAACATAAATTGCCAAGCCCAAGTGAATGCCCTTGTTTAGTTGTACACTGTACATGTAAATGTTTAGGGATATGTTTTGTATTGATGTTATTTGCCTTGCTTTGATTCCTACAAAATTAACTCTTTCAGTGCCCGCGAAATTTGAAAAGTTTAACCCTAAAGTGCCCAACTTCGAGCGTTTTTGTTAATTGTTCAAAATTCTGTAAAAAAAAAGGAAATAAGTTTTACTCACTTAATTTGTTGTTGTTGCTCTCTGCATGTATATCCTTGGTATATTGGAAAGTCAATAGTAGTCACATACATGGTGATACACTCAGAAACACTGTGCTGCACACAGGGGAATTCCGCACTTTTTGCAGAAAAGACAAGTTTTAGTGCTGCACCCTCTCGCAAGAACTCAAATAAAAAAAAAAATACAGGTCGTACATGCATGAAAATGGTACCATTAGAAAGAGCGAGAGCGCCCCCTTTTGATAACATGCTTACTCTACCTCGTACATATGTACGAGGTTTGGCGATTTTAATCACAAACATTACCTCGTACATGTACGAGGTTGGCCCTTTCGTACTAACAAATATAACTCGTACATGTATGTATGAGTTTGGCACTGAAAGAGTTAAAGATGGCTTCATCTCATGAGAAAGGTTGATGTATTCTCAATATTTTAAATATATCCATGCACACACATGTCATTGTGCATGTACCTGGTAATTAGTCACTTTAAAAAAGGAATGATTATAACATACATATGGTATGGACCTTCATTATGTGAATATTTTATGTTCATGTATTACATGGTATCTTACAATATACCTGTGTAAATGTCTATTATGCCTTTCAGCGGAACTGTTGTCTCAATTTCTGCTCCTCGATGGATAGACAGCTCTTGTCCGTCCCAAGTCACACATGCTTGTGGTTTCAGCACCCTCTCCTTAGGTCTTGCACCTGGTCAATTGTATAAAGTGTCGTAAACAAATTTGGGAATCAAAAGTAACAAAAAACATGATTTGTTGATGAATCCATTTTTAGAATTCATGTTGTTAAGGTTAATATCAACTTAAAATGGTTACTTAAATCATGAGCCTCTGTGTGAACCATTTTACAAAATTGTTTCATTAATAGCCCAAACAGCCCTGAATCCTCTAATTTTAATATAATTTTTCACACATCCCTAGAGGGATAGGTTTTTGGCAAAAATTAACCTTTCAGCTAAAATTCATAGCAACATGTACCTGCTCAAAAGTAAAAATAAAAATCAGATCAAACAAGTCGTCACCGACACCACGAAGTAACACTCTACCATGTTAAACCATATTTTTTTCGATTTTCAGTTTTTTTTTATTTGTAAACATTATTCATCAAGGCGTACCATTGCACAAAGTTTCAAAGCTTCAAATGCTTTACTTTAATAATTATGCTAACTATCCATGGCAACTTTTGCGAAAAATGTCAATTTTTGTTTTCACGAAGTAACACTCAAGTTCCATTTACCATTGGAATGCATGGTGCGCACTCTGCTCATAAGTGAGCAAAAACGTTTTCCGAAGTAACACTCTTCTTGTAATAAGTTGTATGAGCGCGCGCGCGCTGACCTGAAGTTGCACTTTCCTCGTGTTGTATACATTGAAGAGTGTTACTTCGTGAAAACGAAAATTTACAGTTTCGCAGCTTTTTCGGTTTCATGAACTAAGGCCAAAAAAAATGTCTCCGGTTTCTGGTATGCGCGCGCGTCGCCGTAGCCATGCGCGTCGGCAAAATGAAAAAAAAATTTTTCAATAAAAGATGATGTCTCAAAACCGCCAAACTCACTGGTTCGACTGGAATTCTGCTGCAGCACAATTTTAACGTGTTTTTAGATGGGGGTATGATCGAGAATAAGCTTTATGTGGACTCTCTGGACTCCCGTACATTTTGCACTAAGTTTAGTCGGCCACCATTTGCAGTCATCAGCCGACACTGATTTGAAGCAAAAAAGTCGGGCAAAAAAGAAAAAAAACCACGTCGCCGCACCACTTTTTGGGCAAGCTCCATACCAGAAACCGGAGACTTTTTTCTTTTGGCCTAACATTCATCTTTTTTCTCTTTTTTCTTGTTTATATAATACACAAACGGGTGACAAACAGCAAATTTAATAAATTTAATCCATCAAGTGTCCACAACGAGAAACCCAACTGAAAATACTCTGTCATTTTGACGCAAAGTGTTGTTTTAGAAAGCGTTCAACTTTAGTTGCCGTTTTTGCTAGTTTTTACTGGTATGTACATGTAGATGGGTGTTACTTCGTGGTGTTGGTGACAAAGTGACACAACACATTCCTGATACACATACAGGGACTTACCAGTTTCTTCCTGCTTTGATTTACTTGCAGCACCAGCACCTGACACTATGAGATAGCTTCCCTCATCAGCATCAAAGGGGCATTTATACATGTACCTATCACATGCCTCTTCAAGTATCTCTCGAGTTGCAGCCTCTTCTATGGTGCTCACCCACTTCTTCAGCGCCTGGAATCTTCGTTCTACTGCGATCTGGAAGTTCTCCTCTATGTCACCAATCATCACGTCGACTGAAGACTTCCCATCATAGGCAGACATAAGATATCTGAAGATGGGCTTCCACTTTGAAGAATGCATTTCTTCTGCAATGTCCTGCAAGTAGACGTCAGTTAAACTACGCTGCCTGCCATTTCTGCCTGAAACTGTAAAGCATGTAAAATGGTATTATGTACATTTGTACGATGTAAACTGTTTATTTTTTTTCATGAAGTAAATTATGTAGTACAACTGCAGAATAATCAGCCAAAAGTACAACACATGCAGTCTGCATTAAGAGAAAAGAGAATGCATTACATTTAACATTTTGAAAAGTATTGCACATGAACTGAATCCTGTATTAAAAGATCCCTGTCTGTCTGTCTAATGTCTGTCTGTCAGGCTGATGTCTGTGTGTCATGTTTTTATAAAAGTCCTAAAAACTCGGATTATTTAGTCATTCAGTATATGGAGATCCTTAACTGTGATATGCTTCGATTCACTGTCCCCTGAAGTCACAGTTGGCACAGAAAAAAAATGATATATTTGTTTTGTTTCACTTTTCTTTGCATTTTTTTTTTATTTTGACTTTTAATAGTTCAATATTACAACATTATCTCTATGAAAACACTCCGAAACATGCATTTCAAGACCTGATAATGAACCCCTTCTCAAAAATACGTCAATTGAGGGTGCACTGTTCAGCTACCGGTAGCGGGTGCTGCGTGAAGTGCGGCATTCCATTATAGGTACACAAAGTAGCCATGAACATCAAAACTTTAACAAAAGTGAGCATTAACAATCTGTAAATTGATATGAAAATCTAGGTCTTCAGTGTTCTCTGTACAGAGTAACTTTGTGACTTGCATACCTTAAAGTTAAATGGCTGTATGGAGTAATGGGCTAATTGATCTAGCATTGACTAAAAGTCTACGAAAGATAAATTGGTGGGTTTTTTTCACTTCAAGACAAAATAGAATGTAGTCTTTAGAAATTTAAATTGCCCCTTCACATTGTAGCTATAAAACCTGACAGCAAGTCTTGACTTGAGCCTTTTGTTTTAAATTTAAACTCACGTGGACATGAAACCTGTTTCTGGAAGATACCACACGTACATGTAGTTTAATTTCTGCCTATTTCCCCAAGAGAAAAAAAAAATCAACGCAAATTGCAGCTACCTGTTGCTGAACTTCCGGTATGTTGATCTGAGCTGTCTGATGAACTTGCAATGTCTAGTGAGCCTGCTCTCAGTGGCAAAGGTTTCATGGATGGACTTGGTACTGGACTTCCTAAAATGTAAAAATAAAATCAAGCATTGGCCAAACAAGTACATTTTCATCTTTTTGGTTCATTTTGTTACAATAAAATGTGCCGTGTGTAGGTAGGTAGGGATTGGGATTGGCTGTACATTAAATACACAGACTACTTTGCTATACTCTTCATTGTACTTTCAAAACAATAAGTGAAAAATTTGGATCCTTTTTTTCTCTTCAAATTGTAACTTTTTCCCCTTCAAATTATCCCTTTTTTTCAGCTGAGTGAATACCCGGTATTGCCTAAATTTGCCAAGCAGTGCATTTGTTTATTTAGCACCCCGTGAAACAGGGCTCTGAACTCACCTTTAGGAGAATTTCGTTTCTTTGGTGGGACTATCTGCCACTCAGCCTGTCCCTTCTTCAAGGCCTTGTGTTTGCTTTTAGCTTGTGGTTCCATTGCTGGCTTAATAGGCAGTTCACAGTTGATCTACATGCATTAACTGTTAAACCTTGAATACAAGAAAGGAGTAATAACAAATCTTTACCTACAGGTACTTTGTCTCCATGTAAATATAAATATTTTAAAAAGAACCTGGTCAGTGACAACTTATTACATTCCATTAATTTAACACAATCTGTACACACAACATTTGGTAATTTGTATAAATTCAAGTACATGTAGTCGAGATTTTATTAAAATATGACTAGTAAAAGCAGAGAGGAAAAGGGGGTAGGGCCCAGGATGCGATAGTTGTCCAGTAGACTGGTACTTTTATGGGGCTAATTCCAACTTGCATGTTATTCTGAATGAAGACACTGTTGTACTTTAACCCTAACTTACCTGTATCCATCAAAATCCACACCCCTGTTTTTGGAAGATTTCGGCGGATTTAGCATACATGTACCTCCATATTGATAAAGTTAGGAGATTTTGATGGATTCAGGACAGTAAGCCTAGCAGTACTACATGATTTTGATGAATTCAGGATACCTCCATATTGATCAGCTAGTTGGTGGACTCTGATTGATTCGGGATCTCAACAGTTTAACTCCTTGGCATATGTTTGGTGTGTACTGTGTACGAGGGATTCTGGTGGACTCACTAGTGGATTCTGATGGACTTGGGACACCAACATTTGTTTTCCATCAAAATTTAATGATTTTGGCGGATTCAGGATACTTTCTAGTAAAAATATCCAAGGGGTTAGAGTTAATATGTAGGCATGGTTGGTCCAGTTTCCTCTAAGAAGAAGTGCCCCTTTTTCAGGCAAAACCTTAACACATTTTGAAATATAGGCTATGGGATTGGGAACTTGGAAATGGGGGTGCGAGCTTCAAAACTGACCATTATCATGCATACTACATAAAATATGGACATTTTCACGGCGCATTGTAATGGTTGTTGAGCGGGTTTTCTTTGGTGGGATTGATGTCAGAAGAAGTCTAGCATAGTGCCCCCCCCCCCTGGATTCGCCACCGATTGAATTGAATCAAATCGAATTGAATGAAGAACTGCTCATGTGGTACTTGGGAAACAGGATGTAGTTGAAATATCAAATATTTAAGAAGGGAACAATTTCGTCATTTAAATTAAATTAATGTTATTATAATCTAGTCATGTCTTGGTTTCCTTATTCTCGTAAATAAAGATGAGCGAGTATGATTGAGTAATCATATAAAACAATGGTCTAGTAACTTGACTGTACTGAGAAACTGTCAATGTCAAATGACCCTAAAACTTGGAATTGCTCTGTACTGAAAACAATACACACTGCATAGGCACACTGTGTGGGTGTATAGTATGGAAAATGTATGAGTTAGGCCAAAAAAAAAAATAAGTTGGTCTCTGGTCAGCGCGCGCGTCGATTTTAACCTTGCGCGTCGATCTTTTATTTTTCCAAAATGTTCCGCGGTAGCTCCAACAGCGCCCTCTATTTCCGCACCTCCTCAATTTTTTTTACCAAAGAGCACCAAGGAATGGGAAATTGCACCAAGGCAAATGATCGAAAGCACCAAGGCAAATTATGGAGGACACCAATGTACATGAGGACACCAAAAAAGCAAAATAGTCTGAACAATCCAAGCTTGAAAAAAAAAAAAAGTCCCCCCCCCCAAAAAAAAAGCCGCGTGGCTGCGTCAATTCCGGAACTATGGTCTGACCAGAGACCGAATATTTTTTTTTTTGGGCCTTATGCTGTTTTTTTATGCATTATACATGTAGAAGTGTTGCAGGAACCATAAATGTGAACTTTTAAAAAGTTGCATTGAAAATTAAAGGCTGATAAAAAACTAATAATTCAGACAAATTGATAATTAAGAAAAAATTCGGTTATCTAAAAATGCCACATGCGGTGTGGCTGTATTGGCAGGAGACAGTACAGCCGTTGTAAATCAGTGCCAGGGACTTTTTTGGGGTGGGTGGGGGGGGGGGGATGACAAAAATAAAACAACATTGCCCAGCCGTGGAAATTCAAAGGGGGGGGGGGGTGCTAGACAAACACATGACACTAGGGGGCGCTGTTCATGACACAGATGTACACTAGTTTTATGTATACTCACTGGCGCCCCATCACCTGATGATCAAAATGGCGGATTTTAAGCTTTTGAACTTTTTTAGCACTATCGATACATTTTGGTTGATGGGAAGTTCCCATTAACGGGATTTACACCCCTGAGACAGTTCTTGGACACGTTAGAAACAACTTGAATTTAATTGAGTGTTTCGATAACACCAACATGACCAACAGCCGAGCTTTATTTAGAAAATAAAATTGTCGTCCAGAAAAGTTTCATCCCCAGAGAAGAAATTGTGGGCCACAATTCTTTCCAATTTTTGTCTGTTCGACTATAGCAGATTAAAAAATTCCGTTCGTTACAATTTGATCATCCCTTGTAGTAAGATTTGTACTTGGGTGGAGGGAGTACGTACACTGTACTTCTCCTAGCCTTATAGACAACTTACCCTGCAAAATTGTTTGCCTCTCTACAAAACACCAACCAAGTACAAAAAAGGTCCATCACAACAAAGGTCCATTTCCCACAAAACCGCTGCACAGTTTGCCTCTAAACTCCGTACAATACCTCATGACATACTCACGCTACGTGCACCAAACAAACATCGGTGGATTCTGTCGATTTTTAGGCCAAAATGATGAAAAATATGCCCTTTCCGCACTGAGCCAACCTGACACTTGAAACATGCACGCAGAAGAATGATCGCGATCATTTTCGGCTCGCTCGCTCGGAGCATGCCGTGGGGGCGGGGGTACGGTACCGGTAGGAGTGGAACGATAATATGCGCATGCGTACAAGTGCAAGTACATGTGTACGTACCCACGGCGCGCTCCGAGCGATCGAACCGAAAATGACTGCGATCTTTCTGCGCACGTGCAGGTTTCAAGTGTCAAGTTGGCTCAGTGCGGAAAGGGCATATTTTTCATCAATTTTGCCGAAAAACCGAAAGAATCCACCGATGTTTGTTTGGTGCACATAACGTGAGTATGTCATGAGGTATTGTACGGAGTTAAGGGGCAAACTGTGCAGCGGTTCTGTGGGAAATAGCTTGGTTGTAATGGACGTTTTTGTACTTGGTTGGTGTTGTAGAGGCAAACAATTTTGCGGGGTAAGTTGTCTATGAGGCTCCATAGTTCTAGGAGTACACTGTACAGATCACTGCACGTTGTCTTTTGCCAAATTGGTGTTGAGTAAAACCATTTTAGGCCTAGTCTTCGAGAAAAAAAAAGCGAAAGTAGAAATGTTGAATGTACTCTTACCCCATTGGGGGAGGAATCAGATCGGCAAAAGACATTTTGAGTGCAGCAGAGACTCGATCCCGGGTGTCAACTTCTTCACAGAAAAGAAACGAGCGGCATGACTCGCACAACTGGTGGTTTTTGCGAACTAATTATTACATGTCAGCGGTCATGTGAAGCAACCTCTCATTTCTCTTCAAACCTCTGCTCTCGTTCCTCAATCGATCTGACTCTCAACAACCTTCGCAGAAGGAAAGCTTGAGCTTTATCTCGAAACTGTTGACTGAGCTGAGTTGACGTGAACGAACGCTATATGACCTAGACTGTTTGTGTTGCTTCCGCGCGTAGTGGCGTTATTGCGTGTCGGGGGTTTTCCCCAAAGTTCACTGGTTCCTCTGCATAAACTGCCAAGGCCACTTACTAGTTTAGACTGGTACTCGGCACACGTAACATCACGGTCGCAACTGCGAATACAAATGACGTAAACCACTCTGTTTATAGTTCGGAAATCCCACGTTTTACTAATAATAATGGCTACACATGTAGCGCTTGATGAGTTAACCAACCAACGTACTAGTCGGCACAGTGCATTTATATTGATTTGCGGTTAACAAAAGTAGACGATTGACTATCTATTTGTGAGCATTTCCGCGACCTATGAGATGCGTCAATTTATTTGTGTGACCCGCACATTTTGATCACAAAGGGAAAAGAAATTAATATTGCAAATTTAAACAATCACAGGCCGGGGCTATTATATATGTTTCCAGTTTTTGTGTGAATTCATTTGTGACTGACAGAAGTGGAAGATATTGTTTGTGCAATTCGCCAGGGCGGATCCAGGAGGGGGGGGGGGCCTAAAGGGGGCCATGCCCCCCCCCCCAAAAAAAACCACGATTCCAATTTTTTTTTTAGTGACTTCGCATTAAAGGCAGGCAGATGAGTACACCACCATCTTTTCCTAAAACAAAAAAAACCATTGGTTAAAGTGGTAAGAAATCGCCTCAGATCGCACCACAGAGCATCTATAATCCAAAAATATTTCGGGCCCTTAATTAAGCGGGCCCCGAACCCCACGCTGTAATTTTTTTGGGGACACACTTTTTGGGGACCAAAATGTTTCCCCCCCCCAAAAAAATGTTCTGAATCTGACCTTCTCTGTGTGTTTTATTACACAAAATTAAAGTACTTCCGGGAAACTATCCGTGGAACATTGCATGATGGGCTGGGGACCGTGGGGCGGGGTGGAGTTGGCGGAAGTTTCACGATTTTTACGATCATAATGGTGACTGATTAAGCGGGATATGTAGATTAACTTAAGAAACAAAACCGCACGAGTCGAGCGAGTGGCCGCATTATTGTTGAAGTTGCATCTATACATTTTGATCCTGCCACAAAAGAATAACATCTCACTGATAACACTCGTGACTTATCTTCTTTTCCCGTTTAGAAAGCGAAATGTGTCGTTCGATAAACACAAGCATTGCAATGAAAGCGAAAAGAGCTTTTCAAAAATAACACGAATGTACGCACAGAAACCATGAGGTAATTGGTCACGTGAGTCTTTATGAGCCAATCATTTTGCTGCTTGGAGGCACGGCATTGGGAGGGTGCTTTCACATTCAGAGAAGATTTGGCAAAGTTGTTTCATTGCAATTTCTGCCTCTATGAAACTCGGACCTTTGTGTTACAGAACTACGCAACGAAGACAGGACAAAGCTGGAACTTTTTACGCCATTTCAAGTTAATATTAATAACCGCTCATTTATTCTTGAAGAGTGCTCAATGAGCCGCGGTTGGTCGACTGTGTATCATTAAATGACAAGCTCATCACGAGGTAATTATTCGCCTGAAATATTGTTATCTCTACTTAAATGAGATTTAATTCATAGGCATTCACAAGCTTTCAAGACGGAGACCGTTTTACGTCGGGCACCAAATACACCATGAAAGCAATAAAGAAAATGACAGTTTTCTGGGCTGTGATGTACTATATACCTTAGTTCCTGTAATTATTATTACAGCTTTGCTTATTTAAAGACATTTATTGAACGAGGTTTTGCATTGAAATGTGGAGACAGATTGCGAAGAAAAAGGATTAATTGCAAAGTCGATCGTTTGCAGCTATCCAAAAAATAATTGACAAATTATTCTTGAAAAGCATACTTGGTATAAATATAATGGCAAAATAAACTCCCTGTGAAATTATTCTTTTAGGCATGCTGTCAATTTCAAGAAAACAATAAAAGAAGGCCATTTCCTAAGCTGTGTCAAGTGACGCATTTTTGGAAATTCTACGTTTTGACCAACACTTCTACTTAATGTTCCCGAACTTTCCCGAACTCCTTTTCTTTGCCATTAAATTGCACTTGTTTCATGAATTAATTACCTATCAAGGGGTATGGAGACTTTACACCGAGGGACTGTTGCAAGCCTGCTGTTGATACTAGTCGTTCTTAAAGGCCGTCCAAGTCATTGTCAACCATACTGTAAGTGAAGATTTATTTCATACCCACCCTTTAGTTTGCAGAAATGTGCATTTACGACTGCAACTATAGATCACCTCAATTGTCGGGGGGGGGGGGCGTGATCTTAATTCCGGACAAGGACATGTTTATTACAGTGATCGGTTTCTTAAAGGGGTCATGAAGTGAATTTTCCCGAGGAACATATTTTGTGCAACTTTCTACTCCTCTTAAAACGTATATGAAAAATATTTGACATTCCCTTTTGGTTACTTTTATGGAAAAAAATGCACCTCTTTAAACATTTCAAATTGTCTATGCTTTTCCTGAAAAGTAAGGGTGCTGTTCCTGTGATGTCATTATTTTCAGAAAGACACTTCAGTTTAGGGGTTTTTGGTTCAAATTGTGCAACTCATAAATTTACTTATTGAAAAATGGTTGTGAGAAAAGTTTGCTCATTGACGTACTGCAACTAATCACCAAAGAAAAGAAAATTTACGACAGCGAAATATCCAACAGTTGGCAACTTTTGGTGCTGAAATAGCTATAACATTGAGGTTTCCGCATATCACATTTTGCTCATGAATATGGAAATTTTCATCATCATAAAAACCCATAAGGCACCAAATACCCTTACAAATGGCAAAACGGAAATTGAAAATAGGATTTAATGGGACACAAATGTGCATTTCCAAAGATTTCATTAAAAACAATACATGGCATGGGCCCTTTAATTTATTTAGTCAATCGGTCGTGAAGTCGGAATATAATAGGGATATTATTTTGCAAATGGATGAAGGTATTTGTGATCTGTTAAAAAACCTTGCTTTCAAAATAGTAGGAAATGATGGTAAGGTTTTCAATATGGTCCTTTTCACAATTGCTGTAGTTTACATTCCGCTGGAATTATTTTTGTTACAACTAGATGGTTCAAGCGGGGTTTTTGAGGGGATAGTCTATTATGAAACTCCTTCCCCCCCCCCCGGATGGTTCATCGGATACTCCAAGGGAAACAAGCTTTTACACTGATCTCGCAAAAATAGTGTGGGCATATGTGTTCTTCACCATGCTGTTATTCCGAAGAAACCCAGATGTCTCACATTGTCTACAGACAATCTCAATTTCTGAAGGAAAGTTTCATTGGTAGGCGTAGTTGGCAGAGATTGCAAAGGGAATAACTTATTGTGTGCAGAAAAAAACAACCACAGTTACTATAGCCCTAACAGTCCTGAATCCTCCAATTTCAATACGATTTTGCATACCCCCTAGGGAGTTAGGGTAAGCATCATGTATTTCGGGAAAGTGCTATAAAGACAAGTCAGGACAAACAAAAATTAATTATGGGAATGATTACAGACAATACATGGAAATACACAGTGACAAAAGAATGGATTGTCATTGACCATTTTGTTGGCACTTGATTCGAGACCGAATAATTATCTTGTGACTGACAAATTATGTTCCCATGTCCGTCGAAACTTGCGAGGACTTTCGAGGAGGCATTGGACTAATTTGTCCTGTGACGCACGCGTGGACGCAACACAGAGTTTCCACATAATTTTGCGTTAATTGGCTTTGGGTTGTGAACCTTGTACATATTAATGAAAGAGAAAGTAATGATGAAATTGATATAACACGAGAGCTGACGTTATTGAAACCCAAACTGAAACCTTTTTTCCTGTATAAGTTCCATGTTCTACATTACCGTACTTAGTTCTTGAAGATTTTGTTCATAAGACTTCATTTCTTTTGTTCCTTCGGAGCTTTCATTTTGTGATCGCCAATACAGAAATAATTATCATAAGCCACCACCATAAACTTGTGGCTTTTGATTTTAAAACTTATAGGGGTTTACTGAATGAAATCAAAGTAACTGTGTTCGTACCAATTGATAGGGAAAATGTGTGTGTTTTTATTAAGTTGATTTAATGCTTGGGTTTATATCATGTTGGCCTTTTTATGTGCGTGAGAGGAGTTGCAGTATACGTGTAGGCCCTACTTTCTTTAATTGATTAGTTTGCTAAAAAAAGATAGAGCTACAAACCAGTTGAGTTTCTTTTCAATCTGTAGATTGAGTTTCTATTCAATCTGTGTATAAGGTCCACAACACGGGAAACTATATATGTGGAAACTCTGTGTTGCGTCCACACGTGCGTGACGTCGCGGGGTGGGGGGCAAGGGGGGCGCTCCCCCCTCCCCCGGACAAACCCCCAAAAAGGGGGAAATGAGGGAAAAAAGGAAAGAAAAAGAGACGCAAAGTCATATTGCTGATAATTTAATTGGTTGGGGGGGGGGCAAATGTCCCTGCCTATATAATACCTCGAGAAAAATGATCAATCGAGAATAGGCTGGAATAGTATAGGAATTTTGAAAAAAATCCTGGCGACGCCCTTGTGCGTGACAGGACACAAGAGTCCAGTGCCTTCTCGAAAGTCCTCGCTAGTTTCGCAGAGAAAACTCAAAATGTGTTCTTGTATGATTTTAATATGGTGGTTCAATTCGTTCGTTCTTGTGAGTCAACCCTTTAGAACCTAAAATCACGGCCAAAATGGTTGGGACACTTCCTGAGCCTGCCATGGTCACCCACTCCCCCGCTCTCCCGGTCAATGTTGTTCTCTCCAGCTGATGGAGTACACACCACGCAGTGAGAGACAGCATTGAGTGGGCGGGGCCGGTAGGTTGAGGGCCCAGCGAGATTTGTACAGGATTGTAGCTACACAGGTATCTTAGTTGTCTCAAGCCATTTTATGGTGTCGTCGAGACTGGCGAGGCATTCGTAGCCACGGGGGGGGGGGATACTTGGCACGAGGTGATGATGTGGTCAATAGTTTGAGGAGCACCGCATTGCCACTGATCTGATGGCCTGGCTCCAATTTTCTTCAGGAATGAGGCATTTTCCCGTCCAAACCCAGAACGTAGGCGGTGCAAGCTTTTCTTTACTGGCAACATCCAGCTACTTGGTACTTGGTTAGTTTCCTCCTGAAACATCCTCTAGGGATCTTGACTAGGAGGTCAGGTGGTTTGGTTGTTGGAGGCTTGGTGTAGTTGTGGGGATTTTAAGAGGATTCGTCCCACTCCTTAGCCCATCTGTCTGATGCCCATGCATGCACGATGTTGTGAGTGGGTGCTGTTCTTGGAGCATCTTCACCTGGATAGCAAAGTACGTACGAGATATCCTTTGCTTTTTATCGCTCGCTGTGAGAGTCGGTATCAGGTTGTTGGATCATCTGCCTTTTGGCCAGTTTGAGGGTGTTCTGACGACGAATAGCCTTTATATGTGAAGGTGTAATTAATTCCAGAGAGTACACAGGCATAGCTTCAGTTTGGGTGGAGGCAATCGATTCCGAAATCAACCTCATTGCCTCATTCATTGCAGTGTCAACTGACTAGGTGTGGATGCTGTGGCCCCAGGTAGGTGGTAGTGTTCCTGTTATCATGGAACTCCCAATAAAAATTACAAAGCAAGTTTCGTCAAGAACAACGTATCAAAGAGTCAGAAGGTGCGCGTTACCTCTGTTTCGTATTTCTTAAACCAAAAGTTCCCCTCCCCTTGAAAAAAAAATATATATCAGCAAACGGCTGTCTCCATATTTGGACCTAAACTACCGAATAAACTGCTGCAAGTTCCAATCAGTTGGGAAAAAAACACATTATAATGGATCACAACAGAGAAAGCATGTGATGTTCTTTATCACTCCCATACAGCACAACCTAAATTAACACAACAGCCGAGCACTTCGATCTACTACTTCAGTCACTATGGATCGCAGACGCCCACTTTCTCGCTTCCATGCCAGGCGAATGGCACGCAACCTCTAACGTAAGTAAACGCCATTCCTCTGTGCAGTTTTACAATCTGCCTGCGGTTCATATTATAGGCGATTTTGTTTCCCTATAGGCCTGCTACTCATACATTTTTCCCCCGAAAAAAAATTCATTGTCATGCAGACATTGATTTTGATGTGATGTTGTAGTTATTTTGTTGTCTATTTTACGCGTGTATTTTATTCTACCAGTCTGATTTTTAGTATGTCATGAATCATTGGAAATTTGATGTAATTTTGGACTTTAAATTTAAGTTTGTTAGTTGGTGTGTGTGTGGTGTAAGAGACCGAAACTCCGAAAGGAATACTAAGTCGAAGTCGAAGAATTCAGTCGAAATGAATCGAATTCTATCGACTCCGTCGGACCGGATCGGATCGAAAAAAAAAACCCTATAGGCCTATATACCACATAATTTGAATTAAGGAAACAAATAACGACGATAAATTATATCTTCATTATTTGTTTTCTTTCTATTTTGGTGATTAATAAATCCCTGAACAGATATCGGTGGGAGCGCAATGGCAAGACAGTGTTTCAAACCAATAACTCCAGCAGGAATGAGTCATTGGTGCTGATGTCAGCGAGTAAGGCTGACATCATAGGGAACTACACCTGCTTTGCTACCAATTACTTGGGTACCGCAGTCTCCAACACCGCCAGAGTGCAGTTTGCCTGTAAGTTTGAAATGAGTCTGCAAACCCCCTCCAAAAAAAGAACTGTATGTTACATTATTTGGTGTATGTGATGTGTTCCATCCAAAGCTTTTTCTTGGCAGATGGTAGAGCATATTGAATATTTTTAAAACATAAATGTTTCCCATAGTTTAATCGTAGAAAAACGCATTCTTTGCTCATTTGAAGGTCATGATGTCACAAAGGTGTTAAAGGTGTTAAACTTTTTCTCTCAAAAAGCCTGAACAAATTTTGTTTGCATTTCTTGAACTGATGCACAAAGCATTCAAAAGATCAACTTACAGGAAGCTAGAGTACGATCTGAAGTTAACCTCCAATAAATGGAAAAGGAAGTGATTACATGGACAACTTTGCGACAGTTCCTTTTTTGCATAATTTCTTTGGTCATACGTCATAAAGCGCCACAAAATAACGAAATTCGGGCCTCGTTTGGTTGGAAATCAGAGTAAATCACAACATTAAGTTTTACAGCATTGCCAGTTGTTGCAAACTGAACTTTCTGATTCCTTTTATAGATGGCAAAATAAGAAGTATACTTTTAAGTTTGATGTCGTTTGAGTTGGCCTTACTTCATTGGAATGGTTAGGCCCTAAACTTAAGCCACATACTGCCGGATTTGTCTTATTACTGGCCATGATGGATGTTAAGTAGAATGATCATTGTTAAACAGTTGCTTTCTGCAGTATTTCATGTGCCGATTACTTAATTCTCAATTTGTGAAGGTGGTTATTGATTTTTTGACTCTGTTAAGTTTTGAACAATTTCAATGACGACACCAAAAACTACAACGTGAGCGAGGGCAGCTGGCTGAGGCTGGCCTGCGACGCACCGGACGGACAGCCAGCACCCGCCATCTCCTGGACCCGTGACGGGCAACCGGTGTTCGTCAACGGCTCATCGTGGGATCCGGACCGCAAGATGGTTCAAGATCGCGCCGGTGGGCTGGTGCTTCTGAATGCGTCACTTTCCGACAGCGGACCTTATGTGTGTGAAGTACAGTCCCCGGCCATACCCGCTGCCGTATACTCTCGGGAAATAGAAGTTGTCGTTGAGGAAAGTAAGCAGGACATGTGATCTGACTAGTCGTCAATCTCAATCATTATTGTAGTGATGAGGTAGACAAAACTTTGATGTTTACTATCAATCGTGGAGGCAGGCTTGTAGCTACTACAGCCAGACTGGTGTATAAGGGCTGGATAGACCCTTTACAGTATTTAAAAAAAGTATCATCAATGCCGCAACCATTTCAATAGTTACCAAGGGCCAGATAAGGTCCTTAAAAATTACATTCTTTCCATTACATTGAATGTAATGGACAAGTGCATGGACCCATTTAGACATTTGGGGCGAGTCTTACAAGTTACCCATCCGGGCTCCGGTAGTCCATGATGGCTACGTGATGGGAGATCAAGACACATACATGTACGTAATGAGACAGTTATAGTTGGGTACACTTAATGTGGTATTTTCTTTATAAAGTTTATAAACAATGCGCGGCACTTTGGAGAACTAACTCGGACACCCAGCCTTCTATATTTTTGGCCGGTACTGACTTGGAAGTGCTCATACAGAATTACTGTATAGCTTCCATTCTTTTTTGTGCAGCAACCGTCGGAGTCCCCCTGCAACCGCCAGAGATACTGGAGTGGGCCCCAGTCGTCGAGGCGTTGGTCGGTGAAGACGTGAAGCTCTATTGTCTTGCGGTTGGAAAGTAAGTTCATTATACGAAGGAATATGCGCTTCAAGTAATGAAAGAGCAGGCTAGGGTTCTAACTTACGTCACTGTGAAATAATGATTATTCTTCCGTGTAATTAAGAAACCCTTTAAGTTGACAATATAGGTACTGCCCGTACTTCTTTTGAACAATTCACATTTTTCTCCTAACGAGGTTTCCACTTGTATGTTTTATTTTTGACACATTTTGTGTGTTTTGGGGCGTCTGCAACCCTTAAAAAAATTGTACTATTAGAACTACTATTTTGGGTTGATTTTACACACACAAACAGATACGCCTTGAGCGTAGAGGTAGACAGGGTACAGCTGCCTACATTATCGATTATGGAAGGCGGATGGGCATGAAACAGTCTTTTCTGTGAGAACTGAATTATTTTGTTGCGCCGCAAAGAATTCGAAAAGTATATACCGGGTAGCGAACTGAATAATAACCGTCGGCTTGGCCATTTATTATTTTATATAATCTGGTTTTATTTGCTTCGTTTCTTGACAGTCCAACACCATCTGTCCGTTGGAGCCGCCAACACTACCCATCATTCCAAGCTGCTGAGGGGGCCGTACTCACTGTGCGCAATGTGCAGCTTGATCACGACGATGGCGACTACACGTGCACGGCTTGGTCAACGAATGGTCGGGAAGTCAATCAAACCACAGCTTTGCATATTGAAGGTATAGGGATATTGCCTTGATGATTCCTTCATGTCTGTATAAAGACTGCCGATATATTATCATAGCTTATTGAATCCGTACACAATCTTGCCCACAGCAGAAATGGCCTGTGGGTGGACGAGCCCAACAGCACTGCATGAACTCCTCTAGCTCTCTGCGCATGTGACGTTATGACCATCGTGAATGACGTCATGATGGATATCCAATCTCGGCTCAGTGCTATTCTAGATATATTGAACTTGTCACATGAAAGTGGTATAGCAATGCTTATATTTTTTTGCGGTTGGATGCGCGCAGCCCATCTATCTTTGCTGGGCTTCAGCAGTGTCATAATGCTGCCTCATTTGCGTGCTAAACTCCTGGTGCTGAATTTAATTCGATTAGATTTGTGGGAATATTGTCTACAAATAGTGTGAAGTTGTGCGACAAAGCGAAGGCAAGACACAACATACGTTTTCGTTGATCCATGATAGAACGGATAGAAGTAAGCCTATCTTTTAAATTGTATAGTGTTGGCATTTTGGTTTCCCTTAACAGCTGCACCTTACTGGATCGTCAAGCCTAAGGATACCACTGTTTACAAAGGCAAAGGGGCCACAATGTCATGTCAGGCGGGTGGCAAGCCAGAACCAGACATTAAATGGATGGAGAACGGTGTACACAAACCAGAATATGGTAAGGTCATAACAAGGCGACAATTCGGGCGATTCACAAATTTGGAAAAGCAGGTGTTTGTGGCGCTATATAACCCTGATTAACCCACAAGTGCATCCTGGAAAAGTCAAATTCGTTTGTGGTCATTGCAGCCTTTTAATTATTTTTTGTTGGGCAACAAGTATTTTTTTATTTGTGACGTTAATAAACAATGACTTCACATTCGAGGTTACATTTGATTGATGTGAGTGAAGCTTACTAAATAAATAGTGTTTTTTCCCCTCCAAAGACGGTGCTTCATCAGTTCTGATGAATAACGTCACAATGGCAGACAGAAAGGTTTACCAGTGCACAGCATCGAACGTCCACGGGCAGATCATGGCCAACGCCATCTTGGATGTAACGGGTATGTTTAAAAGCAGACGATGTTTTCACAGCAAGCTGTTTGTTTGACTCGTTTCCAGTCGCTCAATATTATGTTCTGACTCGTGCCTGTGCAAGCCGGTGCGGCAAGAACAAGTCTAACCATTACAATGACAAATTCGAGTAATTGACAATTGCCTCATTGTTTTCATAGAGTCCCCACCGCACTTTATCCAATGGCATATGACCATCCTTATCTCAAAAACTTGCGAAGGAAACGCATTCGTCGCAATGGGCTGTGGGTACTTGCATTTCCCGCGCATGGCTCGTGCAAGCATGGAAGTACTGAGCCCGAGTCACTTATTATAGGTATTCACGCTTGTATCAAATTACCACATGACAAATTAGACGTCAACACTTATCCTGGATTAGGCGATTGAGACGAGCAATATTCGAATAGGATTGTGTGCTGATCATTCACCGATAGGGCCTACAGACAAGGCAAAAACATTGAAAACTCATGTTTGTTAATTGTTTTCCCTAATTTCTTCTGTGCAGAGCATCCACGGGTTAGCCCATCTGGAATCAGAGTCAGTATCCAAAGCAGGGAATCTGTCCTCATTTCATGGAACCCAATCGACGATGATCGCCTCACTGGGTTTAAGGTTCGTTATCAAGTCATGATCATTATACATGCACAATGGGCATGTACCGGGTGCATATACCTATGTTCCCCAATACCGATGTTCCCCAATACGGATGTTCCCCGAAATCCTTACCATATAACCCTAACCCTAATCCTAAGAATTTCAGGGAACATCGGTATTGGGAACCATAGGTATTGGGGAACATCGGGTAGACCCCCGTGTACCAAGTAGGCTGTGAGTGCTGGATCCGTGCTCTTTTCTGCCTGTTGCTGGCAAACTGATCATAGTCCAAAGTAAATAAAGATATAAAAGAACAGAACGAAATAATTATAATAAAGAAATCATTTTTACGGGAAATGGTACCTTTATTAGGGAACATTCCGATAGGATTGGGTTGTGCAAAACAAAATTTCTCCCTAACTTAAAATACCCCTAACCCCTATTTTCCCTTGCCTTATCTATACCCCAACGAATATATTGGTATATTTATGTTTTGAACCACGAGCAATCGATTTAGCCTATTTGCGACATTAACAATTTGCCTCTAAAGCAGGAGTTGGGACATTATGAGACATTGAAATGTCTTCCTAATCCCGGGGTCTCCCTAATGTAAACCTAATGATGGAAAAGGTCTTCTTACGGGTACATTACTAGGAATTACAATAACTATGCATTTCCTGGCTCTCTTGATCTTCTAAGGTGAGGTACCAGCGTTCAGATAGCATCAAACCGAAACGGAAGGACTGCTATAGGGAAAGCTCCTGCATCCTGAAACATCTCAAAAGGAACGCCAAATTTTACTTCCGGGTCGTCGCCGTTTATAATAATGGCAGCTTTCAAAATGAATCTGATACCTACTCTTTCAACTTGGCACCCAAAGGTGATTTTTTTGTATTCGTTGTCGATAGTTGTGAGGCTTACTGTAAACCTTCCCCATATACAAGGTGAGTCCGAATGAAAGTGACCTGGATTCAGGATTGTTTTTCCCTTTAAACTGCAATTAAATTTGACACATCAATGAAGCCTGTATTAAAAACGAGAATGTTCTGACAATCGCGTGAGAAAAAAACAAATTACTGAAATTGGTCCATGCTATCAGAAGTTATGCATGTTTTTACTCAAAGAAGCCATTAGCAAATCCATGGAATACAATTTTGAAGCTATGTTACTGATTAATGTAGCAACCAACGGATATTGTATCACCAACCGATAATGTCACACAAATTGACCGACACTGTATCACTAACCGATAATGTAACAGAAATTGACCGATAGTGTAGCAAACGTTACTACACTATCGGTCAATATTTGTTACATTACTCGGGTAAGACCGATAATAGGGAGGTTTCGCAAGCGAACGGATACGCTTACACTTACGTTTATACGGTGGCCCACAACTGTCACGGCAAAAGCAAAAGCGCCACGGCAAGCGCAACAGCGCCGCGGCAAGCGCAACAGCGCCACGGCAAGCGCAAAAGCGCCACGGCAAAACAAAAAGCGCCGCGGCAAAACAAAAAGCGCCGCGGCAAAAGAAAAAGCGCCGCGGCAAAAGAAAAAGCGCCGCGGCAAAAGAAAAAGCGCCGCGGCAAAAGAAAAAGCGCCACGGCAAAACAAAAAGCGCCGCGGCCAAAGAAAAAGCGCCACGGCAAGCGCAAAAGCGCCGCGGCAAGCGCAAAAGCGCCACGGCAAGCGCAAAAGCGCCACGGCAAGCGCAAAAGCGCCACGGCAAGCGCAAAAGCGCCTCGGCGAAAGCAAAAGCGCCACGGGTTTATTGGGAAGGGGCGTAATCAAACATGCCGCTACTACATCAAAAAAATAAAATGGGAAGGAGAATGGCCGCCACCAGGAATTCTTATTAAGCACAGAATTTAATTCTTTGAGAAGTGATTTTATGGCTGAGAAAATACCAAGGCCAAGGAAAACCGGTCAGTGCAAGCAACGTTCAGTAAAAACAATCGTCGATATTAATTTGTTGTAGGATAATTATTATTCCAAGAGAGTTGCTGCCGTGAATCAGAGTTTATAAAGGAGTGGGACTCACTATCAGCACCATCAGGGCCGTTCCTCATTTCTTTACATTTCGTGGGATGCAAACAATTAGGGAGGACGGGAGGCTCTGTGAGCTGATGCATTTTTTTGAAGAGTTTTTTTTCCCTTCCGATTAGCATGCAGAGAAGAGTTCCGTTAATTTGAGACTTAGTTCACCCATGGGCGTCGCGAGGGGGGGGGGCAAGGGGCGCTCCCCCCCCCCCGGAATAGCACACAAAAAAGGAAGGGGAAAAAAAAGAAAAAAAGAAAAGAAAAAGAGGCGCGAAGTCATAGTGGTGTAAATTGAATGAGTTGGGGGGGGGGCAAAATGTCCCTGCCCCCGTCTAAAACTGAGAATCTGTTCAAATCGAGAATTTGTTCAGAAATCCAAGAATTGTTTTGGAAAAATATGTTTTGCCCCCCTCTAGAAAAAAATCCTGGCGACGCCCATGAGTTCACCGGTGTGTATACCAGTGTAGGCACACAATTGAGCTGCCCAGAGTTTGGATATAGAATAAGAAAGAAAGAAATTAACTTAGAACCTAGAACTCATTGGCCCACCCACCCCAGGCTCAAGAAACCAAGAAGCCGAACAAGACCTCATGATGCTTAGCGATAGCGATGATAAGTTGCCCTGTGGACAGTCTTCCACATCCTCGCAGAATCAGCCTGCAGGGCAGAAAGAGGGCTTGTTTCCGGCATCAAATAGTTCTGTATTCACTCGAAACAAAGCAAACGGCTCTTTTCAGAGCCACCAAATTTTCATAGAAGAGCTTAGAACTGTGCATCTGAACGATAAACACTTCTCCCATGTCTCTCCCTTACCCCCCCTTTTGAAGTTAATTTATTTATTTCTTATTCTATATCCAAAGTCTTCACCTGTGTTACGTTTCTTTCATGTAATCCACGACCTAACCTCCTCTGTCGAAAGCGTTGCAACTGTCTAATAGAACGATCCATTTCTCGATTTGTGAGTTATCTTCAACTCAGTCGTGTTTATTGGGAGGGGGCGTAATTATACATGCCGCCACTACATCTAAAATTAAATGGAAAGGAGTATGGCCGCCACCATGAATTATTTTAATCACAGACTTTAATTCTTTGAGAAGTGATTTTATGGCTGAGAAAATAGCAAGGAAAACATGTCAGTGCAAGCAACGTTCAGGGAAGAGTTTTGAAATTCCCGCTCTCTGGGAATTTCTAACCTCATGGGCCCGCGGGCGAGTTACGTGTTGACAAGCCTTACCCACCCACTGCCGCAGCCCTGCAGGAGAGCCTTAATCGAGTTCCTAGATTTGTATGATATACTGAAAAAGAAAAAAAAATTAACTCATACACTCTGGGCAGCTCACTTGCGTGCATACACTGGTATACACACCTGTGAACTAAGGCTCAAATTAACGGAACTCTTCTCTGCATGCTAGTCGGAGGGAAAAAAACATGTCTTCACAAATGCTTCAGCTCACAGAGCCTCCCGTCCTCGTAATTGTTTGCATCCCACGAAATGTAAAGAAATGAGGAACGGCCCTGATGGTGCTGATATAGCGAGTCCTACTTTCCCTCTCCTTTATAAACTCTGATTCACGGCAGGAACTCTCTTGGAATAATCTTGGAATCATCCTACAACAAATTAATATCGACGATTTATCAGTCCCTGAACGTTGCTTCACTGACCGGTTTTCCTTGCTATTTTCTCAGCAATAAAATCACTTTCTCAAAGAATTTAATTCTGTGATTAATAAGAATTCCTGGTGGCGGCCATTCTCCTTCCCATTTTATTTTTTGATGTAGTAGCGGCATGTATGATTACGCCCCTTCCCAATAAACCTGTGGCGCTTTTGCTTTCGCCGTGGCGCTTTTGCTTTTGCCGCGGCGCTTTTGCTTTTGCCGCGGCGCTAATTTTGCGCTTGCCGCGGCGCTTTTGCGCTTGCCAGGGCGCTTTTGCGCTTGCCGCGGCGCTTTTGCGCTTGCCGTGGCGCTTTTGCTTTTGCCGCGGCGCTTTTGCGCTTGCCGCGGCGCTGTTGCTTTTGCCATGGCGCTTTTGCGCTTGCCGCGGCGCTTTTGCGCTTGCCAGGGCGCTTTTGCGCTTGACAGGGCGCTTTTGCGCTTGCCGCGGCGCTGTTGCTTTTGCCGTGGCGCTTTTGCTTTTGCCGCGGCGCTTTTGCGCTTGCCGTGGCGCTTTTGCGCTTGCCGTGACAGTTGTGGGCCACCGTACGTTTAGCTATCCGTATCCGTTTTTTACTTACGTGTAGCGAGCGAGATATGCGTGTCGTCTGCACGTATGACGTCATACGCCACTCACTATCCGCTAAACGTGCAGACGACACGCATATCTCGCTCGCTACACGTAAGTAAAAAACGGATACGGATAGCTAAGCGTAAGTGTAAGCGTATCCGTTCGCTTGCGAAACCTCCCTACTGTAACAACAATCGACTGATAGTGTAGTACATTTTTACTACACTATCGGTCAATTTCTCGGTTAGTGATACAGTATCGGTCAATTTGTGTGGCATTATCGGTTGGTGATACATTATCCGTTGGTTACTACATTATCAGTTGTAACATGGGGAACAAATGAAGTTTTTTTTTCTGAAACGATGATGGTGGTGGTTGTTTGTTTTTCTTTCCAAGTTTTCGTTCGTTCGTGGAGGTAGGAAAACCACCATGGTTCATTGTATTTGTAAGGGTATTCATCAATGCGTATTGGTAAATGATCAGTATACAGGACAAGTGAATTGTGATATTTGTATTAAAATGGAAATAACTTGTGAATAGGGTACGCAAATTACGTGAAATGTTCACAGTTTATAGTCAATAACATGTACTTCATCCCTAATATGGTGTTTTTTTTTAATGGAGCGAGCCACATATGTAATAATATATATATATATTTCAAATTCGGTAATTTTCTTTTCGACTCACCTTGAGTTACTCAAAATGACGCATCATGTACGTGGCTCACTGTTTTTGGGAGGGGGGTGGGGAAAGTCACACAATTTAGGTTTTCTTTCCTTGAATTTCTTATTGCATTAACTCAATCTTGGGTTTCCATTTGTGTGTGTGTACTTTTGCAGATACCTACCGCCCCTATAGATCACCCACACTCTGGAACTTGTTCAACACAGCGTTATACTGCGTCATAGTATTGGGTGTGTCCACTCCGCTCATCATGTGTATCATACTTTGCATCCGTGACCAGTACGTTCATGTTATTTTTTTTAAAAAGTGGATAACCTGGGCCTAATATTACTTAGCAGATTTCTGCATTTGGTATTTCCTTGAAATCGGTTCCTCATAGAAATCGACGTTGTTTTCCCACTGAAAATTCCAAAAAACAATTATGGCTAATTCATGTAAGTACCGTACCTCTCAAAACGAAAAGATTATGGTTTAAATATAATTTAAAGCATTAGCGCACGTACTACATCTTTCTTTATTGTAAAAACACAGCAAGACATTGTTTTTGCGTTTGTGTTGGAAATTGGTCGTACACGTTTATTTTCACTCCTCAATAAAATTGCAAGGAAAGAGTTGGGAAGATATGTGTTTGTGTAAATTTTACTTGGGCCACTCTCACCTGGGATATGAGAGTGAGAGTGGTCCGAGTAAAATGTACACATTCACTTAATTGATTGTATTTCTGGATCTGGGACCCTAATGGAATTGTGTAAAACGGAGTGGATTGAGAAATTTTCAGGCTTTATATAATTTCATTGAAGAAAAAAAAAAAGAATCACTTTTAATTATTTGTTTTCTGAATGTTGCACTTTTTTGGGCACACACTCTGCATTGTGATAATATGCATATGCTCTTGATTTCAGAATAAATGGTTACGAGCCCGATGATGAAGATGAAGATGACGGTTGGGGAGGAAGAGGGAACAATACGCCAAAAGGTATGTTGCACGCGTTGGATAGGCAGAACTGGCGTCTCTAGTTTTGAGAACCGAGTAGATAGTTGCCAAAAAATCAACAACAACCAAAAACAAACAAATCTATCGTTTCATTTAGCTATAGATTCCCATAAGTTCTTGCATATAGTTGGATTGATTACGCCTTCAGAGCCTTAGTGCATGTCGTTTGTTTTTCTGTGCAGATAAAAACTTCTTTTCCCTCTTTTATTCTCTCTCATTACTGCAGTTGAAAAGGTTAAGACCGTGAAAACAGTGGCTCGCCAGCAACATGGCGCAGGCGCAGGACCATCACAGAGCAATGCCAACCATGTGGTCTAAAAACCTACAAAGTCTGAGTTTCATGGTGTGTGCACCAGTTGCAAACGTATGGCGCAATATTGAAAGTGGATATTGTTTTTCTTTTTTTTTCCCGGGGAGGAGGGGCTTATGGTGTGAATATGCATGATCTGAGATTAAATTTGATTGCGATACAGTTATGCCTATTTCTTTCACTCATATTATACCAAACAAGGTCTTTGTGCGAACCTCTAACAAGTATCCCCGATTCACTTTGGGAAATAACTAAACGGGAAGAAGGAGTTGTGCCTGACAGTTTTGTCAATTTTACATTCGATCTGTGATTTTTTTTTTGATGTAGGCCTTAACGTTGGTGTGGACGTATTCATTGTGTAAAATAGGCTGCATTTCAAGCGCGCTTTCAAGCAAATATGTAGGCCCTAACTCCTTGCATTTCACTTTTTTTCGGTCGCGGACGGGAAGATTTTTCCCATCCCTGGATAAACCAGAGGCGGGGTCTATGATAGCAGCGAATCTGAAGCTAGAGCTGTGCCAAATCTCTGCCTACCGCACCTCCTCTGCCCCCCATGAAAAGGTCAAAAATTGCCCAAAGATGCATTTTTTCCCCCTTAACTATTCGCCTATATAGGTAGTACATGTATAATTATTTCTAACAAAATCGTTGATATTTTTCGTTGATAATATACACATGTACCTAGTTTCCCATTCGCGAATGGATCAATCCGCAACTCGAAAGGGATTCAATTTGGTTATTGTATGTCTGCATTGTCTCCTCGTGAAAACTGTTATCGTGTAAAATTGAAATAGACAATCAAATTAGAGTATCTCTTTTAAGATTCCCCAAACTATGTTCGTTTGGAACATTAATCCCGATTTGTATAAGCACTACGCCTGGAGCAACTTAATTGCAATTCTAGGTCTATATAGCTTCATGAAAATATTTCATTTGCAACTCTGCTATTTGTAACTTAAATTCAAGACGACAGTGAAAATTAAATTGTTCATGGATTGAATGATATTAACATTAGTGCTAAATTAATTATGGCCTTGGATGTGTATCCAAAATAATAGATTTGTATCTCTACATAATGGGCTGCACAAAAACAAATGCCGTGTGTATACCGCAATATTTATCTAACTCTATATGCTTGGATTCCTACTTTAATATAACCCATTTATAGACTACTTCGAGTATTACACACTAATAAAGCAATTGATATACATGCATAATATTTTGAACTGCTCCATTCAACCAAATTGAGCTGGCGGCCGTAGTTTGCTTGTGTGTGGGTCTATGTCACGTGCTTAGAATTAATTGGAAATGAGTTGTTGCAATATACCATATTTTGCAATGTCAGTCATCTGAATATGCCCATGACATCTTGTAGAAGAATTTGTTCCCATACAATTATACTTTGTGTGGGCTATACACGCTGAAAACGAACTCTACATATTATGTACATAATGGTCTTTATGTACAATTGACAGTGTTTAATTGAAATGGTTGGATAGAGTATATACTCCGATAGGAAGACTTAATTACTCATTGCTAAGTTAGGTTTAAACAAACTGTACTTGTAGGCCATGTATTTCGTAAATTGTAGAATAGATTATCGCGTTAAAGTATTGATATGGGATATTTATATACACTAAAAACTATACCGGTAATTGTATTTACATATAGATTGTGTAATCAAGAAGAGAAATGTAATCTTCTGTAAAGCGACATTGGGGTTGCCGATGCACGGTTTTCAAACCTCCTTTGCTTGAGGCATTGACTTCTGGTTCCTAGCAGTTATTTATACTAAGGTTCAAGTCAGAAGCAAACACCAAAAACGTTGGCGTGATGATTTTGATTGTTTCCAGGATTTATTTTTAACCTTTGCATTCCGGCAACCACATTCGAGGTGTTTTTTTTTGTTGAATCCAACACTTACATAGGTTAGATTCGGTCAGTGACATCCAGCATTTTAAATGTTGAATCCAGCATTTTAAATTTTAAAATCCAATTTGAGTGTTAATTCAACACTTGTTTACAGTGTTAACTTCGAAAGTGTTGGATTTAACAGGTAAAATGCATTGCTGGATTCAACATTTTCAAAGTGTGGTCACTGAACGGCCGAACCTATGTAAGGCCAAAAAAAAAAGTCTCCGGTTTCTGGTATGCGCGCGCGTCGCCGTAGCCATGCGCGTCGGCAAAATGAAAAAAAAAATTTCAATAAAAGATGATGTCTAAAAACCGCCAAACTCTCTGGTTTGACTGGAATCCTGCTGCAGCACAATTTTAACGTGTTTTTAGATGGGGTTATGATTGAGAATAAGCTTTATGTGGCCTCTCTGGACTCCCATATATTTGCACTAAGTTTAGTCGGGCACCATTTGCAGTCATCAGCCGACATTTGAAGCAAAAAAAAAAGGTAAAAAAAAAAAAGCCGCGTCGCCGCACCACTTTTTTGGCAAGCTCCATACCAGAAACCGGAGACTTTTTTGGGGGGCCTAAGTGTTGGATTCAGTTTTTTTAGAGTGATAATGAATAATATATTAATAATGTACATACTAAAGGTCTGAACTAAAATGCGTATGGTGCTCGTGGAACAAAATGTGCGCATCTAAAAGACGGATGCGATGCCAAGGATCTGATGAGCTGTTCTCTAATTAATCCACTGAAAGAGTTAAACTATTGGGACTAGACGAATAGAGTGAAAAACTCTTTAAGTTAAGATTGAAATACTCTGAAAAAAAATCCCGTCAGTCGAAACTCCAGCGAAAATTCGATCCTTTCGATTGAATGAATGACACTGACTGAATTGTCAGTCTTTGAAAATAACAGAGTGTTGTTCTTCGATGAGCGGAGATCGAGACAAAGCCGACGAGGTTGTAGTTTACAATCGCTGGTTCACATGCATAATGCCAGTAGAACAGGTTCGATCACCGCCCATGCATACCAGGGTGACATGGTGACGATATAATCACTTTCTTGACAAGTATTAATAATTGTTGGTAGCTTTCTGCAGTTTCGCACTGCAACAATCTCCTCGCAGGGAAAGTTGCAGGCGCAAGGTGGCTGGCTGACAAGGAACTAGTGACCACAATTTGTTTGCCCCCCCCCAAAAAAATTGTGTTCTGGATCCGCCCTTGATTGAGAATTACTTTGGAAAATTCTCTGCAGATAACACTATAATGCAGCTAGCTATATGGGACCCCAATTGAAGTAAGCCTCTGCAACCGGCTTTTGGGCTATCCCACTGCAGATGACTTTGTTTTCTAATCTTTGTATTGGTATATGTACGGTATGTTGTTAATTTCATCTGAATGAAATTATTCAACATGCTTTGACAGACAGTGCTTTCCCACAGTGTCCATATACCTGTATATTTATTTGACACGAAAAAGGAACTTATATATCTTATCTAGCCGTCAAATGTTTAAATATAGTAACCAGGTGTATGTAGTAGGCCTATACATCGAGTTAAATTTGTCGGCAATTAAAAACAATGAAGATTTAAAATTTGGCCTACATGTTAATTTATGTTGTAGCATATATAATAAATTTTGATTGCTGCGAATGTGCTGTATAGATTCCTGTTTTGCATCACATCGATGCCATCGGTTGTGGATGTAAAATTTCTCCGTATGGATCGCTAGAGTATATATTAAGGCCCCTCACTAACTGCTGGCGAGCTTTTGCAAAGTGATAATAAAGTATAAGTGAGTGAGATTAATTGTGCGGCCTTTTTAGTCATTCATTATTTAAATCAACACTTTTTTTTGAGCAAAAGATAATAATTTAAACATCATTTTCGATTTTTGGAGTCAATATTTATTGATTTTTTTGCGTGAGAAATCCCGTGTGGGCGTGCAGAGCGTGATTATAACCGGTAATGCGTGAGTATCACGCTCAATGATGATTTCAAGCGCAAAAATAAATCAACAAAATGATTCCAAACTCGAAAATGTTGTTTAATGATAATCTTTTGCACAAAAAAAAGAGTTGAAGTATTCAGAAATTGCCTGAGATGATCACACAGAGCGTCTAGAATCCATAATTTCCCAGGGGACCCTTCAGCGGGCCCGAACCTCGCGTCGCCGCTTCGCACTTCCCGCGCGCTCGGCACACGGTTCAACTTCAAGCTCTATCGTCAAATTCTCACTTTGGCTACATCATCTAGTAGAAGTAGGCCTACATATCTGCGCAGAGCAACAATTTTAGGACAAACGTGTATCTCCATAAATAGAGCTGCATTAAAAATAACTCTATGCATGGCTTCTCCCCGGCATATAGTCGTGTTCCCTAACGTGGCGCACTTCGAAGCTTACCCAAATTTCCTCGTGTAGTGTTGCCAAACCTCTTTGTTGACAAACCTCAAATTCATGCAGTGAAATACTGGTACTTTTACCTTATTAATGCTTGCTGTTTAACCTCTGTGAACAATTTCAGGTTAATAAAATTTAAGCCGAAATTAAAAAATGGTGGCGTCCGGAAATTGGGCACAATTTGGCGGAGTGTTCCCTAACGTGGCGCACTTAAATAAATCTCGGAAAACTTGATAAATTCTGATAAATCATTATTATCTCTACTTACATACCCAGCCAGATGTTTGTCACAAAATTATTTTCTTATTTTTCGGGCCATTTTCAAAGGGTTCACTTTGCACTTGAAAATAAAATCGGAAAATCATGCCAAAATAATTTTTTCTTTTAACTTTGTAGCGGATAAATAAACTCGCGATTTATGAACGGGAGTGTTTATAACTTGATGAAAGTTCACTTTCTGCGAAATTTCAGTTAAAACTTTTGCTCTAGCTAGGCGCTACAGGCGAAAAATCAAAGTGCGCCACGTTAGGGGCCGCGCCACGTTAGGGTACATCAACAATACAGACACAGAATATAGCGCGTCGATAATTTCTCTAAAACGGTACCTTTGATTGCATAATGCATAATTTTAGTATGTAAACAAACAGACTAGGCTGTTGTACCAGTCGCAGTCGTTGACGCTGGCAATGATCCGGCATTCGTGATCAGCTGCTGCATGGCTGAACGACTGATCTGGAGACGAAATCGGACACTCGTGATGTCAAAGTTCATAGTTAGCCAATTAGAAGACAGGAACCGGCTGAGGCTACATCGGATGACACACTGCATCGTGCCTGCATATATGCTCTGAACGTAAACAAAAATATTGTTGTTGTGACATCATTTCAGTTTTATCGTAACGTGGAGGAAGTGCAACAAATACTCAAATGTTGCCACATGGATTGATGGAATATGAAGTGACCAGGTAAAATTAAATGTTTTCAGAACTTAAGACTGACCAGTCGTAATGCAATTATGAAGACGGCGTCCAAGCTACATGTATTAAATGTTACTTAGTAAAACGTATAGTACATGTATTTACCGCACCTAGCACTAGCAGTCATGCTAGTCATTGATGTACCCTATTCCCTAACCATGTTAATGTTACGTGGCGCGGCCCCCAACGTGGCGCACTTTGATTTTTCGCCTGTAGCGCCTACCTAGATCAAAAATGATAACTGAAATTTCACAGAAAGTGAAATTTCATCAAGTTCTAAACAATCGCGAGTTTATTTACCGTAACAAAGTTACAAGAAAAATTTAAGTTGGCGTGATTTTCCGATAGGCCTATTATATTTTCAAGTGCAAAGTGAACCCTTGAACTTGAAGTTGAACTTGAACTCGACTTTGAAAATGCCCCGAAAAATAAGAAAACAATTTTCTGACAAACATCTGGCTGGGTATGTAACTTCTAAGTAGAGATAATAATTATTTATCAGAATTCATCAAGTTTACAGAAATTCTTATATGTTAATATGGAATTTTCCGAGATTAATTTAAGTGCGCCACGTTAGGGAACACTCCGCCAACTTGTGCCCAATTTCCGGACGCCACCGTTTTTGAATTTCGAATTAAATGTTATTAAACCAAAATTGTTCACAGAGGTTAAATAGCAAGCATTAATAAGGTAAAAGTACTAGTATTTTGCTGCATGAATTTGAGGTTTGTCAACAAAGAGGTTTGGCAACACTACACGAGGAAATTTGGGTGAGCTTCGAAGTGCGCCACGTTAGGGAACACGACTATACAGTATTATTATGAATATGATATAAAAACTCATTCATTTTGTCATTTGGGCGATCGTGTATCTATTTAATCTGCCGTCCGGGCCCGGTTCCTACAGTATAAGGGAATAAAATCCACTTTTAAATTATTTGACCTACCAACTACTTGGCGACATTTACGTACAGGTATTAAAGGGCAGGGTTCTGAATTATTGTGGGAATTTTGGGGGTAAAATGACAATGACAACGACAAAACGCAACCCCAAAATGTAAAAGACACCGTGCGATGATGTACCGTGAGTGTGCAACTGCAAGGCGCGCTAAATTTCACGGCACCAACCGTAAACCACGCAGGAAAATCTTAATTTCTACCCCAAGAAACTGTTCAAAAATAAAATCGTGTAGTTGCAATCGGCTGAATGAGAACATGTCCCGAACACTGATTTCAGGCACAATTGATGCAAAACACGACTCAGCAACTTTTTAACTGAAATGGAGATTCCAGAATATTCTTTTCTTGGGTATACAGCATTCACTGAGCTTAAAGTTCATCAGGTCAGTTGTTAAGCACCCTTCTTTAGATTAATCTTAGCACTTTTGTTGTTTCAAACGAAAACAATACAAGGATGACAAATGATACATGTCGGCTAGTCCCACTAAAACTGGGGTGCTAAACATGCTAGAACTCCTTTTTCGACATTTGGGATGTTGGTCAGTCATAGTTAGTCATAGTTAGTACGACAGACCAACATCCCAAATGTCAAAAAAGGAGTTCTAGTGCCCCAGTTAGTGGGACTACGTGTCTGCCTACTCTACCTCTAACACTTTTTTCCCTTCTTTTTTTGTTGTTGCTTCAAACAGGAATGGACAATTCAATATTAAAATTGAACTGACTGTAAAGTAGCAGAAGTTTGGCAGATAATGCCAAGATCCTCTCAGTATCAGACCAAGATCAAGATTATTATGAGGATGGTGTTATGAAAGTTGTGATAGCCACAATGTCGCATGGTCACAGAAGGTTGGCACTTGCAGCCCAAAAATCACTACATGGATGTGGCTTTGTGTGTTGGTGCAGCCAGCCGGGAAAGCCAGGAGCGAATGGTAATCCCGTAGTGGCCCTTGGCTTACGGCCCTGCTCTTCAAAAGCTACCGAAAATGAGGATGCCATTGAAAAAGATCAAAAGCAGAGAGGGCAGTCGACATTTCAGGAAAGATTGAAGTACCTCAGGACATCTCTTGCTGCTACTGGGGTAAGAGTGCAAGATAACGTTCACAGCTCGCGGGAGAAGTTTCTGGGCACCTTTTTCTCGTTGCAGACCCAGCCAGAAAACGGGGAGGCAAAACACAGTGAGAGTAAGAGCGAAACTTGTTTGGGCTCAAGCAGTGAGCCAAAACAATCTGATGTTGATGCCAGCTCAATAAGCCCTGTAGATGATGAACGCTGTAATCCTCCTGCAACATTTGACCCAGAACTGCACGAAGCAAATGGCAGCGAAGAGCAGCGTGGCGTGCAAGAGGAATCCCCTTCAGAAGATGCAAACAGAAAGTCCCCTTCAGAAGATACCAACGGAAAGTATGCCCGAACAGATTTCTGGGTCAACATCCCGTCTTTTCAGGATCGAATCAACCGACTGAAAGTCCCTTTCTGGGGAAGTGTGAGCCAGAAGGCAGATACTGGTGACGAGTCACAAACAAAGATCAACAGTGTGGATCTCTGCAAACCCAATGACAGCAAAGGTGCTGTTGGTCAGCAGTTTGAATCAAGGGATGCAGACTCGTTGAAACCAGAAAGCCATGATGTTACGGCTGCAGCAGAGTCGAATCTAGAGTCTGAAAATCCATCCGATCAGCAGCCACAGGATTCCACAATTAAACCCAGCACTCTGTCTTCTGTAACAAGTAGCATCCCCAGCATTAACTTGACAAGCACGGCAGCTGTCCAGAGTGTGATCAAGTCCTTCCCGGGTCGGAAGCCCTCCGTTGAGATGGAGACCAAAGTTGCAAAGAAACCCCTGCAGGACCTCGAACCAGATGCCTTTGACTTGGACACCAGCCCCATCCTCAGCATGAATGTTGCCCTTGAAGAGCAGAGGGCGATGCGTGGGGACGTCGGCAGGCAGGTGTCCCCTGCCAAGGAGACAGAGAAGGAAGCCAAGATGAGGAAAGAGAGGGCAGTTGAGGCAGTAGAGGCTGCAGCAAAGAAACCCAGGAAGCAGATCAAACTTGTAAGATTGAGCAATTTGCAATTAATTTGTTTTAATGATATCAAGAAGTCTGATAATTTGGAGCTTTCAGTAGTGTGTTTTGAGACATCAAAATTAGATCTTGGAGATGGTAGAAATATGAGAACCCCCCTCCCCCCCCCCCCCCACAAAAAGGAAACTATAGACAGTCCAGCACTTATTAGTGCTGCAAAACTGAAATATTTCAAAGGAAATGTCTGGTCTCCATTTCTATACATCTCATCTACACGTATTCATCCCACCAGTATGTAAATGGCCCAATTTTTGAAAATTCAGACATTTACTAGTCAAGTCTTACGATTCAAATTCAAATCGCGTGGCTTCACTTGGTGATGCAGATAAAGGACGAAAACCTCCTTTTAAATTAATTGTTTTGCATGTTCTGCATTATTCATTTCTTGTTCTGTTTTTTATCTCCTGCGCTTGTGGTCCCAGTCTCGCTGTCATCATGCACTCGGCAAGTGATGTTCAAATTTTGAAATTCCCCAACAAGGCAACGTTTATCTTTTTATAACCCATTTCTGTCTTCAGCACAATGCCAGTGTTGCTTCATACAGATGACCTCCAGAGAGAATGTCAAAGTTGTTTCAATATGGAGTATGAAAATAGACGAGTTCGCGTACTTGTTTTTTTTTTTAAGATTACATTGTAACTCTGGAAAGAAGTTCAGACAGGGAGGCTCGATACCGGATTTTTCTTTTGACATAGGCCTACTTTACACTTGCAGAACTAATAAAGTTATGGACTGTAACTGATTTGTGGGTCATGTCCTCACTATCAGAAGTCTTTGTACTCTTAATTCACCGACTACAGTGCAGGTTTTTTGTTGTGTTTAGGTAATATCCAAGACCTCAATTGACGATCGCACCAAGAACTTGGCAATTGGAGTCCGCAGTGCGACCAGCAATGCGATGAGGCTGTTGAAACTGGAGAGACTGTGCAGCCACTTGATGCAGCATCCAGAATCACGAGAGGTGGCTATAAAGGTAATGTGTAGATGATGAGTGACAAATCAAGGAACATTCGGAGGGGGGGGGGGAGGTATTGAAGAAGCCTTTATGTCTGGGACATTATGTCTTGGGCTTGAGGTTTGTTTGAGTCCCATCGGCATGACTCTATGCACGAGCGGCTTATGTGATAGCAATTTCTCAGACTGTACTGAGTAAACAGAGCTGAGTGCTGATGAACAGCAAGTAGGTAAGAGGGAGATCACAAAACTCTTAGTTAACAGTGCGCTTAAGTTGAGGTATTGTGAATCAGTTAGTCTCACAGCTAAACTCACTGGTTTGTGGGCAGCACATTCCGTCAGAATGCAAACCCGGCTCTGTGTTTTGGATATACCTGAAACTACTGCTTCCTTCGTCATGTGCACTGAAGATGTGTGCTTTGTTTGAGTTTGTGTTAGGAGTACATGTACTTCATAACGTACTTGGGCCACTTCATAAATGTGGGGTCCAAAGGCCTGACATTTTTTTGGTGTCATTGTTACACCTGACCTGATCATTAAAATTGACTTCAAACAGTTTTAAACTTACTTTGCTTCACATGATTAATCTAACAATCTAGGAGATAATAAAAGGCATTAAAGAATGAGTCCTGAATTTACAAAACTTCTATCAGATGTAACAGGGACACGAACCAAATTGGACCAAATTTTATGGAATGAACCGCTTCTATATATTGTATATTCCATCTTGGTTGCTTTGGTTGCAACAGAATGAGATGTACATCTATCCCCTATTCAGTTGATGCAGGATAAACATCACTCCAAATCCCAAGAGGCATCGGATATAGAAGAAACATTGGTTTGTGATGAATTAACAGTGTTCATCAGATTCCAGAAGATGCCATGAGTTGAATGTCAAAATTGCAAACATTTTAAAATCGATTTGACTTTCATCCATTACTGAGATGTTGCAAGTGATTCGGGTAGGCTTGATATTTTACCCTCTCTCTTCTTTGTTTCTGTTCATCTTTTTTTTTTAACCCTCGTGTAGGAGAGGCTGATTCCTTCCTTGCTGAAGATGCAGACATCATGGGACACAGCCCTGAAGGAGCAGGTCAGAGAGGCACTCGCCATCCTGGGCTATGCAGCCCCAGTCAAGGGGCGGGGCCTCAGGATCTTATCAATTGATGGAGGGGGTACAAGGTGAGTTGGCTAGTTGTCCTCTTTAAAAATTCATCATGTTTAATTTTATGTTTGTTTGAATTTTTCTTTGGAATTGTTTGGAAAACAATCTAATGGCTATCTTATTATTCTCTGTAGAAAATAACTAGCTACAGAGGCACTTTTATTCATGAATCCTTTTGGAAAGTCTTGTCACACTAAATATTATAACTCTGTCATATGCTGTCATTATGTCTGCCTTAAAGTACAATGTCTGCTACGTAATTAGTGCGTTTTGTTTTTAGTCACAAGTACACTCTGAGTTGAAAAATTACTGCTTCAGTCACTGCCTTTTCAGTGAATAAATATAGATTGTTGATCTGTGGTTGCCTTTTCCTGACCACCAAAACTGTACACAGGAAAGACAATAACCACACAACTTTTGCACAGGAATCAAGGCTGTCATCCTGAAGTTATTTTCCCTCTTGGAATAATTTTGGCAGGGGCGTCATTGCAATCGAGACCCTTCGGGAGATCGAAAGCCGCACTGCCAAGCCCATCCGAGAGCTCTTTGACTACGTGATTGGGGTGAGCTCAGGGTCCGTGCTGGGCTTCCTTCTGGCCTGCGGCGGCGCCCCCCTGGATGAGTGTGAGGACCTCTATACACAGCTCAGCCAGGAGGTTTTCAAGAGGAACACGTTCCTTGGCACCAGCAAGTTGTTCCTGAGCCACGCCTTCTATGACACAGAGGGCTGGATTAAAATACTCAAGTAAGAGCCCATTTGATTTCTTTCCTTTTGAGGACTTTTCGTTTTAGGCATTGAGAATACCTTCATAGGATCATGCATACTTGTTCTGATTTTGAGGGAACCAACAAACCGGTTGTGTGGAGCATTGATCTTGACCCAGCGGCGTATTCAAAACATCTATCGCCTAAATTGTATATAATGTATTAGGTTTTGTCAATTAATAGTTCTGATCAGTGAAAAAAATGTAAGCTTATAGGCAAGTTCAAGATGCCGTGTTACTGCTTCGTCGAACTTATTTGAAATGAGTGCAGCAGTAGCTTGTCTACAGCATGGCAGTTGCTCTAAATGCAGAGATTAGTAGTCAAAACTTAATGCATCAGGAGTGTAACTGGCCAGGTTAAACAGTTCGAGCAGTTAAATGAAAATTCATCAGTGCGACCAAAATATTTGCGCCAATTTCACTCTCTGTGATGTGGATGCGAGAAAGGATATTGTGAGCATGCGCATTCCTTACATGTCTACCCCAACTTCGAAGGGAATTGAGTTGGGCATGGCAATGGCACTGCATTCAGAATGGTGATAGCCTGGCAGCCCTGTGGAGCCAAAGGATGGCACCATGCCGAACTCAATTGCCAAGCCAAATGGTTTTAAACACCATACTATTGCTGTGCCAAATTCAAAAAAGTCAAATGAAATGAGTTTGGCACAGCACTAGCATAGCATCTAGATGGGCCTAATCTGCTGCGGGATGTGATAAAGACCAAGGTGCCTCTAATGCGTTATAAAATAAATACTTCTACGGACATTTCAAGTTGAGAGGCAGATCACAGAAATGCAAAGTCTCATTTTTACATGTTTTGAATGGATTTCAATTTTTTGTATTCAACTGTTTCAAATAGTTAATGTCTCTTTCCTATGTTTCTTGGTTCAGGTCCCATAATATGGCAGACGTTCCAATGATATCTACAGCAAAGCAGACAGAATGTCCAAAGGTAATTGATAAAATCACTTGGTATCATCATCCAGTGATTTGATGAATTAAGAGAAAGTTTGTTTTTATCCTAATCCTTGAGTTTAAAAATAGTTGGAAGATAGGGATTTTTATGCAGTATGTTTGGCTATACAAATTTAAAGGGGTGCTATCTTCTCAAAATTTTATAAGTAAGTGTTGAAATTTACCAGTACTAGTGGCTGATGTTGCTGATGTGTAATAACAGACTTGGTTGAGCTTTAACTTCAGCATTACCCAGGATTGAATACATTGATCACAGTGATAATCTGTAAAGTGCCAGGGCCGATTAAATCAGCTCAATCTGATAACCACAAGGAAATGTAATAATGTGACCTTAGTTGACCGCTTTCTTCATTGACAATATTTCAGAAAGTAAAATTTGTTAGTCCTACAAAGCTCCACAGACTATCATACATGTACAGCATCAACACGGTGCCAACTCGTGACGTTGAAGATGGATTATGTGTTGCCTATATATATCCCATATACCAGTTACCTGCTGAAAATTGTGAAGAATTAAAGATGTCACAATTACAATGTACAAAATGTACATGTGAAATAGGAATTCATAAATACCTCGGACAGTTTAGCCATTCCTATTGGTCGAGAGCCCGTCACGTGGCCGGTCTTAAACGGATGATAAAGACATGGCTAGCTGGTCTTAAACACTTTTCCAGTGTCACATAAAATGTGGACTCCTAAAAATCCAGTGCCTCTTACCATTTCATTGGTTGAACGCTCACAATCCTCACGTAGGCATGCGCAACACTACCAGTGAGTCAGAATTTTATAGTTCTAAATTCAAAACAAAACGCCCCAGGTGCGTTCTGCGCGACATCGCGCAGAACGTGCTACGCGCGCGTCAATCTCCATAAAAGGGGTGTTTACCTCTTACTCGCCAGCTGAACACTCCATTATTTTGCTAGAGGGATGTTTCAAAAAGCTGGAGTGAACTTGTTGATCAAAATCGGGAGTTTTTGAACGAATTCCTTGATTTTTTTTTACCGAAAAGGTATTTATGAATGGGAATAAATATGTGCTCGGTCGGTATTAATCACTCTGTTTAAGACTGCTTAGAGTCTGGGTGCTGATAATTACCCTCGCCTCCGGCTCAGGTAATTATCAGCACCCAGACTCTAAGCAGTCTTAAACAGAGTGATTAAAACCTCTCAAGCACACATTTATTCCCTTATTAACACCCAGAATTTGATAAAAATTACATAATAAGGGTTAACATTCAGATCTGACATAGCAGGAAACTTGATTATTTTCATTTTGTTCTTTCTTTTTTTGGCTGTTGATACTCTAAGGTAGCAGCTGTTGCTACTTTAATGAATGTGGGCTCCATCAAAGACTTCCTGTTCAGAAACTACAACCTGCCGCCTGGTACCCAGTCCCACTACAGGGGTGCGTGCAAGTATGAATTGTGGCAAGCAGCAAGAGCTTCCTCAGCAGCACCTGGCTATTTCGAAGAGTGTAAATTGGATGAATATGTGTTCCAGGTATGAAATGCCTAGATTTTTAAATTTTTTGATCAATCATAGATCAACCCTCTCGAAAGGTTGCATATAAGTTTGTAAACATGGAAACAACCCTAATCCCAACAGGTTTTCTCTAGGCACCCTGCCAAATGCAACAAAATGCAACTTGGCTGAAATAAGAACCCTGCTTAGTGCAACAAATTGCAACAGTGGATTATGTTGTGTTGTGCTGTGAACCCAGTGCATACCAGCTTTGGTATCCAGCAGTTACCCAGTTAAATTGTGGGGCGCTGTGGTCCAATGGCTATGGTGTTCGACTTACGTGCCGTGGTACGTGGGTTCGAACCCTGACAGGGAACATGTGTTCTTGGGCAAGGCACTTTACAACAATTGCCTCTCTTCACCCAGGAGTATAGAGGGGTACCTGGGAAGGTAGAGACCAAATGACACTGATGAGCTGCTGCAGAAAAATGGTGTCATTCCTGATGAACAGGGATAACAATTCTAAACCGCTTTGAAACTTTTAGGTATAAAGCGCTATACAAGCGGGATATTTATTTTTCTTATCATTAAATGCAACCAAAGTGGGTAGGGTGACAATGATGTAGTGCCTTGAGCACCAATACTGGTGGATACTTGCGCTTTATAAATACACTATTGTTATTATAATAATTATTATTATTCCTTTGCTCTTTAATTTAATAGGATGGAGGAGTGCTGACCAACAACCCATGTGCCCTAGCCATACACGAGTGTCGTCTTCTGTGGCCTGAAACCCCTATTCAGTGTGTGGTGTCGGTGGGCAGTGGGCGCTACGACCCGGAAGATGGCAACATGGAGCCTGAATACAGCAGCTTGAAGAAGAAACTCACTAACATCATGAGCAGTGCCACTGACACAGAATGTAAGCAGAAACCACTTTTTTTATCATCCCCTTCATGTGAAATGAACTATTAAGATATAATACTCGTATAAGTACAAAATACATTATTGCATTGTTCACAAAGTTTCACTCAATTGTGATATCCCTGCACGTTGAAGTAAATGAAATTTGAAACAAGGGTTTTTTGTGTCATCTTGTTTCTTTTCGGGCAGAGAACCTTGTTACTCTTACTTTTTCAACTGACAAATCTCAAAAAGTGCAATCCCTTAAAAAACAATACATGTTTCTGTGGTTTTGCTCCACCCACTGTTATAGCTGTACACACAGTTCTACAGGATCTCCTCCCGAGCGGCACCTACTTCCGCTTCAACCCCCCGATCACGGAGGACTTCCTCCTAGACGAGAACCGCACCGAAAAGATCCAACAGATGCAGCAAGAAGCGCGGGACTACCTGGAGCTGAACGAGCTGAAGCTGGTCCAGGCCAGCGGGGTTCTCTCTAGGAAGAAGAACCATCTCCACAAGGCCATGGATTGGGTGTGGCTACAGCGCCAATTGATACAGAGGTGATGGGTATATCCTTCTCCTACATCTAAATGCTGCTCTGGGGTCAATGGGGGTATATCCTTCTGCTTTCAACTTTGACGAATAAGACCATGCTACACAAGGCACATAGGAAAATCCTGCCTACACAGGGCAACATACTGGTTGAGGCTACAGTGCCTGTGCCTCGCTTATAAAGTTTAGAAAATTGTATTGAATGAGACATTGTTTTAGCCCTTTTCCAGGGTTGTGTTTAGGCCATAACAAATAATGCTGTGTTTCTGGTAGTAGGACCGAGTGAGAAATAAATAACCCTAAGGCCAAAAAAAAAAAGTCTCCGGTTTCTGGTATGGAGCTTGTCCAAAAAGTGGTGCGGCGACGCGGCTTTTTTTTTTTTTTTACCCGACTTTTTTGCTTCAAATGTCGGCTGATGACTGCAAATGGTGCCCGACTAAACTTAGTGCAAATATATGGGAGTCCAGAGAGGCCACATAAAGCTTATTTTCGATCATAACCCCATCTAAAAAACACGTTGAAATTGCGCAGCAGCAGAATTCCAGTCAAACCAGTGAGTTTGGCGGTTTTGAGACATCATTTTTCATTGAAAAAAAACTTTTTCATTTTGCCGACGCGCATGGCTACGGCGACGCGTGCGCATACCAGAAACCGGAGACTTTTTTTTTTTGGCCTAAGGGAGGAAATAGTGATACTCTGACTCTCAGTTCGCCTTGTACATGTAGCCACCAGCATGTGGTAACTTCAGAAACATGGGGTTGGACGTATGGGCAAGTCGCACTCCTTGCAACAGCCCTTGCGGCGCTGTTTTTAATGGGTGCTGTATCTTAGATGTTAAAGTGCAGTGAGTTTGCTGCACAGTTTCGGGCCCAATTTCATAACGCTGCTTAACAGCCAATTTTGTGGTAACAGTCTATTTCATACAGACTTGTTAACAGTAATAAGCACAGCGAAAACACGCGTAACCAAAGAGGAAAGAGTTGCTTATAAAGTCAGTGACGTACATCCCCATAGAAATCTCCATGCGCGCGTAACTGTGTTAGCACATCCACACCATGAAATGGTGCTTAAGCAGCAGTGTGATTTTCTGCTGTAGAAAGCACAACTTTTCTGCTAACTGTTAAGCAGCTGGGCCCAGTATCGATTTATGGTAGATTTGGGAAGGTTGCTAGAAATAAATGCCTCTTGGATGTAATATAGTTCATTTATAGTACAAATGGACATGAAGTAAATTTTAATCTTAACGTATTCTCTATTGATTTTACTAGTTTTCACATAATCCAAACTATTTTAAAAACAGTTCCAAGCCTTATAAGCTCAGTGCATGTACATTGTAGATCTGTTTGAAAGAAATTGTATTGCAGCTTTGTGCGAAACTAAGACCCAAATTTGAATAAGCTGCTTTTGTAATAAACCACTGTGTTGCATGTGTTTTGAAATGTGACTGTTCACTCATTCTGTGCCATGTAAACTCAAGCTTATTTATGTTAATTTTGTTCCCCCAAAATGTTGATCTCGGTATGTTTGGGAGTAGTCATTGCATTAACATACATTTTGGGCATGAATCTTGGCATTGATATTTTTAAAATTAAAATAGGTCAAGTGGTTTCAATACTTTTGATTGTTTTAATATGTGTAATATTCACCTCAGGGTATTAAATTTATTTGACAGTATATTGACTCATGTATTTTACAATTAAAAGCCTAATAGTATGCATTAAGATGTTATGTTTGTCACAGTTAGCTGCATTAATAAATAATGTACATTTACAAGAGTAACATGAAAGAATAATGAATGGTGTATATCATTTGAGAGTGACTGTTTTACAAATTTTAAATGGTGTGACACATGGTCGATCGTTAATTTGAGGGGAAAATCCGGAAGCAAATGGACATTTAGCTTCATCTCCAAAGCAGATGTAAAGCAAAACGTATGCCACACAAATTGACTAACGTTTTGCAAATTATGGCGTCGCTCGATCCTTTTCTCTAACAACAGGCTTTACCAGTCGGTCACTATGCATGAAGCATTTGGTGCATTACAATTACATTACATTTTGGGGCATTTTTGTAGCAGACTAATTGATAATAAAGAACATTTGGTACCAGACGTGAGTCAATAGAGGGCGACAAACACGAAATACAAGCCCCTAAATTTACCGAATCTCGTCGGGGCGATACAGAGCTGGATCACGGATCCTACAAACAAGGATAAATTCGACTCCCAAACTCCTGGTTAGACGCGTGATAACGGCCCGTACACTAGTGGGAATACATTGTACTGTCTTGTCAACAAATGAAAGGATCCGTGACCGTGGCTGGATGAAGGGTCCAGCTGCCATAACCTTAGTGGTAATTACGCGCCCTTCCCAAAATTAATAAAAACGCTCACAACTCTTTAAGGTGTTCAAGATACGCAGCAAATTAAAGCTTATTTCATCATCTTTCATTTTCTGTTCAATTTTATGGGGGGTAAACGATGACTTTTGGAAGAAAATTGCATCCAAAGATGATCACCCCTAAAAGCAGTCTTGAAGCCCATCACTTTGTTAAAACTGGACGCCTACGCTCCATTGCAAAATGGAGCCATTTTAGGACCTAATTTCATCCTAATTACACAGAAATACGAGCTCGCAGTCCTCTGCACGGCTTCAACCTTTTTTACAAATCCGGTTCACGGCAATTTCGGACCGTTTTACTGGACTGCACCCATGAATTGTAAATGGCATCAACTGCGTGTGTATGCTATGTTACCCGAAGTTTAGTTTTGACAATACATAAAGTGTCTGGTTTTTTTTTTTTTCGATAATTTATTAAACCATCATGCACTGTCAATTATAGACAATCAATAACATTTTAGGAACAGCTCTGTGGTTGCTCAGTTACAAACACTAGCTCTAGTTTCACTTGTTAGTGTTACTGAGGGCGTATGTTTCTGATCGAGTGGGAGATGATAATTGCTTTTATTACACAGTATCAGACATTAGATTTTTTTTTGTAACGCCGTTTCGTCGTGTAACGCGTATACAGAACATGATCGGCATTTTTGTGTTTTGTATGAAATTGGGGATCCCAATAAAAACAGTTTCATGCTAATTTTATCCAAGGGCACCGTTTAGCTAACCGTTTAGCTGAACGTATCGTAATGTTCTCTCTTTTGCTAGACGTTTCTGACGCGGAAATTATGAATTCCATTTACATGTACAAATACGTTAATGCCTAAGCACATCATTTACAAGCCAACAACCTTTCATGCCTATACTGGCAGGCATCTATTTTTTAGTATTCTTCGTTGATTTGTTTTTTTTTGGGGGGGGGGGGGAACACATTTTCAATCAAAAAAGGCAGATTTGCACTGGAAGAATATGGCAATTAATATGTTGCAACAATCTGCTGTATGCGTGCACCTTAGGCAAAAACAATAACCGCAAAGTTATAGCTTTAAATTGAAGTACATGGTTCCCAAACTCGGACTACTTCAAGTTTAAAGTTTGTGCGTTACTCCATCCATGGAGGAATAAGAATCGGTGTACGTAGATGGAAACATCTGAAATTTGTAGTGATTAGGTGGAAACTGAAATTGACATAGAAGACCACGATGCCTTAGGTTTCTGAGTTATGTGAACATATACTTATAGAACTCATGAGTAGTTACGAAACAGATCTCAAATTGATCATGGAAAGGTGCACCCACGATCTGCTCAAGCCAGCTCAGCTAAATCTAGAACCCATCCCGCTGTTGGTATATATAGGTATCAATCTTGGCAACGATATATACATTCTCGTTCTCATGAGACCTAGGAACGAACAATTTAGGATGTGAAAGGTCGTAAATAAAATTCGTTTCACCCATCCCCATGTACATTTTCATATTTTTTGTTTGAAGAATACAAGATAAAATTCCACCATGAATGTTTCTTTAGGTGGTTACGGCTAGAAATCATCTTGCCCAAAAAATATAGCAAGAGAAAGGGCAACCCCATGTGAAATGCCCATAGCCGAGCCGCGCGAATATGGAACACCAAAGCTGCCTTCAATATATCACTCCATTCATCAGACTCTTCATTCGATCGTCAGACTCATCATTCCATTCGGCACACTCTTCATTTCATTCGGCAAACTCATCATTCCATCGAACTGTCGAAGGCCACTTTGGCGTTCCATACTTGAGGTTTCCGGACGCTCGCCGCAAGACCTTTTTACTTTTAGCATATATAGGCGTATTTACCACCCCCCCCCCCAATATTTTCTAAAGACTGCCCTTTTCCATTGAAATACCCTTGTTTCACCATTGATAGTGATAGTACAAAAAAAATTGTACTTGTCTGCTTCGGACATTTGGTTCTTCGGGAAAACAATGAAAATATCGCCCCATCAAAACACGTGCATTTCATGTTATTATTCTTTACGGTTCCAGAAACAGAATTAAGATTTTCTGAAATAATATGTTACAATATCAGCTCACATACAATGTAAGATTCAAGCAAACAACTTAATAGCAAAACTTTTCTTCACAAGAAACTCTTACGACAGCACAAAGGCAGATTTATCTGAAGGAGCAAGTTCGATCAAACACGATTTTCCAATTACTAGTTAGTCTTGACGTCACTTGCACAGCAATGTGAAAACGATCCCTGCTCGAACTCCAGTCGAACGGGCTTTTGCAACTTGATTGACAGTTTGCCCTCATAACTTGGAAAGTTGCATATTACACCGATTCAGTGTAAGGAAGTTATTAAAGAGTGTCCTACGTTTTAACACTGTGAAGAAATGTATCAAAAGCTGTAATATTATTATGATATTATTTGGGAGCACACTAGTACAAATAGGGTTTTCATTTCAAGTAAAGTGTAAACAAGAGTATTACTTGGGTAACACGGTACGTTGGTTAGGCTTCCGAACCATCTCTTTAAAGAAGCTTATGAGCTGTTGCTGGTACATGTATTACGTGGCACTTTACTATACAAGCTTACGGGCTAATTTATGCAAAATAATAATAATAATAATAATAATGAACCAAAAATGTGGCTCAATGTGACACATTTTACATAAAACCTTCTTCGTGCTTATCCTACACCAAAACAGAGGGAGTCGACCACCTCCAAAACGAAAACACTGTTTTTCTTCTGCTCAGGCAGTTGCAAGACCGGTGCTTCGTCTAAAGAAGATATCTCAGTTTTGCTCATGAATATAGTAATTTCCATCGGGAAAACCAAAGGGCATCGAAACACCCATTCAAATGACATTTCGAAGAACTATATTTAGGTAAATGGGCCATATACGTGCATTTCAACTTGAACAAAAAACATCAATTAGAATGACATTTTGAAGGCATACAATTACGTGACTTACAGATACACAGTGGGCGGATCAATCAACCGATCTTTTCAAATCAGTCATTAACTTGATTTGTATAAATGCTTTTTGTTTGGATTTCAGTAGTTTCGTATAAAGGCAAAAAACTTAGCATTTCAGAACAAAGTTTCTAGATCTACGTTTAAGTCTGTTGCCAGCATTTGCCAACGTACTTGATGCAACTGAAGACTAGACAGAAGACTGGGTCAGAGAACAGCTAAACCTCCGCTGGCTGGTCTTCCTTCTCTTTAAGACCCGGCTCAATCTTCCCCAGCAACGGCAAAAGCAACATTTGCAGGGCGGAAGCAGCGACCAGACCAGCCAAGACGTAGAATACAGCAGTGAAGTTTCCTGTTTTGTCGTACAGCATACCTTTAACGAGTAGAGATGTATAATCAGTGGATTTGCCAAGTTGTTTTTATCAAATCTTTAATCTCGGCGCACACCTTCCGATTTTACCGGTTCACCGGATCACCCCATAGCATGACCGGTACGGTTTTATTCACCGTTGCGGTTGGACTGCAACATTACGCTCTAAAATCGGTCACATGATGATCAGTCACAATGATGACCAGTCAGTCACACGATGACAAAATGTCATCGTCAATTTTGAATCATCTGACTTCCTTCGTAAATCTGATTGGTTAACGGCCGGTGAAATCGGAGTGCTGCCTGCACACGTTTCCGATGACATTGGATCCGGTGAAATCGGATGCGGAAAAAAAGCAAACATATTTGGTTTCATCCGGTCGCCCGGTGTACGCGGTCGGAGAGGTCCGAATTTTCAGCGCAAACCTCTGTATACGTTGGCCCAATGATCCGCTAAACCGGTAAAATCGGCCAAAAGTGTGCAACCCGCCGCACACTTTTCCGGTTTAACCGGTTCACCCCACAAATACACTAATCTGACCGCACACCGGTGACCAGATGAAATCAAACATGACTTTCGTTTCCTTTTTTCGTATCCGATTTCACCGTATCCTATGTCATCGGAAAGGTGTGCGGGCGGCACTCCGATTTCACCGAACGCAACATTTACATTAACCAATCAGTTTCACGAAGGACGTTAAATGATTTAAATTGGCTGCCATTTTGTCATCATGTGACTGGTCATCATTTGACTGGTCATCATGTGACGGATTAAAGAACGGAATCGCGCTTGGTAATGTTGCAGCCTCGGTTGCGGTCTCGGCAACGGTGAAAACAAGTTTGGAAATTGTACAATGTCTAGGTGGCTCCATCATAAAGAGTAGTGCATTAGCTTTCAAGTATTGATACCTTATTTGCATATCTTCAGTCACATTATGACTGAGCACCATTGATTGCAAAACAAAGGCCAACAAACACCTTTTCCAGGTTTGCTGAATAAATGATAGGTTAAGCTGTTGGAAGAATGCGCTGTCGCAGCTGTGAACAGTGCGTTAAAAGGGAAATGTTGCTTAAAAGCCATGTTGTTCACAAATAATTTGTCTTTTGTTTTTATCACAAATCAGCAATGGAATTTCAAAAATCTTTAAAACATAGCCTGCAATGGGCATAGCCAAAGCCATGCCAAGTTAGGCCAACGCCTAAGCTAAGTTTTGAGTTCATTTTTGCAGTAGGTAGTTTTGAGGGTAAACATAAAAACGAAATTTTGAAATGATTGATTTAATCATGAACATTATATTCCATTTATGCTCAAACATTTTCAGCTGTCTTTCTCTTCCCATTCAACATATAATCCATTGCGACTGCGCACTTTTTTTAGACAGCTCATTTCGCCACTGAATCAGGTAAACTAGGCAAAAAAGTAGGTGTTTGGCTTTGTGATGATAAACAAAATCTCGGGAATGATCAATCATTTATGGACAGCGTTACTGTGTACCATTTTATTCACAAACATCTCTAACATCATCCGACAGCTTTACTCGCCACTTATTCAGCAATCTTGGAAACAGAGGTTTATTAGCCTTTGTTTGAAATCAATGGTGCTCGGTCATCCATGACTGAAAAGATTAAGACATCAATGAAAAGCTAATGATCTATACCCTTTAAGATGGAGTCACTTTTACAGTGTTAAAGTTCATAATTAACTTGTACATATTTTTGAATTACCTTTTTTTGTACACCCTATACAAAGTGTGTTACCTTGAGTCACACAGCCTTTGGGGTGCTCACCGCAATCAAACTTCGTCCCTGGTAAGTGATTCGCATATACTTCCCCTTACGGGGACTTATCCAGAGGTTATTGCTGATTTTGAATTATTATATAGGCCTAACTCTCAGAAATCTCTCACCTGCAAAAATTGGACCTAAAAGATCCCCAATTCCGCCAAACATGTACGATATGCCGCATCCTGACGCCATGTTGGACAACCCAACGATCTTGCGTAGTAATACCATGAACATTGCTTTGTTAGCTCCGGTCCCTACGCCAACAATGCAGGCAGACGCAGCGAAGGCTACGTAGGTCTCGGCTTGAGTACATAATGCAGCAACACAAATCAGAATTATAGAGATTGTGTATGTCACCTCAACAGGTATCTTTCGGCTAACGAAGAAGCCCGAGCCAACCCGTGCACCCAGACCGCAAAATCCAAACAGACTGAGTAGAAATGGTGCCTTCTGCTCGTCAATACCACACAACTGGGCCCGGGGTACCAGAAATACCAGGAAGCATGAATACGCAATATTGAATTGCATGCCAATCAAGCAGAAGAGAGTAAATCGATAACTCCTCCGCACCAAATTCAGTCCTAATTCTGAGGCCAGACTTGAAGCGAGTGTCAGCAAAGATCTGCCCTTCTTTTTGTCAAGTCTACCGGCATGCTCATGTGACTTAGGATGTATTTCCATCCGAATTGATTCGTTGTCGGTCTGGCTGACTTGCAGTTGCTCGTCTGGTTCAGGTTGTTTGATCCTTCTCCGCCTTTCTGTATAGGGAGGATGGTAAAAGGCGCCAACTACACATATGTTTGCAGATAGTCCGGCCGTAATAAGCATGGTTCCCCTCCATCCGTAAGTATCAAGCAGTAGGCGAAACAGAGGCGGGAACACGATCATTCCCGAGGATGTACCTGCAGTCGTGAAACCCATAGCTATGGCGTAATACTTCTTGTAATATTGCGCTACAGCGATACTGGAGGATATAAAGCACAGTGCTACACCCGTACCTGCAAAAAGAGGGAAATAAATAAAACACAAGGCGAAGGGAAAAAAACGTGTTTCTCGTCCCCGCCCGCTTCCTTTTTGGAGGCCGACTGGATTTGTTTATTATTTTATAAAAACACCTTTTTCTTTTAAAACAACATAATGTGTAAAGTGAGGTCTTCAGCGAAAGTTCAATCTATATTAAAATGAGCTACGTCGTGCTCCTTTTCTTTTTGTCTTTACTCGGGATAATAATTTCAAATAGCCTACCCAAGAAGGCACCAATGATGTACATCTGATATAGTTGAAATGCCCAAAAACTGAGCAGCGAGGATACAAACATCATGAATCCTCCAAGTATCCAGGTAGTGCGACATCCCCATCGATTGCAGGCTATTCCAGCCAAGACAGCTGTTGGAAGGGAAACAAATGGATTTCTAAGGGGGAACTCTTCAGACAAAGAGCGCCACCAGCCTTGTCACTGCTGAGACCCTTCTCACTTAACGTCTTCAAGAAATCAATCACATTTCCTGGTGTTCAGTTGGCCATTTTGTAAAAATAAACTATCCGCCATTTACGTGCAAACACCTTAAGGGTAAACCAACGACATTTGAAAATAGGATAGGCCTTGTCCCAGATGATTATCGTTTCGTCAAGTAAAATAATTTCGGAAAATATTACATCCGCACCAAATACATTTTCAGTATTACAAAATGAATGAGGGCTTTGGATTGCTTACCCGCAAAGTAAGAGAAGGATGACATGATGCTAGCAATGGCCCCTGTCTGTGAGGCACTGGAGCCGAATTCATTCTTCCAGCTGAGGTACAGGACACCAGCACATCTCGTCATCATGCTGCACAGAAGGTGAGCGGTGAACACCGTACAAACGATCACAATCCCGTGGACACTATCTACTCGATCTGCGGAACTGCCCCGATGCAAGAAGTGCAGCTTTCGGCCTCGAAGGAGAGGCATGATTGCTGAAAAGATCTGCGAATCAATAAGGTATAATGGTAAATAGCTACATATGCCATCCAATTTTAAAAATGTTTCATCCACCGAATTCCCTAGATCATACAACCCTGCGCTGCAAAGTGGTACTCTGACGTTCAGCACAGAATCAATACGTAATGAGCCTAACGATATCATTTCCACAACCTTACCAAGTCAAATATTTATACAGCTAAATCATAGTCTAGACCTTGATTTTTGTGCAGCCTGTCGATTTAAAGGAACATTTCGGCCCGGAATGCGCCCAATTGGGCTACAAAACGCATTTAAAACGAAATGATATTAAATAGAATTTAGAGCATTTAAAAGAAGAGTATATACGTCCACACAACCATCCTTTAAACACTTTTCAACAAAAGAAGACATTTTGGGAAACAACTTTTTGATCCCAGCATGGTCCCAGGTATATCCCTTTATTCCTTGTCTTCATGCATGGCGGCAGCTTTTGGCTACATGCTACAGGCTGTAAAGTTTCATAGTCACTGAAACATGACACTGGAACGACAATGGATCTTATGTAATATGCTAAATAGGTTACATAGCTCCATGCTCTGTTCGAGCGTTCGAGTCTATGAGCACGGGACTGATATGACCCGCAAGCAAACAAACAATGAAATCATTCACATATCCATCTCTGTGAAAGCAGATCCTACTATTTTCTTCCTCCATGATCCTATTAACCGACCTAAAGGCAACCGAAACACGCTTAAACTCACCTTGCTGGATTTCACCACTGTTCCAACTATAGTATAGGTCTTCTGACGGCGTCCTGTTCCAACTATAGGCCTTCTGACGGCAGCTGCATGCAGTGAGTCAATTTCAGTTGGGCGAAGTTCTGCCTGTGTGGGCTACTCGATGACGATCGATGCAGATTATCTGTTAATCGTGAGCCCAAGAGTTCACCTGCAGTGAACTCGGCAGTGGTCCCGTTAGGCCAAAAGAAAAAGTCTCCGGTTTCTGGTATGGAGCTTGTCCAAAAAGTGGTGCGGCGACGCGGCTTTTTTTTTTTTTTAACCCGACTTTTTTGCTTCAAATGTCGGCTGATGACTGCAAATGATGCCCGACTAAACTAAGTGCAAATATATGGGAGTCCAGAGAGGCCACATAAAGCTTATTCTCGATCATAACCCCATCTAAAAACACGTTGGAATTGCGCAGCAGCAGAATTCCAGTCAAACCAGTGAGTTTGGCGGTTTTGAGACATCATCTTTCATTGAAAAAAAAACTTTTTCATTTTGCCGACGCGCATGGCTACGGCGACGCGCGCGCATACCAGAAACCGGAGACTTTTTTTTTGGCCTTATCTATACCATAAATGGAACGCCCGATATCAAATCCTTTGTAGTCAAAAGAACCCCATGTAAATGACCTTGGACACATAAGAGCTCCCGGGCTCTGTGTACGTGTACAGTAGCGCTGCCTAGCACGTGTACAATAAACAGACCCTACGCGCTGAGCCATTGAGCAACGGCAAATTTTATTGGAGTTTAGATGTACAATTCTTTAGTTAATGAATGCACGCGAGCCTAAACCTTAACCAATCACAATAAGGGTTATATTGTTGGAAAGCTGACGAGACGAAGAAAAATGACTCGAGAGATCTAAGCTCCCAGGTGGCGCTATTTAACGTTATGATGATGTTAATGGACCAGTTCTTGGCTGAACGCGTGGTTTACACACAAAACAGGGAGATTTTTGACTGAAAATGCAATGTTTAACATCAATTAGCGAGTGAAACTCAGTGTTTTATTCAGTTTTTCTTTCATTCTCTGAAAGAGTATATTGTTAGGGTCACACTGTAGTGAGATCTAATGTATACCCTGTCGAATAATGAAGTGGTGGCGACAGATGTGAAAAAAGGCCCGTTTTTAATGATTTTTTCGCCGCGTTCTCTCATAGAGGTTGCACATAAAAACCGGCCCGGTGGGTTAGTTCCCCAAAGGAATGGACCGATCCAGTAAGCACCGCCCCATGGTATTCTGACCAATCACAGCCGTGATTTATGTCCGACATGCGTGCACAAAAGTCCGACATGCGTGCACGCGCGCGTATGCGCGCGGAAGGAAAATGCAGTGTGGCATTGGAGAGGAGCACGTGTTATTTTGCCCACGTGCGCACTGGGAGGGGCTTACTGGATCGGTCCATTCATATAGTGACCGTGCCGCGAGATAACCCTTACGCAAGCGTTAAACGCTAACTGGCGGGGTGCAGCTAGCCACGCTTGGTTGGCAACTCATTTTTACCAACCACGGGTTGCAAAACTATGGAAGGTCGTACTCTGCAAAAATGAAGAGCGTTATTACAGATAACCAACATATTATTAATTGTTGGCAATACAACATTTTCAACAAAGCTACACTGAACAAGTTCAATATTATTTCTTAACATGCCTTTTTACTTTGTATTGAGGGCGTTAAGCCCGGTTCATACTTCATGCGAAAGCGAAAGCGAACGCGAATCTGTGACGTCATGGCAAGTATTCGCGCTGCGAATTCGCAAAAGTTGAACACATTTCAACTCGGGCGAATTTCGCAGCGAATATTTCATGACGTCAAATTCGCTTCGCATTCGCATTCGCGTGAAGTATGAACCGGGCTTTATGGGGAATTTTTTGGGGAAAATATGTTGCCAACCACGGCTTCTATTTATGCGCTTGAGGCAGCCCATATAAAATGGCGCCAATGTTTACAAACAAAAGAAAGGTCTGTATGTCATAGGCCCTGCCAAGTCACAATTTGCATTGCTCTAAAATTCTCCGGTTTTATAGAGCATTTTGAGGGTCATGAACTTGATGGGTTTTCAAAAAACAAAAACTGGGCGGAAGCCGTGCGGAGGACTGTAGCTCGTGACTTCTGTGGCTCTCATTAGATTTTGATCCAGGACTATTATGTAATTATAACAGTGTTATGATAGTGTTATCACATGAAGACTTTGTAGTTTGCTCTTTTTAGTCGGACTGAGCACATGGTTGTACTCATGCGTGTACTATAATTACACCTGCGCGAAAGCTGAAATGCAGAGCAAAGATATGGATCCACATACAATTACATGCCAGGACTATTATGTAACTATAACAGTGTTATGATAGTGTTATCACATGAAGACTTTGTAGTTTGCTCTTTTTAGTCGGACTGAGCACATGGTTGTACTCATGCGTGTACTATAATTACACCTGCGCGAAAGCTGAAATGCAGAGCAAAGATATGGATACACATACAATTACATGCCAGGACTATTATGTAACTATAACAGTGTTATGATAGTGTTATCACATGAAGACTTTGTAGTTTGCTCTTTTAGTCGGACTGAGCACATGGTTGTACTCATGCGTGTACTATAATTACACCTGCGCGAAAGCTGAAATGCAGAGCAAAGATAGACATAGTGGCGCAGCATGGTATTTTTTATTGGGGGGGGGGGGTTAAAAACTCTTTTCTTGAGTGTATTAATACTCAACAAATTTTACAATTGCGTTTGAATGCCATGGCGTTGTGGTCTGGGGCATTGAGTTCGTGGTCTGCGGGTAATTCTGCAGGTTGTGGGTTCGAGTCCAGTCTCGAGTTGTGGCACGCGTGCCCTTGAACAAGGCACTTCTCCCCAATCATAGTGGAGTAAATGTGTAACTGTGAGGTCAGAAGTGGTTACTGTGGTTGACTTTAGCTCCCTTGCTCCGAAATAGCTGCATCGAGGTCTATATGCTCCCCAGAGAGTTGCAATGGTATTTGGAATCATTTTTGTTATTGGGCCAGTGATGATCAGGGGTAATAATAATGTAAAGCGCTAGCTTTGCATGATCGTAGTTATAAAAGCGCTATATTTAAGAACCCGTTATTATTAATGAGATTCAAACTTTTTTCGGAAAAAATCAAGGATGATTTTTGTTTTATTGAACTACAAGAGACAATATACATTTGATGCACAAACAACACTTACCACAATTCATGGTCACTTTGGTCAGTGTTGGTCAATGGCCCCCACATGGAAGGTCCCCCACATCCTGTTTCCAAGTACTCTCCCTCATGAGTCATGGAAACAGATAGTTTTGCATAGCAACCAGTTAAATGATTAGTATTGTCTCTATGTGTCATGAAATGGGTTTATATTGTGAAGGCAACTGCGATCAACTTCATTCTGATTCAAGCCGCAGCAGCACTGTCTTCAACAATTTTCTTCCCACCCTCCCTTCCCTTTAATTAAATTCTGTAATAGTTTGGCTTTTTTTCCTTTTACTGTTTAATTTTGTATCCAATTTATGAGGATTTCTCTTTTATTTATTATTTTTCTTATTTATTATTATTATGCCTGTCAGACTGATTCTCTGACGTAACCTTACAATTCCCAAAGTCTATAAATTGCTCGATATCCGTTTCATTTTGAGGTCAGGGAACCAGACTACAAGAACATGATTGGTTTCCTTGGATTCCCCAGCATCTACAAGCCGAAAACGTGAAACAAGTCAGTTAAAGGGAGTGTACATCATTGGCTTTTGCTGTAATTTTCAGAAATGAACTATTTGAGGGGTTAGTATAATAGATCAAATGTTGTTACACTGACATGTGTGAAGTTTTGTGTTCGAAAATGCTGGAAAACCAAGAAAAAAGACAAATGTTCAAGTAGTCTGGCTCCCTGACTCCACTGAAGATGAAGTGGATCAATTTATAGATGCCGGAAAATTGTAAGGTAAGGGAACCAGTCTAGCTGGCCTGCACCCGTTCAGGAACATGTAACCAATAGCAAACAAAATTTGGACTGAACAAATGGTAAATTTGGAGCAGTAGTTGAAAAATAGTTAGGTTTTTCCAACGGTGGTCGGCCGACCACCGTTGGAAATGTATACAAAAATACAACTTTCTTGAAAATGACTTCACACCAGGTGCCCTAATTTTACAGGATGCTTTACACTGTCATTTACCAGCATCCTAGTAAGGTATTTTGTAAACACTTGGTAGTTTTATTTTTCGATGCTTGCAAATGTTGTATTTTCCCTTTAATAATATTTCCTATAACATTCTTATCCTCCAAATCATGATTTAATTCTCAAAATTTCAGCAAAAGCAAATGTTGTACATTCCCTTTAAATCGTTCGGGTCATGTCGACGAAAAACTATTGTGCGATCAATGTGTACTTAACACGATATGATGTGCACCTTAATTGCACACTTAATCTTTGTGAGAATAATAATAGTAATGTATCATGGAGGAATCAAGTTCCCATCGTCTTTATGATTGAATGAGCATTTTCAAACTGGCAGATTCTGTAAAACTATGGGCCTCATGATTATATTGCTGTGTTTAACTCGTAAATGTCAAATCTGGAAGTCCAAAACTTTCTCGAGTAGGCCTATATAATGTTCTGTGGATTCGAGTCTGTGATTTTCGAGTACGATCGCGAGTACCGGTATAGAGCCTGAAGTTCACCCCTAGTGGCGCTCTTCAGGACCCTTAATAGGACAGTTAACGTGCAAAACTGCTACAATTTGCAATTACTTTTGGTACGTTGATTCTTAAGAAAACTTACCCTCGAAAAAGACCTTTATAAAATTGTCACTATAGCATCTCGATTTATGGAAACTGAAAAATCACCCGCATTACGGACACACTCTCGCAAAATGTGGTCCGGCAGCTTTCTATACAAAAACCTCGTTGGCTTGGGGTTTTGTACGTAAACCTTATCAGTCAGCCGATCACGCTCAATTGACTTCGGCCAAACCGCAGTCCCATCATAAGAAATAAGTTAACAATGTTACCCGGACCATTTTTTTTCCAAGAGTGTGTCTCCAATGGTTGATGGGCTTTTAAAAAGAACTTTTGCAAATGGGAATAAAGACACTTTGGAAACATCCAATCAGTTTGAATATGCTTGATGAATTTCTGAATAAACGAGCACATTTTTAAAAGTATTTAATTACTATTATTTTTCGGTGT